TCTGAAAAATGTTAATGAAGGTTTTATTTTCTAGAAAGAGAACATGCTAACAAAGTGTAGAAATGCATGCCCTCTCTCTGATCTTGGAAAGGGAAGCCAGTAGTTGTTACAAAAAGTAGTCTTTAGTCATAAGTTCAGTATATTATGTTGCAAGAAGCTGTGTTTTACCCACACATCAGGAAAATATCTTCTCTTTGTGGCATCTTTCCCAAAACCATGTACAGACTGGGTTTATCTAACTGGCCATTAAGAGTTACATGACTGGCAAAGTGCAGTGTAGTGGGGAAGATAAAAAGTACATTTAAAAATATAAAACAGAGAGCAATTCAATGTCAGAACATTATCATTGTTAACTCTTTCCTCCAGTTACTATATTTTATAATGCAAAAATATCACAATGATAAAATCAGTCAATAATTATTTATACTGGGACTCATGCATGCAATTTAAAATAATCCAAAATAATATTTTAAATGTTGAAATCATATTTATTTTTGGTATATGAATTTTTGAAACTGTTTCTAAATCTTTGTCTTTCAATCATTCTGCCTCACTCACTATCCTCTTCTGCTGCACCTACGGGGTGCACTGTTTGAGAACCACTGATTTAAGAGGAAAGATGAGAAAAATATAATGTAAAAGTTTGGTAATTAATGATGTTGGTACACATTTGTTAAAAAGGAAATTTGAATGTTGTATTTAATATTTAGATAGAAACATTTTTATTTTGTATTTTTTTTCTCTTGCCAAGAATTTGGTCTTGAAAATTAATGATAATCTTTTTTTTAATGCCATGTCCCTTCAGGAATAGATGATCATGACTCTCTACAGCCTCATCTTTATTATCTCTGAATTGTTAAGCATTCTAAGGAAATACAGTGGAGTGGTTTATCACCGCCTTCTCCACAGTTTGGAATTTAGAGTTTTTCTTTCTCTTAGACTGATTGCCACCCAGTGTTAGAGAGCCCAGTCTACCCTGCTATTTTATCCCTAGCTGGAGATAAAAAGAGACAAATCCATTCCTTTTCCAAGGACATTAGTACAAAAGTGAATGAAACAGACTAACCCAAAATTTAAACTCAGCTCACTAATACCATTTTATGCTGGAATATCCATTATGCCACCCATACATCCCTTAATGATAATGGCAAAGTTTATAAATGTTATAATTTAAAGCTTTAAGTAATACAATTATTTTTTTTTTTCAATTTTAAGAAATTATATGAATTACTTGAGTTTTATTTTTTACTCTTTCTTCTTGTTTTAGGAACTTTATATTAATTAAATTGGCAATGAAGTTTAGAAGCGAATGAATAAAAAATGTTTTATATTATATTTTGATATAAAATCCATGAAAGCCAGATAGTGAAATATCTTTTTTTTTTTTATTTGCAATTGTTTTGTACGTAGCCCTGGCGAAGCACATACTATGCAGCTAAGTAAAGAATCGTTCGCATCATTGACTCGATGATCTGACTACGGTCGATTCCTTTTTTGTTTTTAAAGCGAGCTTATTTTCAAGTCGGAATTATCTCCCATTACCTGTACATTAACTTGAAAAACACTTTGTTTCAATTTAGTGCTTTAAACACATAAGAAAAAAGATTTACAATTTAAAACTATTGGTAACTAATGATTTTGTTAAAAAAAATATGTACGTTTTACTTTATCGATTTTAAAGCTATTTAGGTAAACGAAGTATTAAGGAACAATAAAATGTCATTTAGAAACAAAGAAAAGCGTGATGAACTGCTATCAATCCTAGTCTTATATGGCAGTGAATGCTGGACAATTTCCTCACTGATGAATAAACTTGATTGATTTGTTTTTACGCCTTATCAACCTTTTACTGGCTATTTAAAGCCAGAAAGTATTTTTAGAATATAAGAATTGTTTTAAGGGGGGAGGTAATAATGATTTAAAACTTACTAATTAACCCATAGTTGACCGAGAAGAGGTAGATTCATACCTTTCGCAAGGGTATTTGAGCGTAAATGAATATAACGAACCCAACTGGAATTGGAACTCAGCTCTCTGATTAAAAATTCCGAACCCTTATCCATTACAAATCCAAGCTTACAGCACCTGGTTATTCCTATGGCAGGCAGTCACTCATCAACGTAAAACCAGGTTCGACGTTGCTTAATTTTGGTGATCGTACGGGAATCGGTGTTTCAACGTGATGTGGTCGTAAGTCAAGAATAGACTGGAGACAACAGAGATATACAGAAGAAGGGTGAGTATATCATGAACAGAAGAACATGTAAGCAACAAAGAAGTTTTAAAAAGTGGAAACAAAAAGGACACTTCGAATCAGAAAGAGACAGTTAAACTTCTTGGACACATGAGGAAAGAGGGATTGGAGAATTTGACACTCACAGGATATATTGAAGGCAATTGGGACAACATGTCCTGTGAGTGTCAAATTCTTTAATCTCTCTTTCCTCATTGTGTATTGGAGGTTGAGTGTGGTTGCCTTTATCCTGTAATGACCGTCTTAAAAAAATATTCACATAGACACTAGTTATATGCATCATTAGAATTATCGTCAGCCAAGGAAAAGTAAGTTTTTCTGTGGTGTAAAAAGAATTGTTTGAACGAGAAATGATTAATTTTGTAATGGAAAGAGTTCACGACTCGATTATTATTGCAGAAAATGGGAAACCATAAAAACTAGTGCAGATCATAAGTTCCTGAGAAGAATATGATGACGACGGAAAGTTTTCTATGGGCACTCTCAGTTTTGTTTGATCTTGCAGACAAACAATAAAAAAGGGCCCTATTGATTCATAGTCGTAAAAAGTATCTAAAGTGTAAAAAAGCTATGTCCAGTTTGCCTTGAAAAATATATAAATTTATATATATTTTTACCTTGACCCTGTTACTTTTCAATAAAACTTACCAAAAAAAATAACATACTTTTGTTGTAGATAACTTCAATTCGATTAATACACCGACGCATAAAAATGAGATTTTTATTTTGCCATGTTTCAGCTTTCAAAAATACATGTATTATTTTAAAAAATAATATTTAGTTTTATTATTGTGTTTGAGTGTTGATTTGGTTTCTAAAGAAAGAAAGAAAAATTAAAAATCGATAAAAATCAATGTTTAAACTTTAAAGGATGTAAATTTTGTAAAAAAATAAAAAATAAAAAAAAATATGGGAACTATTTTTTTTCTTAAATTATGAAAAAAATGTTTGGAGGTTCTGCTTAATCTGGAAAACGATTTTTTTAAAAATCTGATTCAGAAAATCACAATATGAGAGAGAAAAAAATAAAATATGTAAAATCATGAAGAATAATAAACAACTTCTTTCTTTAATAATCGACAATGGTTATTTTGTGGCCCTTATGAACGTATTTTTAAATTAAAATTGCCGATGTTAGGGATTACTTTTCTTCCTATCCAAAGTGGGCGCGGGTTCGATTTCGATCAGTAGGACGGAACTGAGAAAAAATAGTTGCATTTTATTTCACTATGTGGTTGTTATGGGGGTCAAGGAGGAGATTCCTAGAAATAATAATAAAAATGCAAAATTCACTATCTTTCTTTGGGGAAAAAGTTTTTGTTTTCGGTTCTGTATTGCAAAAAAAAAAAAAAAATGAAAAAGCTAATTAATTTAATTTTCATTAATTAGAAATAAAAATGCATTTAGATATATAAAAGTATTTTTTTAAAAATTATTTGCTTAAAAATCTCTGAAACTATTTTCCTATTTTGGACCTCGAACTTGACTTTTTTATTAGGCTAAAAAATGGAAAAAAGAAATGAAGATGGAAAGAAAAAAAGGTTTTGTTTGTTTTTGCTTAGACTAAAAAATTATCTGGTGGGCAGATACCAAGAAAGTTTATAATTCAGAATCTGTCTGAATGATTTTGTTTCGTTGAGGTTTAATTTTCATTGATGATTTCATTGTCGTTTGTCAATGTTAATGGTTGAGTTTGTTTTTCTTCTGTCGTTGTTGTTGATGTTGGTAGTGGAGTGGACGGTGGAGCGGGTGGGTCAATTTTTGAACTTTTGGCACTTGTCTGTCGCTTATAATTCGGACTTTTCCTCCGACTTTGTGACTTTTTAGAACAGTTACAATTTTTCTTTTTATCGATCAATTCTTGTTTGACATTTTTCTCTTTGTTTTCCAGTTGAACCCACCTGTCATCTAATTTGGTAAGTTTAAGTTTCTTTCGGAGTATATTATGTATGCTGCCCACACTGATACCCATATCGGATGCAAGGTCTCGTACACTTATCCTAGGGTTCGTTTTGATGAGTTTCTCCGCTCGAATAATATTTTGTGGGGTCACAGCATTTGCTTGCATATGATTACGTTCATCATCCATAACAGATTTTCGACCATTCTTAAATCTTTCTATCCAGGTGTAAACATTACTCTTAGCCAAGCACACATCTCCAAATTGGATTAGCAACCTTTTGTAGATTTCGATCGGCTTAACTTGTTCTTTTGCTAAGAACTTTATGATGCACCGCTGTTCCACAGCACACGAAATAGGCTTCGCTGCTGACATTATTATGTATTTCCCCAAAAATAATACTAAACTTCTTCCCCTTTAAAACTACGGGGATCGCTGATGTGGAGAGGAGAAAACATAAAAGTCCTGATAGACTTTGAACGGTAGTAATATTGTACACGGAACAAAAATCTTCGTAAGCAAAAATACGGGATCGACGATTGCGAGACAAGAACTGCGTTTCTATCGATGATTTTCATTGGCTCATATTTTAAATAATTTCATCCGGTATCCCCCTCTTACTATCACAGAAAATTAGGAAGCCCACCGGTAGCAGGTGTTCTGATTGGTCAATAAATAAAGTAGCCAACTCAATAGTCATGCTTGATGCATATGTTTATTAGTGTGGCGATGATGTTTTCCTTTCAATTTGATGTATGACATTTTCTTTATGATGACAGGACGAAGAAAGGGAAATAAAATGAAAGGTAAGAAAACAAGCAAAAGTCGTACTGATGCCAATAATATTCAATTCCCCATCGTCGCCCGTACGAATGAGTACACAGTTGAACAGCGAGCAGTAGTTAGTACATGGGCACACGAACGACCACATACCAAAGAGAAAATGTCCACAATTCGTAAACGTTTTGAGGAGAGGTTTGGCATTCCGGCACCGCCTAAAATCACTATATTACGTTGGGAGAAGAAATTGTTTACTTTAGGAAGTGTACTAGATAAACCACGGACGGGTCGTAAAATGAAACGACAAGACATGTGCGCTGGAGTGGCTGCTTCTTTGCAACATTCTCCTGGACAGTCAACAAGGAAGCGGTCCCTGGCGTTAGGAATACCGAGAACCACAATGATGCGTTACATTAAAAAGGATCTTGGGTTGCAGAATTTGAGTAATGAACTCTGTGAGAATGTTAGCACTAACGGTAAAAGCGATATTGAAAATGAAAAACAGACAGAATACACGGAAGAAGAAGAAGAAGAAGAAGATGATGAAGAAGAAGAATTAGTGACAAGCGACCCTTTTACATAAATTATTATGTCGAGTGAAAAAAATTGATATCAAAAATCTTGAATTCCTTTTTATTTAAGAATATGACAAATAATTTTTAAACTTATTCAATATTAACATAAATTTAAACAATAACATGGACAACAGTAAAAATGAAAATTATTTTTATCTTTAGAATTTATGGATATTATTAATATTTTGTTTAAAAAGCTACACCAAGAGATTTTATTTTACTTTTTTTAGCAGCAATGTCTGAATTTAAAAAAAGAAAGAAAGAAAAAGATTGATATTGCGCAAAAGACTAAATGAGAAATGTTCACGGCTGGTTTTTGATAGTTTTTTTTTTTTTTTTTTTGTCTCCATACTCAAATCAAATAGTCATGAGAAAACAAGAAAATATCAATAATCAATGTGATTTACAGACGGAAAAAAATGTTGATCTTGTCACTGACCATCATTGACCCGGGTCAATACTTATGATGACTGACCTTTTTTTTTTGTCCTGTAAACGACTTGGTGTCCTTGTGCCAGACTAAACAAAACTTCATACCCAAGTCAGCTGATTTTTTTTAACTTGCTTTTTAAAAACAAATTAAAAAAAAACAAACTTTAAATTACCAAAAACAAGTACGTTGTTATGATTTTGTTTTTCTGATGACTTTGTCGGAAAAAATATAAATATGTAAATATTTTGTTAAAAAACAATCTCCGAAATTAACGTTTTTTTTTTTTGGTACTTTTTTCTTTATGGATTTTGTTTTTGTTGTTTTCGAAAATTAAATAAATTTTTTTTTTTATGAAACAAAACAAGGTTTTTTAATTAATTAAATGTTTTTATTTGAAGTAACAAACTTGAATTGTTTTTTAATGAAGACATTTTTTTGGTGAGAAAGAGAACCAATTAAATTAAATAGTAAAAATCAGAATCGATTTGATGTTTCATTCTTTAGTGTTTTTTTTAGTTGAACAAAAAACCAGTTCAATCGGATTTACTTGGAAATGTTAGCTTGGAGGAGACAATTTTTGGTTTGTAGACTAAGACATATGGTTGCAATGAAAATGAAATGAACATTTAACTTTTAAAGTCAATTTTTTTTTTTATCCCAAATTAAAATTGAAAAAAAAAAGCAAAACAAAAAATAACTCGCATATAATATTTTTAAATAAATGCTATGTAACCTTTGACAAATTAGAAAAAATGTTTATTTATTCTAATTATTAATTAATTATTATCTATCGCAACTCGGAATCAGCTTGCAATACATCCACTTTTTCTTTTTGATTGATTGCTTGAAACTTGAAAGAGAAATTGGCTTCAAAGAAATCATTTTTTTTTTCTAAACTTTGTCATTGTTTATGTTTTTATTTCCTTTTGGCTTGAAAATGCTGGACAATTTTCTTTGGATTACAATACATACAATGAAAGTCTCTAAAGATTTGGACAATTTTTAAGGGTTTTTTGTTGAATTTTCTTTCTTTCTTTTTTTTACTCATCTATTTTTTTTTTTTAAATGTTGCCTTTTTTGTTGCTAGGTTTCCAGTTTCCGACATAGACTGTTTGTGTTTTCTGACTATTCATTGAATTTTTCTCTTCAAAGATGTAAGTTAGTAAAATCTACCCCTGCCTTATAGGATTGGAGTACTTCATAGAAAGAGGATATGATAATTTTGATGACCATCAGGTATGAAGTATCTGCTTCATATTGGTAACATTTGTTTTAGGATCAATATTTTTCTGTATAGTGACAACGCTACCATAAATTGTGAATTTGGTGCATAGAAAAAGATTTTATATCTATGTCTGTAAAATTTCAGATATAAAATCTGTAAAGAGACAATATGAATAAAAAGAAAAGGAAAATTTATCTTCTTAGCCAACGCGTTTTTTTTTTGTCCTTTGGACTTTCAAGGCAAATGAACGGATTTTATTTTGCAATTTATTTTTGATATTATTTTATGTTGCAAAATAAAGTCCTTACAATTGAGAAAGAGAACAAAAATGCATTGGCTAAATTTTCCTTTTGTCTTTATTCAATAATTTAGGTACCTCCATGAGATCGCTCATAGCATGATGAAAAAAACGCCAAACTTGAAAACAATTTTATCGTCTAAAAATGCTTATGTTTAAGAGGAAAGACTAAAGTTTTTTTTAAATTATTTTTAAAAAATTTTTCCTTCTTTTTTAATCAAAATTTACAATGTTCTAACATTGTAAATTTTGATTAAAAAAATCTTTAAAATAACATACAGTTTTTACCACGTTTTTTTTTGTATGACACATTAATTTGGAAAATCTTGCAAAAATAAAAATAATTGTCGGATGTTAATGATACTATTAGAAAATATTCACAGATGATACAAAAAAAAAAAAAAAGAATTAGAGCACTGAAAGTTTTCCTTAAAAATACGATTTTTTTTTTTATTAAAGTCATGGCAGAAATATTTTTTTTATATTTATTACCCCACCCCATAACTAATTTTAGGAAAACGCTAGAAATTCAATCGAATCCAGTTTAGTGATTGCAATAATTAAAAGCACAAGGCTTTGAGGAATGCAAATCATGTCTTTTTTGTTTTTAATTGCCCCCCCCTGAAAATCAGCTGTGAATTGTAACATACAAAAGTAAAACTCAATAAAACAAAAGACATTTAATATAATTTCAAATGCTTTTATTTGCTTTTACTTTTTATTAATATGGACAATATTTTCTGAAAGCAAAATTTTTTCGATGAAAAATGAATTGTTAATACAATTATTTCTTGTTTTTTAATTATAATAGATTTTTACATTTAAGTTGTTAAAATATAAAATTAGTTAAAAGCCGCATCTGCTTTCGTAAGGCTTGCCGCTTATGAGATAGATCTTTTTTTTAGCGCGTTGTAAATTGTATTGTTTTGAGTTTTGACTAATCAGAAGATCCGCATAAATGTAAGGTTGTGCTTATAATCGGGCTGTAATTATAAAGTACAGAATACAATTAAGTTGCGTTATTTGTTGAGTTAAGCATTGTTCTCTGCTGTTAAGGCCTTTACTTTTGCGAAACACATGTGGAGAAGTTAATGTTAATTTGATTTTTCAATTTCAACTGAGAAGGGTACCTACAAGAATCAGTATCATCTTATGAAATTTATGATCTTATTTTTAATCTCAGTTATGACATTTTTCCATAAATGAAATATCAAAATTAATAATAAAATGAATGGAAATACAAATAACACAGTAAAATATAATAAATGTACATAAAATTATAGTATTTTATGTACACTTCTCGTAAAATTTCATAAGAAAGGTACCTATAAATTAATTAGATACCTTTCTTATGAAATTTAATCTCATTCTTAACAGTCTTATTTTAATTTCTTTATAATATATTTTCCATAAAGCATCGTAAACATAAAGGTAAAAGCTAAATACAAAAAAAAAGAGAATTAGAGCACTGAAAGTTTTCCTTAAAAATAATGAGGTAAGTAATTTGTTCACTTAAGTCTAAATAACTTCAAATTATCTTCATGTAATGCGTCAATACGTCATTCAATACCTGTCAAGTTTTTTAATGAAAATTTTAGATGTGCTAGGAATGATTAAAAAATGTAAAAAAAATACCCCCAAAATACTTTGATCATTCCTCTTAATAACATGAACATTTAGATGATAAAGTTTTGTTTTCGTCAAGTTTAGCGTCTTTTTCATCATGCTATGCTCTTTTTTAGCAATCTCATGGAGGTACCTACATATACTCTATCTATTGAGCACTTTAACCATAAATATAGCATACCTTAAAACTACATTTTATATATATATATATATATATATATATATATATATATATATATATATATATATATATATATATATATATAATTATTTATTTAAAAATATGATTCCAACACTACATAAGAGTTCTCATGTTTCAAAACAAGAGCTGAAAACTTCAATATAATTATTTGAATTAAAGTACTAAGCTCTGTTCCATCTTCAAGTGAAATTTTTTTTTTGGAATAACTTATTCCTGAAATTTACGTGTTTTCTAAGTATATTCATTATTGAAATTAAAATTACTATGGTAATGGCTAGAGCATTTGTTTAAATTTATATATATATATATATATATATATAAATTGTGTATTTGGGCAACAATCCCTCTTTTATACAAGTTTCATTAAAGACAACTGACAAGGTACTGCAATTAAACTTTTTATTCAATTTTTCTTGTATTCATGTTTTCTTTTTGGGACATGAAGTGTGTAAAAACTGTATAAATGTTCTATATATCTGAGTGCTTTTGGCTATTCTATTGGCCATTATAAATAAATGAAAAAATACATCCATCAAAATGGCCAATAGAATAGCTGAAAGTGATCAGACATAGAACATTTGTCCAGTTTTTACACACTTCATGTCTAGAAAAGACTACAAGAAAAATTGAATAAAAAGCTTAATCACAGTACCTTGTCAGTTGTTTTTAATGAAACTTGTGTGTGTATATATATATATATATATATATATGTGTGTGTGTGTGTGTTTTGTTGAAAATGGCTGATAAGGTACTGTGGTTAACTTTTTTATATAATTTCTTATGTATAGTCTTTTTATTTACAGGACATTAATTATATAAAAATTGTCTGAATGTTTTCCAACCACTTTCAGCTATACTTTTAACCATTATTAAGGATGAATTTCATTTTGCTTTTAACTGGATATGTGAATTGTTTTGTGTATGTATCTAGAGTTTTATTTTCCAAACATGGTCAGCACATTGTGGCAGTGTTCATAGTTAATATTATTGAGTGTTGGCTTTTTCTTTTTTATTAATAATGCTTCCATTATTTTTAGCCTTTTTTGTGCATGTGGATGATGCTATTATATTTGTGTTATCAACAAATTTGTTATAGGTCTCCAGGTGTATTTAAATGAGACCTAACTGATCTAATGGTCAGAATGATGTAATGTGAGTCTTACTAAGAGGTGGATGCATACCTTTCCCAAGGGTATTTGTGCATAAGTGAATATAACAAATCCAATTGGAACTTGGCTCTCCAATTAACAATTCTAAGCCATTATCCATTACACCAGCTGCCCATCTAAACTTATAGCACCTGGTATTTCCAAGTGATCTTTCATCTAGGTACTTATCAGGCTTGACCTACCTTAACTTCAGTGATCAATGTGATGTGGCTGTAAGCCCTATGTTGAGCATTGATTCCTGTTTATGTCAGTATGAACAAAAACTAGGAAAGGTCTGTTGCACATTTACAAGCAGCAGAAGGTGAAAATATTGCCAGAAATAGAAATGAAAAGGCAAATCCTCTTTCCAACATATTTGGTTATTGATTCACACATTCACTTGGCATGGCCTGGGGGTAGGTAAGTAGGTGACACTAGGGATATTTTCATTGCTATCTTCTTCCATGATAGACTAATTGACCAGATCTTTCCTTTGGTAAGCAGAAACTCTGACTCTCCTACCACCCCTTTGCCTATCTCTACATCATGATGTATGGCTTGCAACTCTGCCTGTCTACATCGCCACCAGTGACTTGCCGCTTGTGAATGAGGGTCTCCATGCTGAAAATTCTGTATGTTTATATAAACTTGCAACTGGAACTTCCTTTCGGCCAAGTGGTACTTGATCCTTAAAGTTTTCATTTATTTATCTTCTGTTTCCTTTTGGTCAGTAGGTGGCCTCTTTAAAGATTTTATTTCTAGAGTTTACTGCCTCCACAATAATAAAACTTGGTCCAGATAAACTCATTTAGGACCCACTTGACTGTGTTCTAATCATGGTCAGCTATCATTGTGGCACTATTACATAAGAACAAAATATTGTTTTATGCTAAATTAGCAATTACAAGGATTTTTCAGAAAGCATCAAATCATTAATGAGAAAATAATTCTCATTCCTTGGGACCTAATACATTTAACCCAATGTTTCTTCCACCTTTCAAGAGTTAGTAATCTCTTTTTTTGGTGTATGGGGTTGGGGACAGCCATCAAATGCTTCATCAGATCTCATCCACAGCTTTTCAAACTTTTTTAAAAACCAGAAATTGCAGAGAGTCCAATCTGGAATGATGGGTGTGGGGTGGGCTGCCAGTATTTTCTCAATTACTCATTGTGAATGCAACCGTCATATAGCACACTATTCCATGGCATTTCACTGTATTCTAAGTAACACATTAGAGTGTTCACACATAGTTGTGTTTTGATTACAGTTAATGTCAGTGTGGACAAGAGCACCAGATCAGATGTAGCAGCAATATTCAAAGTATGGACAAATGGTAGTCTTATAAATATGCAAGATAGATTCTGTTGAGAAAGTTAGCCAACTTTCTTAACTGCAGACTTATCAATTGATTGATACCCTTTCCACTTCATGTCAGTGGAAAAACATTAGTCTGAGAAAGTGCAATGAGTCATTCTCCTGGAGGTTAGCATCAACTATGCTGATGGAAGATAAAGAGGTATCTTGCAGTTTCATTTTGGAGGTGTTAAAATTAACATGCCACTCCTTGCTCCATTTAACAACAGATTGTAGGTCATTTTTGAGATCAGTTTTCAATTAAAAGTTTCCAGTATATTTGGTTATTGATTTACAGATTCACTTAGCATGATCATGTGGTGGTGGGGAGGAGGGTTAGTTGAGAGTTGGGATATCTTTACTGCTGTTACTGTCTTCACACATGATAGACTGACCAGATCTACTTCTTCAGCTAGTGGGGACTCTCTCTCTCTCTCTCCCTGTATCCATTTTTACATCATAATATGCAGCTTCTGACTCTATTCTAATTGTTACTCTACTTATCTAAGCCTACAACCGGAACTTCTTACCTTCCGGTCGAATGGCACTCAATCCCAAAATTTTTCATTTATTCATTCTATTTCCTTTCTAATACTTTTGTTCAGCAAGTACTTGCTTTAATCTTTTTATTTAGTTATTAGGCTTTACTGCTGGTCATAAATCACCAGATATTTAGACTCAGATTAAAATCATTTAGTGTACACTTGACTTTGTGGGTGCTCCAAGTCATGGCCAGGTCCCATTGTGTCACACTCGCATGATCAATAATGTCCACTCCAATTGGTTACCAAGTTAAATCAAGGCTATGCAACTGGCAGATATGTTCTGGATATTAGAGGAACCCTGTTTGTTTCAATCAAACTAGAAATGACTGCAAAATACTTTCCCCTCCCCAATTTATAGGCAAATGCATGCTTGGATTTCTCCCAAGCCAATAAAATAGGCTGGTTCTCATTTTCATCTGATTCAGTCCCAGTCTGTCCATATTATGTTTGCTTATTCAAACTTGCTCATGTGTCAACTCCAATTCTTAGTTTGTGAAATTTTGCCATATTTCTTTTGCTTTGCCTTATTATTGTTAATTTGCCTTGCATATATTGTTTGCTTGCTTTATATTATTTTTTGCCCTGTTCTTTCCTTTTTCTTGTTAAAAACTTTGTCAATTTTGCTTATTGGACAATTCTGTCATTTTACATTGAACTATGGCCACTATTTCTACAAACCTAATGGTATTATTGTTGTGCCAAACCTAATATTGGTTTATTAAAAAGCAAGAATACAATCTGGATGGTTGTGTTTCTGATTCATAGGCCAAAAAATAAAATAAAAAACAGACACTTATTAAAATAGAGAATTTTAATTTTATTCCTATATACACTGTTTTAATGTACTCTTTTGCCCATCCAAAACTTGGGTTTATTCTTAAATGTACGGGTGATTTCATGGGCAGTTCTTCGGATCTTTTTACGTTCTAAATGATGCATTTTGGCTTTATCTTTTTCAGATGTTTCTTTGTCATCCTGTAATGAGAACCAGAACACAAACTTGTTACAAGTTAACAAAAATACCAAATAACCAAAATTACTATTTAAATTTTTCTTTGGGGTATAAAATTTTATTTTTGCTATTAAAACAGATATATCTGATGGAAGTGAGAGGAAAAAATCATATAATGATTGTGTATAGTAATTAAAAACAATATAAAACAAATACCTGACTGGTTTTCATTCCTCTCTTATGAGGAGTTTGATAACAATAATAAAATTAATATTCAGGAATTAAGAATTTTTCATCAAAGATGACAGACTGATTTATACAGTTGAAAAGTGTGCGAACAATCTTTTCAAAAGGAAAAATGATATTAAAAATCGGTGAATTTTTAGCTTTCATGAAACATTTGTACCTCTTCTATAAAAAATGCACTTGTTATCGTAAGTATTGACAAAAAGAAAATTGACGTCCTAGACCAGGGTTTTTCAAACAGTGGGTCACAAGATAAATAAAATGGGTTGCAACAAAAAAGAAAAAAAACGAAAGTGAGCGCAAAGTGCAGAACATAAACAACTCTAAATGTTGCACAGCACTCATAAATAATTGCTAGTTTTTCACTGAGGCAAGCTTGTATTATATTTTAATTTTTAAATGGCATGATGGAAAGGTTAAGTCTTGTTTTTTCCCATTTCATATGTAAATTCTATCTTATGCTCAACTTTGTTTTGTTTATCTACAAAATCAGGCATATATTAATAGAGCATCATCAATATATCAGGAGTATGTTATTTTTTTAGGCCAAATATTTTGGAAGGTACCAGATTTGAGAAATTCTAAGAAATGCATGTCATCACTCAACTAAGAGGTGATTCCTTTGGCAATCCAAATTTTTGTTTATAAAAATTATTAAATGTGAAATTGCATTGATTGGTGATGAGATGGCAGATTTTTATTATTTTAGCTATTAGCAGAGGTAGGGAGAGTTTTATCTTTGTGTTAGGTGATTTTTAAAAGATTTAAGCATTTTTCAACCATGATGTAAGTGTAAAGTGATTTTATATCTAGACTGGCTAGGAGTTTGTCAGTTATATTTGTTTCCTTTAGTTTTTCAACTAGGTTGTCTGAATTTTTATGTGATGGACTGATTGTTCCAAGGTGAGGGGTTAAAATTTTTGTTATGGCTTTACTGAGTTTGTGGAGAGTGCTGTCTATTCCTGAAATAAAAAAAAATGTTCTTACTTCTCACCAATAATGGTGGATTTTTAATAAATGGAATGTACATACATAAACACTTAAGTACATTTTTTAAATTGGAGAATGAAATTTGAATGAAAAATAAAGAATAAAGGATTTCTAATATTTATCTCTAATTGTGGAAAAAATTGTAAGAACTAAATTTGCTTTAATAAACAAAATGTATATTATTTACTGTCAGTTTTTGGTTAAAAAACTTTGAATGAACCATGAACAAACAAATTATATATACTAATGTGAAATGCTGAAGTTCCTCCTGAAAATCTCCATTCATGTCCCTCCTACTCAACAATATGACTCAGGGAAAGCAGTGGAGTAGTGACTAGAGGGCATAGATTGATTGATTGTTTTTTTTTTTTACAGCTTTTTATGTTTTATTTAAAACCAAAGTATATTTTGGATTGTAGGAATAATTCTTTTTTTTATAAATTTTTTGAGACTGAATATAGCATTAATTTTTTTGAGAATAACAATGATTTTTTTCAGATACAATTCCTACTATTTAACTCATAGCTGGGGGGAGGAGATGCATATAGAACTTTCCCAAGCGTATTTACACATAAGTGAATGCAATGTATCTGTCTATATTTTTGAGATGAGGTAACTATTTATACTATTTACATCATTCAGACTGTTGTTCTCATATTTATTGCCATATTCACAACATTTTGGCTTTCTTCAAGTGATATATATTAGAATTTTGAACTGAAACCTTTATTTAGTCCACAGGTGTAGTTTTTTCTAATTCCACATGCCATGCATTTTTTTTTGGATATCTCAGTTTCAGTTAATTCCCTTTAGTAACACAACTCCCCAAGTTTTTGTCCCCCCTGCTGTGGCCAGGTACTGAACTTGACAATTTTTGGATTACGTCAACCAATGCTTTTATCCACTGGGCCATGTGTCCCCAAGGACAATCTATCCCCATAGACTAAATAAAGGGTTCAGTTTGAAATTCCAACATATACCACCTGAAGAAGGCCAGAACATACAATGGCTGAAACATTAATATAACAATAAAGATGAAGACAACAGTTCAAAAAATATAAATAGTGTAACTTACTCAACTGAAAGTCAATGCAGGGCACAAAGACTATAGTTTAAAAGATTTAATGGATAAAAGTAAATATTTATTACCTGAAAATTTTAATGACATTTTTATTTGCTACTAACAACTATAAAGGAAAACAAAGTTAAATAAAAAACATTTTGATTTGGGGATGGTTCCTGGATGATAGTGAAAATAATCTGGAAACTAAGAAAAAACAAAAAACAGCATAAAGTTTTTTTAGTTAGAAAAATTAACTTTTGTGTGTAGATTTCCAAATGTACAATTCCTGATCCAACATTGGATATTTTTTTAACATCATTACACAAATATCTTTTTGTCTCCCTTTATCTGCACAATTCATATGGCATCAAAATGAAGATTTTTTTTTAGTCAAATATCTTTTTGTTTTCCCTTTAGGCGCACAACTCACATGGCATTGAAGTGAAGATCTTCCAGGTTTCCCTTCTTTTGTTTTTGTACAAGTTTGAAAAATGCTATGCTTTGAATGAGAAAAAATAAAATTTAAAATGTCCCTTTAAATGGCTTCTGGGTATGGTTTGAGGAACGAGTGACTATTTGATACCCTGACTCATGGATAGAACAGAATTTCCATTAACCAAATAAACCAAATCAATAAAAATAAAAAAAATTCATCATTTGCATTGAGTTAGAATTATATATATGTATGATTGTTGGAAATTGCCACATCATTTGCTGCTGGGTGATAGAATTTTAATGATTGAAATTCATATCTACAGGTAATGGGTTAATATTGGTTATTATCTTAATAGCTATATAACAACAGTTCCACTATAGTATATAATAATAGATATATGGTATTTGGAAGTATAACTTACATTTTTAAAAGTGAATGTCATTTCCATGTGACCTTTTGGAATGCCAGTTTGAACTTGTGGTTGACTTTCATTGCTTGCTAATCTCTCTGACAAAGTTTTCCTGATGAGAAATGAAAATGAACATGAATTTTGAAAGAACAGAAAGAATATTTTTTTCGTTTGTAACTTGTACACTCTATTAGAGTTAACCAATTTGGATGAGAAATCAATTACAGGTTGTTGTTACAACAACAATAATGATAATAATAACTGATGATAATTTTAATAATAGTAATAATGATAATAATTGTGATAATAATAAAAATGATGATAATTGTAAAAATAATAAATAATGATGATGATAATTGTAATAAATAATAACGATTATAATTGTAAAAATAAATAATGATAATTGTAAAAATAATAAAATGATGCAACACTAGGCATAGCTCTCATGATTCTGATCTTGATTGGAGGAATTAACATGAACAATTTTTGTGTTGGTGAATTAAGAAGGCCTACAGTTAATATCCTATTCTTTATAACAGTTTTGCTTGTTATTTGCTTGATTGTAACTATTATGTTAACTTCAATCTGGACGAGATACTTTCTACATACAGAGGAGAAACGTCTGGCTAAAGGTTGCATGTATAATGCCTCATACATTTGTAGAAGAAAATAAACAAGGAAAATGTTTCTTTAACTTTTGTTGCATGCTCTCAAGAGATACATACAGAGAATAAAAATGTAAAATGAAAAAGTCAAAAAACTAAGCAAGAAAAGGTACACTTACTTGTTCTTCTTTTTTCTCTTGGACAAAATGTCATCTCCTTCTTTAATCTGATAAAATCTTGGTTTATTGTCAGGTTTTCTTTTGTTTGTCTTCTCGTCTGCTACAAGTTTCTCTTCCTCCACCTCTTCTTCTGTATTTTTGTTTCTTTCTCGGATTTTGCGATGAGCCTTCTTCAGTTCAACTCTCATTCGTTTCTCATCCTCTTCACTGTCTTCACTACTGCTTTCTTCACTTGCTCGACCCTCCAATAAATCTTCCTACAAAAGAAAAATGCAGAATTATTAATTAACAACTAAGATGCAATAGGATTAGTCAGGTTAAAACAGACATAGAATCTCAACTTCCTCCATCATATACAACAGAGGTTCCCACTTTCACATGGAAAAATTTTTCTTTGACCGTTTTTCAATTCCATGATTTCCATTTTCTAGGTTGGTTATGAACACTTAATTTTGAAAAGTTCATAGGCTGACTATAAAGGAGTAATGCTAGATGAAAAATGTTAAATATATATGAGGGTGGGCTGAAAAGTTCATAGGCTGACTATAAAGGAGTAATGCTAGAGCTGTGAAATCTTGCATGCATTCATTTCAACTCTTCTTATTAATAACTGCATTGTTTCTTTTCAGGTACGAGGGTGGGCTGAAAAGTTTATAGGCTGACTATAAAGGAGTAATGCTAGAGCTGTGAAATCTTGCATGCATTCATTTCAACTCTTCTTATTAATAACTGCATTGTTTCTTTCCAAGTACGAGGGTGGGCTGTAAAGTTCTAGGCTGAGGCATGCATTCATTTCAACTCTTCTTATTAATAACTGGTTTCTTTGAAAAGTTTATAGGCTGACTATAAAGGAGTAATGCTAGAGCTGTGAAATGCATGCATTCATTGCAACTCTTCATTCATTGTTTTTCAACGAGGGTGGGCTTCTTATTAATAACTGCTGTGAAATTGTTTCTTTCTTATTAATAACAAGTAAGAGGGTCATAGGCTGACTATAAAAGTTCATAGCTGTGAAATCTTGCATGATTCATTTCAACTCTTGAAGGAGTGATGCTTTAGAACTGTGAAATCTTGACTATATAATGCATTGAAATTTCAACATTTCTTCTTATTAATAACTGAATTGTTTCTTTCCAGGTACGAGGGTGGGCTGCATTCATTTCAACTCTTCTTATTAATAAAAGTTCATAGGCTGACTATAAAGGAGTAATGCTAGAGCTGTGAAATCTTGCATGCATTCATTTCAAGTTCATAGGCTGACTCTTCTTATTAATAACTGAATTGTTTCTTTTTTGAAGGTAAACTGGCATCTGACTGTTCAAAGACTTAATAAAATTGTTTCTTTCAGGTACGAGGGTGGGCTGTAAAGTTCATAGGCTGACTATACTAAATAGTAGCGACTTCTCTTGAGAATGGAGAAAATTTGGCATTGTGGTATTATTAAATACCTGCATTATTCCCAAGTGGTCACCCATCTAGGTACTAACCAGGCTTGATGTTGCTTAACCTTGGTGATTATACCTAACTTGGAAGATAATGAGTTCAATCTTCACAGGATAATAAGGGTGTTAAATCTGATGATGAGTTTTCTAATTTGTAGACTTGTTTTTTACTATGTTATTACATTTTTATTTTCCCTTTTATTCTTTGATTAGGCAATCAAATATGATTGATGGGCGTATCATTGGTACTCGCTCACATCTGAGCATTGTGATTGTCTCTCTCTCTCTCTACCTATTCCCCTCCTTTCCCCTGGTGGTGAAGATGGCTGTGAAGGTCCAGTCTACTCCTGAAAAATCATGAGCAGGAGTGTGGGTGGTAGATGCAGTTGCATGAGTCAAGTCATCCTTACAGAATGTCACAGATCCTCTTCACATTGACAGTTTGACTTGAAGATGGAAGATATCTGATAAAGTATGTATAAATGGGATATGTGAAAACAAGTTGGATGTTAAAAATCTTGACAAACATGAAACTTGGTGCCTGCAAAAAAACAGTGTGAAAAGGACATTTTTTTTCCCCCCATGACACTACTTTTATTTTAACTACATTCACTCTTTGGCAATGTTTATTGTTTTAAAAAGTGATGATTACAATTGTAATAAAACCTAAACTTATGATGAAAATTAGTTTATACACTTTTTTTTGTTCTTGAGAATTTGCAACAAAGACATTAAACATTATTTATTTATTAGATTGTTTATTTGCAAGAATAATTTTATATTTACAACATTCTAAAAACTAATACAATTAGAACTAATGCAATGCAATATTTATCGTTTACCTATTTATAAAGAAATAAATATGAAAACAATTTTTTATTCATAAAATATGCAAACCAACTATAAGTAAATTCTTATTATTTACCATTTATAAAGTCCGAATGAATTGGTAATTAGCTGATGTTTTGCCAACCATTCCAATAAATAATATAATAAATATATAATGTAAATAAATAGTCTAATAAATAAATAGTATTTGTTATTGTTGTAAATTCTCAAGAACAAAGAAAATGTATAAATTTTCTTTCATATGTTTAGGTTTTATTACAATTCCAACTATTGCATTTTAAACCATAAGCATTGCCAAAGAGTGAAGGTTGTTAAAATAAAAGCAGTGTCATGGGAAAAATTGTCTTTTTGACACTTGTTTTTAATTGCAGGCATGAAGATCCAAGTTTGCCAAAACCATGAAAATATTTTGCAAAAATGAATTCCCTGTCAGCCAAATTATTTTGGCAGAGAAACAAAAATATAAATTAATAATTACAAGAAATTAAAATTAAAGAAAAAAGATTGTAACAATTTCTTTCATGACATCTTGTTTTCATTAGCTTTGGTTGCAATGTCATCACAGATTTTAACTTGGAAAATTATGAGCAAGTTTTCACTAAGGTATTACAAAGTAAAACTCAAACAATCTTGTCATCAAATTATTATAAAAAGCTTAACTTGGTGATAAGACTTGAGACTAAGACTATATACAAATTTGTTACACACAAAACCATAAAATGGTTAGTGTTGCTGTCCATAATCCCAATAAAAAGTGAAATGTGTATAAAAAAAACAATTCCACTGCAAATAATCATAAAAATTTTGACTTACCTTCACTGGTTCAAATTGCTTTTGCACCATTTGTCGTTGTCGTTCTTTCTTAGCTTTGACTCGGTCCAGTTTTGATACCAGAGGATTAATCAGGTGATATTCACTGCTTTCACGATCAATTTGGAAGTTAGGATCAGTAAACATAGATTCAAATCGTTTGTCTTTCAAAAGGCCGCTAGCCTTTTCTTCTTCCTGTCAAGAGGAGAGAGAAAAAAATATATAAAATAAAAACCATTTCTTTTTTTTTGATGAAATATAAATGCTCAGTTCTTCAATGGAGCAACAAATATTAGTCAAAAGTCGACCCATTCAATTGAAATGTTTTTAAAAATAAAAGCAGAAGGATATCAAGGATGTATTTCTGATTGGTTTTGTGAGTTTCTTATGGAAAATATTTGGATGTAAATATATTTTAGATAAATTGAATGTAGAATCAAAATCTATTAACGACAGTGAACTTAATTTTTTTTAGATTAAAAGGGAAAACACATGGTAGTATTTATTTGCCATCCCATGAAGGCAAAATCTAAAAATCTAAAAAAAAAGAAAAGAAAAAAAAAAAAAAAAAAGAACAAATGGTTGATAAAATATAAATTTATTTGAAGGAGTTATTCTCACTGGGTTCATGTTTCTGCTTCTGTAGACATACAGGTCTACAAAGCTTACATTGCCTGTTGTTAACATGTGTGTGTGTGTATATATATATATAAAAGGCTTGTGCCCCAGTGTATGATATGGGAACCTCCCACACAACTACATCTCAGTTTTCATAAAGTAGTGTCAACACAAAATACAAATTTTATTATAACCTAATTATATACAATAATGGCACATATGCGATAGAGGTGAACAATTCAACTAGAAAAATTGAAAATAAATACAATGCATCTAAATATAAATTAGAGACATGTGATAATAGATCATTCCATCTTAAAATAGATCAACAATTTTTAACATCAGCCTGAATTTTTTGTTAAAAAGTTGAATAATTTAACACTTTCAACAATATCAATAGAGAATAGTGAATTTTATATAGTATTTTCGAAAATTAGCATAACTGAGCCAAACAAATTCATAGCTTTGGATGAAAATAAAAACACAATGTCAAAATCCACAAAAATTTTTCATCCATTAATATTCAGTTGTGCTTAGTTTAATTTGTAATGTATATAAATGTAGTTAGAAAAAAGCAAATGCTGATAAGATAGTGAGAGTCACAAACCACTGCCTGTCATGGGGTTTACAAGTAGTACATGCTGGCCCTTATATATATATATATTTACTCTGGCTCCCCACTGTGATAGGATGTGACACAAGGTTGGGTTTAATGTAGGAAACCCAAACGTGTACACTCAGGCCAAGAACAAAAATTCCCCAAGCCCCAGCAACTTTTGTTTGTGCTGACCTCGGTGAGAGCACTGATCCCTCTCTCTAGTGCAATGAGAGAATGCAGCCTTGGGCATCTGTTCTCCAGAGCTGGGCACCACACACACATATATATATATATATATATATATATATATATAAAAGCTGGTCCTCTCTTCTTTCATGTGTTCAAGTTGTTTGGGCCAAAAAGGTTGAGAACCATGCCTGTACATCATAAGTTTATAACTGACACTGGAAACCATGACAATAGTTGCTCCACACATCTGTGTGAAGGTTTATTGATTTTGAAAAACTGTTTAAAAAAAAAAAAAAGAGAAAAAAAGAGTGATGGCATATCCAAAATATGAATTTAGTTAAATAAGACATGATTATTTTTCTCATACAACTTTGTAGTAACAAGCTTTACCAACACAGTAGCCAAGCAGGGTCTGTAAATGAATAAAAAAAATAGTAAATGGCTTATTCACCTTGCTTAATTTTGCTGTTGATGTTGGGATTTTTTCTTCATTTTCCATCAATTTGCGTGCCAAATCTTTATTGACTTTGGGAAGTTTCTGAAATAAATCAAAAACAAAATTGAAACACTTAGGAAAAAAGAAAATGAACAGTTGAAGTGTTTGATGCAGAATACAATTAAAATAATTTTTAAATTCTGATTTCTTACTTGTCTACAACTGATAGTTTCATATGTAGCCACAAACCGCCAGGTGGTGCAGGAAGGAACCATCCCAAAATTGTGAATGTATCTTTCCTACACTGCCTGATAACTGACAGCAGTCAAGGGGTAAGAGTTCAGAATTTGTAAAGTGTATATATATCAGAAATATCAACTTTGCACCAAAGAAAAAAAACGAGAAATATAAATAGTCAGTTAGTGATACCCCCTTGATGAGTGTATGGAGTGATTGCTGGAGGGTGCATCTATGAAACGCTGGAGCAAAAAATGCTAAGGTTAGCATCAAGCAGCTAAATGAGTGCCAAACTTTAAATTTGTATTAATTCTCTCTCTCTCATATATATATATATATATATATATATGAGAGAATACACAGTGAGTGCTGATGGTGTTAATGAAAGAGTGTTTGATGATATAAAATAACAGTTAAAATATATACTAAAAATAAATATACATTTGTTCTTCATATATAAATATTATAAATATATATATATATATATATATATATATATATATATATATATATATATATTCAAGCATGTATAGTTGAATAATCTAGACATTATTTTAATCCTCTCAAATTCACAAATGAATTTCTTAGTGTTGTTATAAAATTGATTAAGAAAGATGCCATAGTTTTGCTTATTTTTATTTTCGCCAAGTACTTTCAATCTCATTCAAGATCATCTTCAGAGATAATTGCTATGGCAAAAAATTAATGTAATTGATAGTTTTGAGTTTTTGTTTTTTTTTGTAAATGTGCATGAAATGCGCTCTGTTATAGTCAATTTAAAAATTAATGTTTTGAATATACAAGGGAACTAACTTAATTACACAAATTACTAAATGAACAATCAGAACTCTCAAGATGCAAACACAAAAACAAAGTTTTATTGTTACATAAAATCAGAAACTAAAAATGAATATGAAAAAAATAAGTAAATTAAACAAACAAAAAATCTAAATTAATAAATAATTAAACAAATTAAGTAAGTAATAAGTGAATTAACAGACTATGAATGTACACATAAACACAAATAAAAATAATAATAAACAACAAATAATAAATTATGAGTAAAAAAAAAATTAATGAACAACAGTATGAAAAAGCTACAAATAGCTGCACTTGGATCCACAATTATTTCTACCCAACAGCCTCTAGAATAATTTGAAACAAAACCATTAACATTCACCTAATAGCTGATTGAATAATGCACTAAAGCTTCTACCTATAATGCACCACTGATCAGCATATAGTTAAGCCAAAACACAATGCACATGGCCTGAAGATTGTGTTTAAGCATGAAACTGACTGTTGCTGGGTGTTGACTTCAATGATATATAAATTTTTACATATCAGAAATTTCTTTAAGTTTAAAATTTCTAGGTTCAAATAGGAATTTAGACATACTCAGTGAATATAGTTTCTGCAAAAAGCCATCTACAAACTCTCTACAAACCTAATTGCGGCAAACTAGCCCAAAACTACTAGATTTCATCAGTAACATAGCCTATGCAACAAAAAAAAAAAAAAAATTACCTCACCTCCAAGTCCCACTTCATTTTTTTTTTTTTATTGCACATTGAGAAAGGATACGGGCATGTCTGAAAATTCCAATTTTTTTTCCTTCTTATCATGACTATTTGGTCAAAAGGCTGACTAATATACAAAAGATATTATTAGTCTTTTTATTATTATTTTTTTATCTCTCTAATTTCTTTTATCAGTCTACTATATCTACATGTATACATAATATTATGTATAGGCAGCAAGTATTCATCCAAACAAGTTTGATTAAAAAGAACCAATGAGGTCTGTTTAATATTTTATTATATTTTTCCAATTTTCGAATAAGGTGTTAAGTAGTGTGCATGAAGTTGTAGATAAATTGTCTGAAGTTCATATTTTGTTATTGTTCAAGTACTTTCAACCATTGCAATCATTATCAAGAACCAATTTAATGCCTGTGTGGCTGTTAGAATTGCTTTGTCCACATCCTGATATTCTTTGTATACACACACACATATATATATATATATATTAGACGTAGATATGTATATATGTATGTAAAAATAATAACAGATTATATTTTGGAAAAAAATGGCCAACCAGTGAATTTCTGGAAGATAATTCTTAGAAAAGTCAAATATATCTAATGTCTCATAAGCTATAAATAGTTAGACACCTTTCAACACATTATCAATTTACTTAATTTTTTTTTTTTTTTTTTTTTTTTACACAAATTCCTATCCAAAACAATTTCAAATTAGCTTATGTCATACAATTAATGTCTTTAAGAAAGAACAAATTTTAAATAAACTGACAAAAAAATTAATGTCTTTTTAGAAAAATTTATGTAATGTCTTAAGAATTATATGGTATCTGTAAATAAATTTAATTTTCTATCTAACTTCCCAATGAGTTGTGTGGAACTCTGAGTCAGGGAGATAAGTGAACATTTAATTTTATTTGTTGACTATATATAAAAATATAAATAAAAAACAGAGAAATATAAATATATGCAGATACATATTTATGCATGCACACACATACACTCAGTTCAATATACACACTTAGAGAAGAGTAATTTAAATACTTACTCCAATTTTAACTCGACTTGCACGATTCTTCTCAATAACAGCACGCACTTTTTCCTTCTTGTAATTTTCGTAAGCAAATGGTTCTGTGAGTGCTTTGGCCTGCAGAAAAAGAAATGAAATGAAGCAAAAATGTTTTCTCTGGAAAAAATAACTATAAAGAATCAAAGATAGATGTTAATCAACTTAATTTCACTTACAATATTATTTGATTTGATGTATTTATGTTGGAAGTGATTAAGCATATAAAAAAAAAAAAAAAAAACTAAAAATGTTGCTACAAGTCATTATAGTGTCTGTTGTGCATTTCATAGAGACATACTCTGTTTTTTTTAAATCATTTCACCCCAAGCAAGGCAATAAGATGCAAGAGGTTACTGATAATGTAAAAATATAAAAGAAAAACATTATTAAGGAGAGAGGACAATAAAAGAACAGGAATTAAGAAGATAATGATTGACATTGCATTTAAATTTTTGAAGATCAAAGTTGATTGGAAATCAAGAAGCCAGAAAAGAGTTCCACAAATGAAAAGTGTAAGAGAAGAAACTGTTTCCACAGATCACATGGTTACATCTAGCAATTTCAGCTTTAAAATGATGAGATCTAGCTGACAATCTAGTACTAGTCTAGGTGCCAAAGAGGAAAGCAATATTTATTTTGAAAAATACAAAGATGTAGCACAAGGCCAAAAGTGGGGAGAGGGGAAGATTGGTCTTCAATCTGTCTTGTCTTAAACTTAACTAGCCAAGATTACTGACTCAAACATACCACAATATTCCTTACACCAAAACAACACTAGATATGGATTGGAATTTCTGGTTAGGATCATAGTATCTGCATGCTCAAGATGTCATACTCTGGCACCTTTTCCTAAGATCATGTGTGTTCAATGTGTCATCCTGGTATTTTTGTCTTTGATTAAAATGTAGTATCTGTACACTGAAAAATGTAATGCAACACACACACTGCATTTTAAACATATAGATTATTTAAATTGTCTTCTCTGACCAGGTTTATAGAAAAGAGGAATAGAAAGAAAATGAATAATATATGATAAAATAGAAATACGCAAAATAATGTGGTTGAGAGATAAAAGTGTAGATGAAATGCAAACAAAGAATAGTTTTATTTTTTTCATGCAATAGTGAAGTAGTAATCTGGGACATAACATTTCTATAATATATGTTAATATAATTAAGACTAAAAAACACATGGAGGACATAGATATAATACATATAATGAAATGAAATTGTTTTAAATGGCATAAGTCAAAAGAAGATTGTGTCTTAACCATGAATTGTTATAGGTCTGGACTGTCTTAATCCTGGGTCTTATTGTACCAAGATTTATTTACCTGCTTACAAGATGAATGTTTCCTAAGGAATTTTTTTAAATTCCTGTTCAGCATGACAAATTTTTAGTGTGCAGCTTCCTATCTATAATACCAATACATTGGTTTATCGATTCATTTTCTATGGCTTATCAACCATTTGCAAATTATTTAAAGCCAAGAAATATTTTTACATTGTAAGATTTGTTTTTTTGAGATAATGGTTTAGTGATAAAAGTCTTACTAATTAACTTATAGCTTTTGAGAATAGGTGGATTCATGCCTTTCCCAAAGGTATTTGTGCGTAAGTGAATATAAACCCAATTGGAATTGAAACAATGCTCTTCAATTAACAATTCTAAGCTATTTTCTATTACACCAGCCATATATGCAAGCTTACAGCAACTCTTATTCCCAAGCAGGGACCCATCTAGGTAGAAGAGGGGGGACCTTTCCCAAGAGTATTTGCACATAAGTGAATATAACAAACCCAACTGAAATTGAAAATCTGCTCTCTGATTTCCAATTCTGAGCTGTTATCCATCAGACCAGCCACATTTTCAAGCTTACAGCACCTGGTATATCCAAGTGGTCACTCATCTAGATATTGACCAGGCTCAACTTTGCTTAAGTGATCATACAGGAATCAGTGTTTCAACATGAGGTTGCCATAAACCCAGTACATTGGTTATATTGTTCTATTTAATATTAAAAAAAGGATATGTTTTGCAGAGTAGAAAATACACCAATACTTTTTTGCTAAAAACCTGTTTTAGAAAATTGTGAAAAATAATTTCATAAAACATCATTCACCTTCAGATAATTAATCCTTTTTATTATTTCATAATAATCATTTTTGATATTTTAGTGCAATCATTTTCAGGTGAGAAGAATTATTACCTACTAGCAGTATGGCCTGGTGTTGCCCGTGCTTGATTCAAAAATCGTACAACTCATACAGCAATCGCTATCACTCGACATAAAATATTTTTGCCCTTTGCCGTGCTGATGTTGCTACATGCCTTACTTCTCACACTGCGAATTTTTTCTAAGCTCTATACTAAACATTAAATCTGTTATGAAAAAAGAACTAAACAAAATGAACACAAAACGATCAGATTTAAAAAAGGACCTGTAACTGGAAATACCAAATGAAAAAAGAATGTTAACAACAAATACTTTTTCATACCCAACCCAGTTTTGTGGAATCAGAATCAACGTTGAGTTTAAGCAAGCGAATGAGCTAATTGGAGTAAAGTGTCATGCAGATTTAAATTTTTCCCACTTGCGACGAATGCAGCTATCGATTTTTTTTTTTGCATGTTAGCATGCTAGTTAACATTCGTGTCAGTCAGCTGTTGGCTCTCACACTGGCCAGTAGAAAATGGCCACAAACTACATGAAAACTGCCTTAGAAGCATGAAAAAATCGATTATTTCCACTATTGATGGGAGTTGGGAAATGCTAAGTCAGTTTTGGCCTTCCCGCTAACTTGGAGCATGTGCATGTAAATTTTGGTGCAAATCCGTCGAAATTGCGGCTGTGCATTCGTTACACACACACACACACACACACACACACACACACAGATCCTGCCTTTTATAGATAGAGATTTTTGTTATCAGAACTTTATTGAATAATACTATCTTTAGCCTTTATGGCTTCTTAAGTTCTCTGAAAGTCCACTAAAAGGATCATGAGAAAGAGGAATCAAAGCAACACCATGTTGGATTTTGCTCAAGACCTGAATCAGCAACAACTGCATTGATTCACTCCAGGCTGAGTGTGACAAGTGAATGACTTGAGCAACAAACACCATCAAGGTACCAATGCAGGGTACACAGCCATCAGAATGTGGAATGTTTGCATCCTCTATGCTTTAAGAGAAAGAGTGGCTGAACATGACAATGCTGGAACTCAGGAGAGCCACCACCAACAGATCAGACTGGAGGAGGTTGTCTGTTTCTTCTGGCCTCAGTGTCCCTCTCACCTTGATGATTGAAGGACTGATGATGATGATTCTTTAGAAATCATAAAAACAAAAATAATAAAAAAGATTCATGTATAAACATTATAAAAGAAGATGCCATAAAATTCTTGGCATGACCAAGACTGGATTCCTCCACAAATTTTGAGGCTAGGTCAGATTTTGGGAAGTTGATGGAGCTGAGAACTTTTTAGCATCTTTAATATATTGTAAAAATTTTTTTTAATTGTTCACAGAACTGAGAATAACACCTGTCACACAAGTTGTAGATCAACTTAGACAAGTATCTGCTTTTTGGTGGTAGAGTTAAAAAATTTTGATGCCATAAAAACAGAAAAACAGCCCTAGCTCAAGAATCCCTTGTCTATTTTTAATGAGATTTGGCATTGCACTCCACAGGTGTTCAAAGTACAATATAGTTGGGGCATCATGTACTGTTTAAGCTTTATCTTCAGAGCACATATACATACATACATACATATATATATATATATACATACATACAAGATTAGAGTTTTAGCATTATATAGATCAGTGGTCCCCAAACATTTTAAGCCATGGACCAGTGTCATGCAAGACATTTTTTTTCAGTCTTTGGGGAGCGTTGGTTATGCATATAACAAAACAATAAAAAAGACCACGATAGTCAATAAAATGGAAAAAAGTTTTTACTCTTTCAGTGCAGCTCGGTACCAAATGGTCTATGGCCCAGTGGTTGGAAACTGCTGATATAGATAATTAGAATTGGGCTGTTATAAAGTCAATGTTTAATTTGTAATATTTTACGATACACTGTAAGCCCATTTGACACCATTTTCCTTAGCCTCTTTTAGTTTTTTTATTATACAGCTTATCTGACTGGAGTTAAAGTCATTAGAAATATTTTTGTCAATATTTTCCCAACAGTATAAACAGCAAAAAATATACAACAAATACATACTTTGTGATAAAGACGTATATCTAAGAAGAAGCCATGCATATATGCACGCAACATCTTCGAACCAATAAGATGTGTGAGGCCCAAATCGTCCAACTCTCGTCTTGTCACAAATTTGTAATCATCATAAACTGAAAAATAAAACAAAAATTGAATGTGATTAAATTCTTTTAATTTAAATGTATTTTTCTTTCCATGAAAATAATAAAATTGTAGTATTTTTAAGTGAATCTCTATGACAATATTTTGATATTTGTACATAGAATATATGTGGTTGAATACATCTATTTTGTTTCACTACCTTTTGCTATCTTTGAGTCAGCTTCATGATTCCATCCTCCCAGAACTGGGCATCTTTCTGGGCGATAAACTAGTCTAAGTGGTTTTTACAGGCTTCCAGAGAACCAATGTTCTTCCCATTAAGAGAATTTTGTAGAGACCAAAATAAGTGGTAATCTGAAGGTGCAAAGGTCAACTCAGTTTGGTAGGTGTAGTAGGGCATCCCAGCAATGTTGTATCGATTTCTGCTAGGCTGCAGAGAGATGTGAGATTGGTCATTGTTCTTCTGATTGATCAATTCTGGACACTTTTCATTAACTGCTGATTTAATCAGTGGAATTGGGAACAGTATGAATTCAATAACTGATTTTGTGGAAGGAGCTCATAGTACACAATGACCCTCCAAACTCACCAGATGCACAAAATCATCTTCTTTAGATGCAGGCCAGCTTTTGGGTGGGGATGATTTTGTTTTTCCCCAGGGACTTTTTTTGCTTCACTTTGTTGTAAACAATACATTTTTCATTATCTATGATTTTCTTCTTTTTTAAAAATACATTTTTTATAGATTGAAATGCCTCTTCCAGCATGATTTTTGAATAAGCATGGAATAATTTACAACACAAAATGTACGTAACAAAATGTATTGAAACAATGAAAAAAGGTACACAATATTTTGTTTTGGTATATTTTGGGAAGACTGAGAATGGGTTTATGATGGGCAGAGTCTCTGGATTGATCTCTTAATCTTGTTGTCTTCGGTCCAACCCATATTTATATGCGGTACTCCCTTATGTAAATTAGGTGTATCAACAACAGCAAGTATGAATCTTCTGCTTGTATCCTATTTATTCTAGGCTCAGGGCACCTGTGTGCCTTGTTTATTTTAGCCACTGGATGCATTTCCTGTTTATGCTATCACCAGTTCGAATTTCTGTTCACACAATGATGCAGCGGAAATAAGGCCAAAAGGTCTTTCCTCCATATCCTATTCCTGATATCCAACACATGTGAATGAATCCTTTAGGTCTTAAAAATAACATTCTTTTTTTTATCAGATCTTAAATCTTCAGATGCCTCAGTGTATGGATCAGCTATAATGAGTTAAGTACAAGAGAAAAAGAAATTGAACATAGAATAGGCTGTTCCAGAGGTAGTTTTAGAAATTGCTAAGAAACCAAAACATCAACTTGAAAACTTGTCATGTTCTTAAATAGCCTCATTAGACTGAGACTTTCACATGGATGTCAGGCATGGTGCCAAACACATTAAAAAATATCTAAACTGTCAGCTGTACACAACTGCTTCAATGGTGAAAAAAGCCTTTGAGCAAGTGAAACCTGAGGGTCTTGGCAAAGATCATCCTTCTTTGTACATTGTGGATTGGTGTTACAAAACTGTACTAAATAATAGAAACCACATCACTTGAGGACTTTCAACAGTGGCAACAACTAAAATGGATAGTACATGTCACTCAAAGAGAAAATGAAGACATAATCAAGATACTGACATTTTACACCACTTCAAATAGAAGGTTAGGAAGAAGACCTCTATCAATACTGGAAAGAGCAATAAAAGCTACTGGACTTGAGAAACCTGTTTTCCTAAAAAAAGTTTTTAAGAAAAATATTTTATAAATTTCAACCAAAAACAGTACGGTCGGTCAATGAATGTCAAATGTTTCCTTGTAGGGAAACAGTTAATATTACGATTACCAATATAGACAGGTGCTACAAAATCACAGAGCTTTACCAAATAACAAAAACAACATCACTTGAAGACTTCCAACTGCAGTGGTAACAAAAATGGGTAGCATATGTAACGAGAAGTGGAGATAATGATATAACCAAGATATTGACTTTCCACATTACCTCAAACAAAAGGTTAGCAAGGGAAGTTCTATTAATACTAGAAGGAGCGATAACAGTGAACTTGAGAATTCTATATTCCTGAAAAACTGTTTTAAGAAAAATATTTTATAAAATTCAATTGATAGTAATGCTAGCTTATCAGTCAATGAATGCCAAATGTTTCCTATATGGAAACGTTTTTTTTCACCATAACCATGTATCTCTTTATAGATTTTTTGGAAATCATTCTTTTTCTTTTGTGATGTTTTGTTTAGAAGGCCTGGCATTCTTTAGTGCTTGTTTCATAACAAAGACAACTGGTTCAAATGAATCGATGCAAGATTATAACAATGGTTCATCTGAGAAAATCAAACAAAAATATTAACCTGTTTCGGTTTTGTTTTCTTCCAGTTCTTCAGTTAAATTGTCGAGGAATGAACACCATTTGGGAGCAGTACCAATGGACTGTAAATAAAAAAGTGATGGGTAATATTTCAGTCTAAAATGTTTGTAGTTTTAAGATGAGGCAGTATTGTGTTTAAAGCACCTCACTCATTGATGTTAGTATTCTTTTTAAGTCATAATAAAAACATGTAACATTACCTAGTACAGTGGTTGCCAAACTTGTTTTCTCTGGGACACATTTTCAAAATGAAAATTTACTTGTGCCTCATCAAATTTTATGCTATAAAAAGTACATTTAAAATTAAAAAACAGAGAGAGGGTTAAAGAGAGATAACTGTGGATTCGAATTCAGAACATTATCATTGATAACTCTCTCCTCCAATTTGCAGACCCTGGTTACTATATTCTCCTGCAATTTGTGGAGCCTAGTTACTATATTCTTAATACTTGATATAATGCAAAAATACCACAATGATAAAATCAGTCAATAATTATTTATAACTATTTATACTGGGACTCATTCATGCAATTACAAGTAATCCATAATAATAATTTAAATGTTGAAATCATTTATTTTTGGCATATGAATTTTTTGAAACTCCTTCTAAATCTTTGATTTTCTTTCAATTATTCTAACTCACCTGCTACCCTCTTCCACTGCACCTATGAGGTGGGCTGCATTGTTTGGGAACCTGTGATCTAGTAGATCATTTATAATCAATGATAAAACTTTAAATTTCTACCATTAAAACTGTAATGAGTTGGTCGGTCAACTTGAAACCCCCAAAGCGAGTGGAGGTGGGCATGCGCGGGAACTGTGATTGGTAGCTGGCTTGTTGGTGTTTTGCATAGGTGAGTTACCAAGCTCTATGGAAAGGGCTGGAATGAGAAGGAGGGCAGTTTTTTCAGTCTCAGAAGTGGAGACTGTGCCCGTCATTACGTCCGCAGGAGAGAAAGAGACGAAATCATTTATTTTTTCGTGACACATTCCAACACAAGCTATTTCAGCATTTACTTTGTCTCCAGCAAGATGGCGGAAAGACCATTCGACATAAAACTGATCTCCGAATTCAGTGGTGATACGAGTGGACAGTCTGTAGTTGAATGGATCGAAAAGGTGGAACTGGTCTGCAAATTATGCGAAATCACGAAGATTGAATGGATTCTTCCACTGCGCTTGAAAGGCGATGCCCTTGCTGTGTACAGGCAGTTGAGCAAAGAACAGAAAAGTGACATTGAGCAAATAAAGCATGCTCTACTAACCGCGTTTGGAACTGACCGGTTCGTGGCCTATGACCAATTCCAGGTGCGGCGTTTACGACCTGGCGAGACAGTAGACGTATATTTGGCAGAATTAAAGAAGCTCGTTGTACCGATTGCATCGCTTCCTGAAGAATGGATGACCTGTGCCTTCGTGTCTAGATTGCCTAGCCATGTTAAGCAGATACACTGTGCATCATCCAGAATGGAAGACATGACGCTCAATCAATTGTTGACCAGAGCCCGTGCTATCATGATCGACGAAAAAGAGGCTGATGAACCAGTGGCCGCAGTAGTTCAATCAATTGAAGTCAAAGAAGGTTCAACCCCAGCCATCCATCGCCATGGCGATGTCACCTGCTATAGGTGCTCTGGGCCGAATCATTTTGCCAAAGACTGACGCTATCAATGCAAAGCAATGTTTCCAATGTCATAAAGTAGGTCACATTGCCTCTAAGTGTCCAACAAATAGAATGGGGGATGCGACGTCAGCCGGTCTCTTCTCCTTAATGAGCATGAAAGAGGCGCTCCCTGTGATTAAGGTGCGTATCAATGGAATAACGCGTACCGCTGTAGTAGATTCGGGCTGCTCTCGGTCACTCAGTGTTGGATATCAGATGCACTTAGCGGAAGAGCACGACTGACCACCAAGGCATCGAGCGAGATGTTGATACGAAGGCGGCTCACCACGCTGATTGAAACTATCAAAGAGTACAACCCATCTGTGGATGTAGTGTTAGTTAAATTGGCAGTCAACAGAGCAGATGCATTGACTCGCATTCCACAACGTTGGTTGGCTGCTGCTCGGAAAGAGTCTGAACCTCTGCAGCTGCCGTGTACGGCTTCTGCGCTCAGTATGGACCTCGAGCGGATCAGGAGCATACATGAACAGTGTGGGCATCCTGGGATTAAACGAATGCTCTACTTCTCAAAGATGGTCGACTCGGCAGTTAAAAAGACGGATGTTAGGACGGTAGTGCAGAGGTGCGAGGCATGCCAGTCAATTGACCCGGCACCGGTGCAATGGCAAAAAGGAAATTTGAGTACTACCCATGTTTGGAACAGGCTGGGGATAGATGTTACGTATGTTGGCAGCCAGCACTATTTGACTATTATTGACTGTGAACCCTCTCGCTTCGCCATTTGGCGACTACTGCACTGACAGGACAATGCCAGTATAATATGTCAATTGGAGTCCATCTTTTACGACCGGGGACCACCTGCAGAAATATTGACAGATAATGGTGCGGCGTTTTCTTCAGAGCAATTCTTGCAGTTCTTAAAGAAGTGGGGTGTGCAGCTTCGGTTCCGGTGCGCCTATTGTGTCGGCAGGAAACGGCATAGTAGAAAGGAGCCACTGGTCTATAAAAGTGATTGCAGCCAGGAAGCAATGTTCGATCCCCGAAGCAGTCTATTGGTATAATGCGACGCCTAAAGACGGTGTTTCGCCTACAACAGCACCGGCTAACATGGTGCACGCCTATCACTTACGGCTGCGAGGCATTGACATCGCAATGGCTCTGAGCGACGCACAAGCTAAATACAGAATTGGTGACGTAGTGTGGGTTAAGACCCCGCACAGTCTATGGACAAGTGTAGAATGGGGCATCTTACCGAGATTATCAGTCTGCAGTCAGTGCGGGTTGATGGCGTGCCTCGTCATGTTAAAGACTTGCGACCAGTTGTAGGGTTAAAACCGTCATCAGATGATGAAAGTGACTCTGAAGATGGTGCGCGAGTGGTGTATTTAAAGTCGGATCCACTGAATTTTACCTCAAACATCAGTACTCTACCTGCGGACGTCAATGTGGCCAGCTGTCCAGAGGCGGATGGTAGCTCAATGGATGAGAGTTCATCCGAGGATGAGGACCCTGTCATCCCGCTCAGAAGGAGTGCCTGGCAGAAGAGGCCTGCCCGAGGTTGCCACGGCAAAGCGATCGTGACAGCGAGACACGGGATGAATCCGAAATCTGTCACCCGAGCAAACGAAGTTCCTGCATGTGTGGTTATCCCAATATGTCAAGCGTGCAAGTTGTATATGTGCGGACGCAGTCACCAGACAGACGCAAACATCTCTTGAACTGAGAAGCTTTGTGATCTTAAGATCAGGCGGGCGTGTAATGAGTTGGTCGGTCAACTTGAAACCCCCAAAGCGAGTGGAGGTGGGCATGCGCGGGAACTGTGATTGGTAGCTGGCTTGTTGGTGTTTTGCATAGGTGAGTTACCAAGCTCTATGTAAAGAGCTGGAATGAGAAGGAGGGCAGTTTTCAGTCTCAGAAGTGGAGACTGTGTCCATCGCTACGACAGCAGGAGAGAAAGAGACAAAATCATTTATTTTTTCATGACACATTCCAACACAAAAACAAAATAAAAATGTTGACTTACTGGCAAAAAGTAAACAAGAACCTTGGGGGCTTCATTTGCTATAAAGATCAAACCAGATTTCGGATAAACTGTTAATGCTGTCAGTGGTACACCTGGTTCTATTGCTGTGTAAGCCTTTCCCTACAATGAAAAAAAATAAAAACAAAATCAAATAATCTTGATGTGGCTAGACAAAAAATTATTTACCCGTTGTTTTCTGATATTCTGAGATAACGTAGTTTCATTTTTTTTTTTTTTTTTAGATGTTATGCCATATTTTTAACTATTGTTTTTTTGTTTTGATTTTCAGCCATCTTCAGCTGAAACCTATCAGGTTTTTTGTGAATTGTTTGTACATTTTTAAAACTTTTCATCCACATTTTAATCTATTCAGTAAGAATAAACCGGTCCAATAGAATCTCGGGAATGAGCATTAAGGCCTCTTGTTAGCTTCATAAGCAAGATGGAAATTTATTTTCTGTTTAACTCCTGTAATACATTGAATTGTTTTTTTACAGGTTTTTTGAGGTTATTTAAATTCAAAATATATTTTTGGATTGTAAGAATTTTTTGGAGATAATAATTTCCTGATACTATTTAAGCCATCGCTGGGAGGAGAAGAGATGGATTCATACCTTTCCCAAGAGTATTTGCACGTAAGTAAATATAACAAACTATTATAACTACTATAATAATTTCAAAATGAGAACAGCAGCAGGAAACACAACATCTGTGCATAGCATAGATTGGAAAGAGGCATTATAACGGGCTGCACTATCTCAGCTACCTTCTTTTCCTTAGCCATGAATATGCTTATAAAAGCTGCGGAAAGAGAGTGCAGAGGTCCTTTAACAAGATCTGGTTAATGGCAACCTTCAATAAGAGCATACATGGACGATATGAACATAACATCCTCGTCTGTGATTGGCACGAGGCGGCTACTAAAAGGTTTGGAGAAACTTCTTTTATGGGTGAGGATATATTTCAACATTGCCAAATCAAGGTCACTCGTGCTAAAAAAGGAAAAAAACATTGCAGAGGGATTGTTTTAAATTGTCTGGTGAATATATCCCAACTATAAAGCAAAACCCTATCAAGAACTTGGGTACGCATTTTGACAATACCCTGAAGGACTCTGTTGCAATCCAGGAAACAAAGGACATCCTAGAAGTATGGTTAGATAAAGTTGACAAGTATGGCTTACCCGGTCGATATAAGGCATGGATTTATCAGCATGTTATTCTTCCCAAGATATTGTGGCCATCGTCCATCTACGAGTTCACAACTTCTTCCATAGAACAGATAGAAAAAAAGATCAATGCTCATTTACAGAGATGGCTAGGTCTACCAAAGTGTCTCAGCAGCGCTGTCCTATACAGTAAATCCAGTAGTCTTCAACTCTTCTTTAAAAGTCTTGTAGAAGAATACAAAGTCGCTAAAGTGCGAACAGTAATACGATATAACTTCTCCAAGGATCCAAAAGTGGCAGGAGCAAATATTGAAGTCTATACTGGGAGGAAATGGAACGCGGTAAAGGAGTTGAAATTGGCAGAAGAGCATCTTCAGCAAAAAAGTGGTACTGGATACTGTTGCCACTGGGCATGCAGGGCTTGGTTTTTTCCCCACAGTTAGAATTGACAAAGCCGTAAGTAAAGAAAAACACTGACTCTTACTGGGTGAAATTTGCGCAGGGCAAGAGGAAATGAGAGTAGCAAAGATGATTGGGTTAAAACAACAAGGAGTGTGGACAAAACGGGAAACAATGATTCATAGGAAAGTTAGATGGTCTGAACTATGGCGTAACAAAATAGGCATGAACTTTTTAATCTGATCAGTTTACAACCTTCTCCCAAGTCCAGTTAACCTACAGCTATGGACTAAATTGGAATCACCCTTATGCTCCTTATGCGGTCAATTAGGTTCATTAAAGCACATACTTAGTAGCTGCAAATCAGCGCTGGCTGGTAGGTATAGATAGTGCCATGATCAAATATTAAAAGACATAGCAGAAGTCATTAGTATAGCTATCCTCACAAACACCTTTAATTCAAACAGGAATGTTATGAATTTTATTAATGCTGGCATGAAACCGAACCCAAAGAAAATGATTCCACCCAATTGTCTATCATGTGCAACAGACTGGGAACTTAGAGTGAATATAGGTAAAAGATTAAACTTCCTGGATCACATTTTCAAGACCCTATTGCATCCAGACTTAGTCCTCTTTTCAAATAAGCTAAAGAAAATCATTATGTGGGAATTACCAGTCTGTTATGAGGATAATGCAGAAGAACCGAATGAACAGAAAAAAACTAAAATACAACGAATTACTGGAAAATTGTAGGAGCAATGGATGGAAGGCAAGCTGCAAGCCAATGGAAGTAGGCACAAGGGGTTTTGTAGCAAAATCACTAGTCAGCACCCTAACAGATATTGGGATAGTGGGAATAAAAAAACAAAAGGCTATCCAAACAATTACTGAGACAGCAGAAAATATAGCTAAATGGTTATGGCTAAAACGAGCCAGTGCATGGACAAGCAATCAAGGAAAAAAGATCTAAGTTTGAGATAGATGGAAATGATTTTTTTTTTTTTGTAAATTCTTTATTTTACGCATAGTGTAATTTTGCAAATCTTAAATTGTATATTATTTAAATGTAAATAGTATAAAGATATGTCACCGCTTATAACTAATTATAAATGCTGTATTTGGCTTGTAAATATGTATAGTTCGAAAACAGTTGTAAATTTTTTTTTTTATACAATTCTCAATTTTAACTTATTTATTTATCTAACTAATCTATTTTATCTTTATTCATTATCATTATTTTACTTATTTATTTTTTTCTTACTTGTCGCTTAAATGTTTAAAGAGGTATATTGCATATTAACTGTTATTTCGATATTTTAGCGTCTAGAATAAAGGCATAACATCGTCATGTTCAAAAGGGATCTATTTTTCGATAGTCTTTCTCCCCATTTTTGTTCTTTATTGCTTAATAGAAGTCTTCTGACTTTTATCTCTTTTTCCTTTTTCTGTCACCAACTACTGGACTATATGCAAATTATAATTAATTGTGACTAATTCTTGTTAAACGACTTACTTAACATTATTGTTCACCCCCTGTTTCCATCTTAATTTTTTTCTTTTTTGTAACTATCAAAATTTTAAATTTAATTCTATTTATTAATCACATATGTTAATTTTACCATGTTAATCAATAGATTTAATCGAATTTTCTAAGTTTACTCGTTCAACTGATCAGCTCTGATGGGGTCGACTTGGTGAGGGTAGTATGATGTTTGAAAGACCCAAAACTGCCCAATGATCCAATTCAGAACATCACTGACGCCACCCTCTAGTGCTAAAGAGTGTAGATTCAAAGTAATTTGACTGATTTTTAATTCTGAGCCTTTATCCATTACACCAATTGCACATCCAAGCTTACAGTACCTGGTATTCCCAAGTGGTCACTCATGCTTAACTTCAGTGATTGGATGAGAACTGGAGTTTCAACATGACATGGCAATAAGCCATCTTTCATAGAAAATATTAATGGGTCTACAATATTATAGGTGTATAATAAATTAAATTTTAATTTTTTCTTATTTATTGTTTTGTTTCTATTATTGTCATTAAACAAAGTAACATTTGATGATGAACTATTTACTCAGACATCCAGTGTAAAATTTATGTGTGTGTCTATGCATGTATGTTTCTATGTGTGTATGGATGGTCATTCCTTGTAGTGGAGGGGTTTGACTGAGAATAATGCTTTGGGAGTCCTAACCCCCCCTGGTAAGACCACCCTTGGCAGCAAGGTCGAAGACGAGGACCCAGACTATGTGTGACCAACTCCAAAGACCCTAACAGTAGAACAAGTGGATGATGATTACAACACATCTCAATGGTTGAACCAGCAGATGAAGAGGTCTACACATGATGGATATACTATAGAAGGCGCCACTCAAAATTATAACAGACTCAGCAGTAGTCTGTTGCAGTTTCATAACTGGATTCTGCACGTCTTATTCCATATGTGCTGCAGAGGACGGTGATGAAATCAAGTGTTTGGGTCACTTCCTGGCAAATTGAGATCCACCTTAAGTAAACTCACACCATTGGCATTTTCTTCTACACTAATTTCTTTCACCTCCAACCAACTCTTGCAAAGCCATTGGCGATAAGGAATGGAGGACAGGAGCAGGTTTTGGTGAAACTGAAAGCTTCTAGTTTTGAACCTGCATGTTGGCAGGTTCAAGACTATCAACACTATCATCATAAAGGAAGTGATCAGCAAAGAAGAAATTAAATAAAGAGATAAAGCCACCACCGCCAACAACTGTAGGTGTTGATAATGTTCAAATATCTTTATATTGACCCATGATATTGGACAATTGGTAGCTACAACTGCTAAAATGTGTTTTTCTGAGCATACAGTACTGACATCTACATTTGGTTGAATTACTCATGCACATCATGCCATTCATTTGTTCTTGCATGTATGTTAATGCTGAGATTCTGTTTCATTAGTAAGTTGTTGTTACAGAAATGAAATGGAGGAAAATTCTCTGGTGTATATTGTCTTCAACATATACCAGAAGAATGTCAAAGGATATATCAGCTGAAATGTATTGAAAAATCACAAAAGATAAGGTTAATAATCTGTAAAACATATAGCAAAATATCTTGCCATTTTAGTCTTAGTATTCTTTGAAAGAAACAAGATTTGAACTGGACAACATTGAGAAAAAAAGTTGCATTCAGTCTTATTCCCCCAATTTTTTTTTTTTTTAAGCAATCTCACAATTTTAGTTCATGTGTTCATAATTTGTTCTAGATTACTTTTTTACTTAAAATAACGATTTGAAAAAACTTCTTGATTTTTGACTATCAAAAATTTTAAAAATAGGGTTAAAATAAAAGCATTTCTTGAGTCGGGAGGCAATCATAAAGTGAATTTCATAACACTTTTCATGAAGCTAGTTTTTGGACAAGTTAAATTCACTGTTATGAATGGGACCTTAGACAAGGTAGGCAATCATAATAGCAAATTTTCTTTACCTGAAAAATTAATTCACTGAAAGCATTAAATTAAATTTTCACTTTGCCAAGTGGTTCACTTCATTGAAAAATCAAAATGTAGAAAATTACAGGAAGAAAACTTTTATATCTGAATATCAGGTATCTGTATCTTGCAAGATAATGGTAGCACCCTGTTTGTTCAAAATTCAGTCTTGCTGTGAGCAGTGTCTGCAGTGACCTGTCTCCTGTGTGGTACTCTCATCAGTTGTGAGACTGGAGTGATCTCTTCAGGGCACAGGCCTGGGCAAATGTATATGGAAGCCATGTGCTAACTAGACTCCACCTTCTGAACTGTACTAGCAAGATTCAAAGGAATACAAAGTGTTACATTTAGGGTCAACTTGATTGCAAAAGTTGCCAGTAAAACTCATTTTTCAGAACAAAAGGTTAAATAGAAAAAATCTGATAGGTGAATTATGCAAAATAGGAAAAAACAAAATTATTCATACAGTAGAAAATATCATTTTAAATTGATTGTTTCATGTTTTACATAATTATTTTACTGATGAAGACTTCTAGACTATTTATTCAGTAAAATATTTGTGATAATTCCAGCAAAGAACATTACGTGGTGCAGAGAGTATCACCATTGTTATTCTTACATTAACAACATGATGGGGAAGACAAAGGAGATTAGTGTTGACTTGAGACAGTGAATTATTAACTTCCACAAGTTGGGAAATAGTTACAGCACTATTCCAAACTGGTTAGCTATCTCTAGATCTATGGTACAGTCTGTTATTAAGAACTTTAAACAGTTGGGCATGACAGAAAATTTACATGGGCATGGAAGAAAACTCAAATTGTCATAGAGAACTGCATGAAAACTGTGTCACGAGGTTAATATAAACTCAAGAGGTGTTTTGAAAGACATTGGCAAAAGTTTGGATACAATGAGTATCAGCATAAGTACCCACACAATACAACATTGTTTAAATAGAAATGGGTTGTGTAGAAACCAACCATGATAAACCCTGATTGACAAACCATGTAATATTGTTGCTTGGTCTAATTTTGCCAAAATGTTCTTGGACAAAGAAAATTACTTTTGGGAACAAGTACTAGAGAGTGATGAAATAAAAATTGAGCTTTTTGGACATAATGATGTACAGAAGATTTGACACAAGAAAGGTTAGGTTTTCCTCTGAAAGAACACAAGAGCAACATTAAAACATGGAGGCAGCTCAATGATGTTTTGGGTTGTTTTAACTCCAGGGGAACTGGACAATTAATTGCAATAAGAGGAATAATTAAATCTGCAGACTATATCAAAATTCTGGATGAAAATCTACAACTATCAGCACAAAATCATCTAAGTCAGTGATTTACTTTCCAGCAAGATAATGATGCCAAACATATATCTAAATCAGTGACTGCATGGCTTCAGAAAAAGATGACAGTTCTGCCATAGCCTTCAGTGAGTCCTGATTTGAATCCTATTGAAAATTTATGGCAGGAATAGAAAGTTTGAATAAATTGTTGGTCACCAAAAAACCTTCAGGAATTAGAATGTGTAACCATTGAAGAATGGAAGAAAATCCCAGAAAAGACTTGTTCAAATCTATTCAAAAACTTTAGAAAACAATTGCAGAAAGTTATAAAAATGAGAGGCTATTGACTATTAATATTGTGAAAATTGCTCAATTTTTTTCTATTTTTCATACTGTATAAATAATTTTGACTTTTTCTATTTTGCATAATTCACCTGTCAAATTTGTTGTATTTAACCTATTGTTCTGAAAATTGAGTTTTATATTCCTTTTTTTGTACTTATTAACATGTAAAAAACCTGGCATCATACAGGAATTAGATTTTGAGAAATATTCAAATTTGATGGGTGTACAAATAAATTCATCATTGACTGTAGCTGCAAGGAAAGAGAGGTTTAAAGTCAGTTTTCCTTCCCTTAGATCTGGGTTCACCAAACTGCGGCCCAAACTAAATGAGCTAAAATATAATTATTTATATGGAATTATCAATAGATTGTAGTTAAACTTACTATGTAAAAAAAATTAAAATAAATGTAAGTAAAGATACCAAAATTTGGCCAATCTGATTCTTGCATCTGACAGTAATCTAAGTTTTAGGAAAATTAAATAATTCAGCGACTTTTTGATATCCGAGTACTTTTTGTGTAATTTCTTGCCATGAAGTTTCGAAGAAAAGTGATTACGAGCCTGCTGCAGTGACCAGATTTTAATTTGCATTGTTGTGTTTAAATCAGTTTGAAGAGTGCCCTATATAAAAAGGACAGACTTCAGTGAATTATATCATATATTTTGCTTGAATTCATTATAAAATCTAAATAGATAACAAATCGAACAAAGCTGACTGATGAACATTTGAAAGCAATTCTCTTGGTTGGATGCAGCAATTCCAAAGCAAATATTGATTATATCTTAAAAGGTAAATGCCAGTTTCCCAAATCTCACTAACCCTTTTGCTGCTTTGTTTGTGAGATTCAGATATGTTTGCACTGGGTGTGATATAACTATTTTATTGTTAATGTCACTGTCTTTGATAACTTTTTGGTAAATATATATGTTAGTTGTCTTTATTTTTCAGTGTATTGTATTGAACAAAATGGTTATCCAGCCCATGCTCTCAGTTATCTGGCCCTCTGTGAAAAAGTTTAGTGACCTCTATCTTAAATGGAGTGACTTTCTGGGTTAATGAGTAGTATCTATGTGAAATATCTGCTTTTTAAAATTATGTATCATTTAAAAATTACACCTGTTAATTTACTAGTTTATTTATGATAATGAATGATTGACAGCAACAAATCAGTTGATTCATTTAATGGCATTATTTAATGTAGTTAAAACCTAGAAATTTATTGTCCTTTTAGCATAACAGGCAATGAAAACAAAAGATAAAAAAATGATTCAAATATAAATATTAAAATAAATAAATAAAATAGGTAATATCAATTAATACAGAAGTAATTTTCAATATTTATTTATGTCTGTATTTTTAGATAGAACAAATATTTAAATGAATTTGTTTCATGTTATTTTTTAACTCATTTTTCAATATTTATAGAATAAAGCACAAATATTAAGCAAACTTATTTATGCAAATAAAGATTTTGGTGAGAAATTTATGAAAAGAAAAAAAAAGTATCCATTATAGTAAATAAATAAACAACAATCAAATTATCTGCTGTAATTTTTAAATGATGCATATTTTTTATGACATTTCAATTCAGATATAAAAGTTATCTCCATTTGAGTTTTTATTTTTTCAATGGAACAGTAGAGTAATAGTTAGCAATTCAAATTGAGGAATTGGAGAGCCAAGATTGAATTCCAGACGAGTTCATTACATTTGCTTACATGTTGATACCCTTGTGAAAGGTATGAATTCATCTCTTCTCCTTCCAACTATGGGTAAAATAGTAGGATAGACTGGACCCTATAGTCTTGGTTAGCAAGGAAACTCTGAATTTAAACCACCTACTGCCTTGTAGTTCCTGCCTCTTTAAGCAAAGTCTAGAAGATAATCCCCCGTGCAAAAGGAACCAGCAAGCCATTGCCTTTAATGTCACCATGAACCACAATTGTGAGATGAAAGGAAGTGGTGACCACACTGGTGCTAAATGAATGAAATGATGATTTTTCAGTGAAGTGAACTGTTTGACAAAGTGAAGATTAAAAAAATAACATGTTTGGTGAAGCCAGTTTTCAGGCAAATAAAATTTACTGTTATGAACTGGGCCCTCTTTAGAGAAAGTAGAAAAAAAGATTGGAACTCAATTTAGAAATATTATCATTGATATAACAAGAAAACTTGTTGCTAAAAATAGAGTAGTTAACTTGTTTTTCTTTCAAATTTTCTTTTGAATTATAATTTCATATTGTCATCAAAATAAAGCCAAGTAATTCAGCTGTATGTCAAATATTTCAGTTTCATTTTAATTCATTTTCTTTTGGCAATGTTGGATGAGTACAGCTTCTCATTAAAAGAGAAATATTTTTTAATTCAAGAATAACTAGTTATTTCCTGATGGCCGCATCAATCATTTAAGGAATCAGGAGCAGAAAGAAAAGTACAAATGGTATAGTGAACTTTATTTGGTGAGAATTGAAGAATTTGCTGATTTTCTTATCACTTACAGTATGTTGGTTCCATAACCTCAGAATTTTGGAATCCATAGACAAAACCAAATTTTCCTCTTGTTGAAAATGGAGAGACTTTATGGGGAGGTCATAGTTATGATCTTTAACTAAAAGTGGTTGACTAGAACGAAGATCATAGAGCAAAACCTGAAAAGCAAAAAAAGAAAAAATTAAAACTGAATGGATGTAAGCTAATATGTAAATAGCATTTTAATTGTGTATGTGAATTTAGAGGTGTACGGTCAGTGGTAGTATTTTTGCAGTGCATTGGTCGATCCTGCTTTACTCAGGTGAATTGGAATGAAGAACTGTACTAGTCCATGGACTACATCCACCTCTCAACACATGGCTCCAAGAAGTCACATGGGCACTATGTTGGCCACACCTGGTCAATGGCAACAACCTGCCAGGTAAACTGCATGAGAGTAGTCACAAAGGTTTCCTGACTCAACCAGTGAAGGGGAACATCTCTCCCCAAGCCACCTGTGCCAAGCAGCCTTTGGCTACTCACCAGCCTGGATGTAAGAGCAGTGCCTCAGAGGTCAATAGCTTTACCAGTAGACAGAGGAACTTCTGAGAGGAGGGACAGGGTAACCTTATCAAGCCATTGCACTATTTTGCCTTGAAAGTCATCATTAACCACAATTATAACAGAGGGGAGTGGTGACCCCAATGGCACAAAAAGCACTAACTGGATAAATGATGTATAAATTTAGGAGGAATTTTATTAAATTTGAGTAAATATCATTATGTTATACTATTTTAATCAAGATCTCTTTCTGATTTACAAATACATTAACTAGCATGATGCCATTGTAACAGGAGGGAGGCTATGCTAGAAATATTTATTTTCCCATTTGAATTTCTCCTGTTATGGGCATTATTATATCTGTGATATAATAACACTGGATGGAACAGAATGACTGAAAGAAAAAGGAATGATAAACATGCTGTTCTCAGAGAGAGTTTTATAATACTATGTCTTACACAAAGTTAGATATACATATATAAACATGTCCCATGTGGAGAAATTACATCACGTATATCTACACAGCAAAGCAAAGTGTAAGGAGAAAAAAAAAGAAAAGTTCTTACTTATAATATGCAGATACTCCTGTGTCTGGAGAAGTCATTTTTAGGACTTCAGATTCAAATGGGCCTGATTCATTCATGTCCCAGATGGGGACATATTCCACAAATGGGATTCAGGGAGTCTTGGATTTTCTCAGATTGAGGATTGAAAGCTGGCGTTTCTTTCTATATCTAAGAACGATGTATTCCCAAACTGAAATGGGACTATGGACTTGTAAGCTGCATGAGAGGCAAATTAAGACTCTACCTGGGCCGGGCGGGGGTGCAGGGCTGGACTAAAGGAAGCAAATTTTGCTTTAGCTGCTGCAAACAAATAGAGATTTGACTGCTGCTTTGATTACTATATGGAGTCACATGATCCACATGACTTATCTCCACAAAAGTGAGATAATCACCTTCTGTATCCTTACACTGTAAACACCACACACTACCAGTACCCTTGTATTCCTAACACAATTGGATGTTCTTTATGTGACAGCAAAAATTAAAATAAAAAATGAAAAATAAAACATGTGCACCTAGCTCCATGCATATTTCTGGTTGAAATATTTGGGTGTATAAAATTCTCTTTCATCCTTTTCAACCAATCTAGTACATTCATGCCAAAACTAACACTCAAAGCCAGAAGCCAGCACCTGTTAAATGACTATAAAAATGTCATGCCTTGCAGACAAGGAGCAGTTTGGCTTAACACCTTGATCAGGAAAGTATCAATGTGGAAGTCTGTTCCACAAATTAGCAATTCTTGGGGGGAGGGGGTTTGAGTGAGTACAACTTACAATTGGAATATACAGGAAATGAGGGTGATTTGATTCTGTGGACATAGCATGGATTGTAGTTGTGTTTTTTTAAATTAGTATTCCATTTCATAGTGATCTTTTTATTGAGTCACTATGTCACACCCATCCAGCATTGCGGAGAGAGTCTTGCCTAGAGTGTTATGGTTTCAAGGTCTTTAAGTGTGCCTGAATCTTCAAGACTGGGGCAAACTAGATGCCTTATAGTTTGTAATTGTCTGCATTGGCAGTTGGGATCAGCATCAGTGGCATATCCCCATTTCTGAAGTTTGGCTCTATGGTGATCAAGAGCTGTTCAGTTGGGAGTAAATTGTCCTCCTGATGTAAGGTGGAATAATGCCATGAAGCAATAGGAGGTCATCTACTTTGGTTGGCTTGAGACAACCAATGATTGATCTGCAAGAGGCGTTTAAGGCTGGTACGATTTTCTTTGATGAGCATTTGCTGAGTGTGGGTATAGATAATTATTTGTTGTTTATATTTGAGTCTCTAAGCATTTACTTGGTAGGTGGCCCCATTTGAAAGGGGGTTATACGTTCTGCAGTGGATGCAGTCAGGGTACTCTAGGCCCTATCAATAATGCAGAATATATGATAAATACATTTCTTTACTTACATGACCTGTACTTGTTCCAACTCCAAAGTGAAGTGCATTTTGATATTTTAATGATGTCACTGCAGGAATATCATTAATACTAGAAACAAAAGAAAAAATCAAAATAAAATTTGTCCCTGCAAAAGAATGGTGTGTCAAAAGGATAGTTTTTCCATTGACACTGCTATTACTTTAACTACTTTCACGCCGCAGCAATGTTTATTGTTTTAAAAAGTGATGATTAGAATTTTAATAAAGCCTAAACATATGAAAGTGAATTTATACATTTTCTTTGTTCTTGAGAATTGACAACAAAAATAATAAACACTATTTATTTATTAGATTGTTTATTTATACTATTACATTATTTATTGGAATGTTTGGTAAAACATCAGCTAATTGCAAATTGATTCAAACTTTATAAAATTGTAAATATTAAGGATTTCCTTATAGACAGTTCATATATTTTAATAATTTAGTAAATTTTTATAAATTTATGAATAAAAAAACTGTATTCATATTTATTTCTTTATAAATTGGTAAATAATAAATATTGTATTGCATTAGTCTTAATACAATTGTATTCATTTTTAGAATGTTGTAAATATAAAATTATTCTTGTAAATAAACAATCTAATAAGTAAATAGTGTTTAATATTTTTGATGTTCTCAAGAATAAAAAAAAAATGTATAAATTCAATTTCATCATGTTTAGATTTTATTATAATTCTAATCATTGCTTTTTAAAACAAACCTTATCAAAAGAGTGAAGATATTTAAAATAATAGTGGTGTCAAGTGGGGGAAAAAACGTCCTTTGGACACACTGCTTTTTGGCATGCATGAAGGTCCAAGTTTGTCAAAATGTTTAAAATAATTATTAAAAACCTGAAACAAAATCTATACTACTATCTGTTCCATAATAGTTATGACATTTTGTGTATGAAGTGTGTATAAAAAAGTAAATATTATGGGACAGAGGTATTATTCTGTTTTTTATACCCAGCCATCATACATTTTTTTTCCTTTTCTGACAACAGCAAATCAGTTTTGTTTAGACAGATTATTTAATGTTGAAATCAGTTAAAACTAGGAAATTAATTGTCCTTTTATTGCAACAGTCAATGAGCAAGACATAGGTGATCACAGCTCTCCCCAGAATCCTTTTCTTGATTATCTGTGACCTGACATGATTTCTTCAAAGAGGTAGTGGAATGGTTTCCCATTGCTTCTCCATGATTTTGAATTCAGAATTGTCTCCCTTTTCAACTGGTTGCCACATAAGTCTTGAGAGGTTAGTTTACCCTGTTGTTTAACTCATAGCTATGGAGGGGGGATCTTTCTAAACTCCCCAAAATGTAGTGACTCTCTGAGTTGCTTTAATATCCATGAATCAATTATTCATATGTTTGTAATTTTATTATGCAATTTCATGATATCTACAATTCTCAAACTCTCTGATTTTGTTATTTTCTTTAACAACAGATCCATCAATCAATTTAGGAAGAAAATTCTACCCATTCCTTAAATAAGACTCATGACATATTAGAACATGAGGACTGCTTTTTTTCTAAACAAGAACACAGCAAAATGTAACAATAGAATTGAGCAATTAACAAGACAGAAAAGGATTACTTTTCATAAATAGGTCTACTTTAAAACATTTGAAAATTACTATATTTGGTGACATAGAAAACTAGTTGACACATCATAAAAAAATCTTACAAAATATAGCCTAAGTCTGATATGCAAGTTGAGACATCAGGCAAACTAGATAGTACAGAGTACCAGTACATGTAATACTTAATGTTTACCCAGATTTCATAGACTACCAGTACTTGTAACTAGTCTGACTCCATAATACTGTAATATTAAATGTAAATATGGGAGGTTAGTATGCAAAGTTGAGGTATTTGGTAAGCTAATGTTTACCCAGATTTCATAGACTAACAGTACTTAAATATGATAATGATTTTTCCTGTCTATATAATAAATGTGAATGTCAGCATTTCACTGTGTCACACTTTTTCAACTTTACTCCTAAAGGCCATAGCCCAACATATCATACTATATTGAACTCAGGCTGACTCCACAAGCAAATTAAAAACATTCTGGGCTGGATCTGAACCTGCAATCCTGATGGTTTTTGATTCCCAAGTTTTCATTACTGTGATACTGTTTTTGGTGATTTTTTTTTTTACATGATTTTTGGCGACAAAATTTTTGTACAATAACAATTTTTATAACTTGGAAATAAATTTGGGAATAATCAAAATTAATCGCGAAATCCAGTGAAAGTCACCCATGAAATAAAAATCATTGTTTGTATGGAATGCAAGGACCTACATACATGAAATTGTCTTTAAATTAAGTGACAACAACAGAATTATCATTGAACTTTTAAAAAGTAAGCTTAAATGCAGTGATCAATTTTGAGTTCTTCTGTAGTTTATTGCTGGCTATTGCACCTACTCCTCCCTACCTATTGTGATGAAGGCCCAATCAAGTGCCCTCTGCAGTAGCTACCTTAAATGTTGCCTGGTAGGGCAGCTTTTAAGCTCGTTAATAAATGAATTACAATTTAAAGTTTTAAATAATTAATTTTTCCAATTATTTGACTTTATTTCATACATTTTTTTAATAGCATCTTCATCAATAAAACCAATTTAAACCAATTTCAGTTTAATCAATAAAAATTAATTTACTTGGTTGAAAAATGTCTGGAATAATGATAATACTTCACTTCAGAACTTTAGAAAATGACACAAACATGAATTATGGCTTTATATTTCTAAATGGCAAAGAAGCACATTAGAATTTCAAGTGATTAGGGTTCATGATGACTGTAGAAAATTTTAGAATCATCAAAAACAAACCAAAAAGAACACAACAGTCTATCTTCTGGTAACCACCAAACATCTGTTGTGTAATTTAATCAGTTATAAAATTTAATATGTTAACAGTAATCTTAAGTATATTTCTTTATATTTGATGCTAAATTCAGATCAGTCAGCTGACCTAGTAATAATTTATCTTACAATAAAGGATGGATTTATTTTTAGTACTGGATTAACTAGAATATTTTATCATGAAATGGGTAAGCTAGATCAAACGATAGAATGTTATAGAATTAAACTTTACATTCTGATCTATAAGGGAAGAAAAAAAAAAACCTTACTTCATTTGTTTGACATGTTTGTTTAAGGCACAATCTAAGATACCAGCTCGTTTCTTTGTACGGGGATCCCAACATTCTACCATACCCTGAAACGAAAAAAAAAAAAAAATGTAAAAATTATAAAAGAAACTTGGATTTGTGAAATACAGTCTTGCTATTTTTTTAAACACAGTTTCCTTGACAAACACACTTTTTTTCAGTTTTTTTTTTATACTAATATTCACCCAATATAATACCCAAGAACCACTGAAGATAGAGGGTTACTGTGTGGTGTTGTATGAGCATGAGAAAATGCAAGAAATAAAGTTTATGGGGCTATGCAGGAAAAAGATCTGAACCCTTTATTTAATCTACAAAGGTAGACTGTTCTTGTTCCACTGCTCATCTTTAGAGATATCATCTAGTAGTTCTTTTTATTTAGTACTGTTCAGTTATTGCACACCAGTTTCCACTGCATACAAGTACATACTGCCTGACCCAGGGATTGAACTCACAACCATTATGTCAGCAAATTCTCAAACCAACACTTTTAATCATTAGGCCATTGTCCCATAGGGCATGAGCAGTGGAATGAAAACAGTCTACCTCCATAGATTAAATAAAGGGTTCAATTCAGAATTCTCTGTAGGTTACCCAGATCAATGTACAAAATGTTGTGATAACAACAATGATGAGGACAATAGTCAGAATATAAATAGTGTAAATAATGCTAACTCTTCATCTCAGAAATTCAGACAAAAAGAAATTTCTGAACAGAAAATTTATATATTTTTTGCCATAACCATAATTTGTCAGTTTATTGCTAATGAAAGTCTCTTCAAGTTGTATGTAGAATTTTAACAATTCATATGAACTTGTTTGTGATTTGGATGTTTAGAAAGACTTTTATATTGAATGACATTTTATTACTTATTGTTGTTAAGTTGTAAACTTTTGCATTTGAGTGGCATGCAGAGACAATGAATTTGTTGTTTAGTGACCTTGGGGGAAAAATGAAATAAAAACAACAAATAAAATAATGACAATGAAAAAAAAATCCATTTTCCCATGATCCAAGTTATAAAGAAACCAGAAAAGGTTTCTGGTCACATATGCAATTTTACGACCCCTCTCCTGGAAAGTACAGAATCTCTTTCTCTTCTTGGCTTCAAGATGTGAACCATGCAGTAATAGTGTTCCAACTGAGGAATGTTAGTTTCCCTGGTCCACTGATGACTGAACTTTTTCCATTTACCAACAACATCATTGGACATGTTTTAGCATCCCTACACATAATGTAGTGGTTCAGTTTTCCCAACTCAGTGTGAAACTGACTTGAGCTCAACCAGCTTTACTTGTTTGTTTCCTTACTTTCCACAAATTATTTCAGAACCAAAAAGAAAAACAGACATATTCGGTCTTCCCAACTTAACATGAGGCTGACCATTTGGAACAGTTTTTCTTAGTGAACAACATAGTTCTTACTTAGTGCCATAGGTGAAAAGATGTACAAAGTCTTGGAGGATTTATGTACACCACAGAAGCCATATGAACCTTGCACATATAAACTTGAGTTAAATGGGATTAGTTGTGAAATAGAAATTGACACTGGGTGTTTGTCTTCTCTGTTAAGCAAAGAGCAATTCAAGAAACTACCTAATGCAGTGTTTTCTAAAAAGGCTTTAATACAAAAAATTGCATACTTATTCCAGGCATATCACTGAGCCTAGAGGAGTTGCCAACATGACTGTGAAACACCAGAGGAAAACCTATAATTTAAGAGTGCTAGTTGTACTAAGAGTGCTTCTTGGACGGGATTGGTTGGAAAGACTACCAATTAATATATTGGCTACCTGTAACCAAATTACATGAACTGACTTGGAGAAAGAATTTTCTGAGAATCTTAAATCAGGCTTGGGCACTTTGAAATATGCAACAGTGAAGCTGCATATCAAACCTAACAGTACCCCTTATTTCCTGAAAGCCCGACTAGCTCTGTTAACACTCCGAGAAAAGGTTGAGGCTGAACTGGATTACATGGTTACTACTATTGTTATCAAACCAGTTACTTTTTCTGAATGGGCCTCCCCCATTGTTCTAGTGTTAAAGAAAAATGGTCAAGTTAGGATTTGTGGCGATTTTAAACAGTAAAACCTACCTTATAGATGGGCAAGTACCCTATTTCAAATATAGACAACTTCTATTCCAAAGTCTCAGGTGGATATTTATGAGATTGGATTTGAGTGATGCTTATTTACAGATTCCTTTGGAGGAAGTGTTACAAGAATCAACTACTAAAAACACTCATAAGGGTCTTTTTTAGGTACACCAGATTGTGTATTGGAATTGTCTCTTCACTAGGAATTTTTCAACGCTCTATAGACAGTTAATTCAAGGTATACCAATGACTGCTGCTTATATTGACAACATTTTAATCTTGGGCAAAAATATGGAAGAATATAACAAAAAAAAAAAAAAAAAAAAAAAAAAAAAAAAAAGACTATGTGATGCAGGCCTTCAACTTAGAAGTGAGAAATGTGAGTTCAGGAAATTGTCTATAGTTTATCTGGATCACAGGATTGATTCCAAAAGAATTCATCCAAGCCAGAATAAGGAGCACCAACACCAAATATATCAGAACTGTGTAGTTATTTAGCTTTTGTTAATTATTACCCCTGGTATTTAATTATTACCCCTGGTATTTAATTATTACCCCTGGTATTTAAATAATTATTACCCCTGGTATTTAAATAATTATTACCCCTGGTATTTAATTATTACCCCTGGTATTTAATTATTACCCCTGGTATTTAAATAATATCAGCACAGTTCTAGCTCTACTGTATGCATTATTACCAAAAAAGGAGCGCCCTGGAAATGGGGAATAGCTGAAAAATTTGCATTTGAACAATCAAAAAGTTTATTAATGTCAGCTGATGTTTTAGTTCATTACAACCCTAAATTTAAACTTATAATGACTGTGGATGCATTCCCAGTGGGTATCGGGGTACTTTTGTTGCATATTATAGCAGATGGAAGGCAAAAACCAATTTACTTTGCCTCAAGAACATTATCAAAAGCAGAACAGAATTATACACTGATAGAACATGAAGGACTAGCAGTAATTTTTTGAGTGAGCAAATTCCATAAATACATTTATGGATAGAAGGTTATAATCATTACCAATCATAAGCCCTTGCTTCGACTTTTAAAAGAAGACTGAGCAATATCACGCACAGTAAGTGCTAGAGTAGTGTTGGGCACTGGTACTCTCAAATTACCACTATCAGCTTGTATACAAATCCAGTTCAAAGATTCTCAATGCAGAAGGATTAAGTTGACTACCTGTGGAGGACTATTTCATACCATTACCTTGTCCGGAAGAAATAGTACTTTCTATGACAGCTTTAGATTCATCTCCAGTCATGGCAAAAACTGTTGCTTTGCATACATCCAGGGATCCCATGTTTTCTCAAGTCCTTAAGATGATCATACAGAGATGGTTGTACAATGAATCTCAGGATATATGACCGTACACTAACAGGAAGGTGGAGTTATCAGTACAATTGGGTTGTGTTTAATGGGGATCACGAGTAGTTATCCTTGCAAAATGTCAAGATACCTTGCTTAAAGAATTACATTTCACGGATGAAGTCCCTTGCTCATTGTCATATCTGGTGGCCTAATTTGGGTTCAGATATTGAACTGTGTGTAAGAAGTTGTATTATGTGCCAAGCTAAGGCTAATATTCCCCAAATGAGCATGTTACACCTATAGAAATGGCCAGGAAAGGCATGGTTTCTAGTGCATATAGATTATGCAGGCCTGATCAATGGCAAAAGAATTCTTGTGATAGTGGATGGTCATAGTAAATATATAGATACACATGTCATTTTATCACCATCAGCGGCAGTAACAGAACGGCTGTTGCAGCGCACATGCCACACATGGGATTTTTCATGTTGTGTTGGACAATGCTTGTATTTTTACTAGTGAAGAATTTTCCAAATTCTGCACCTTGAATGGTATTAAGCATGTTCAATGTTTGCCATATCACCCATCATCAAATGGACTAGTCAAACGTGCCATACAAACCATCAAGAGTGTGTTAAAAAAGGTTCTCAGTGATCTTGAAACTCGACTACTGCATGTCCTGGCTCGCTACAATCCTTTTCCACAAATAACTGGTCAGTCACCAGTCATTTTGTTAATGTGTTGACAACCCAGATCTTGGCTTGACCTGGTGAATCCAGATTCATTCACCAAAGTCACCAGTAAAATGGACAACACTAAAATGTCAATGGATAGGAAGCAACAGGAAAACAGATTCTGTTAGGGAGATGCTGTTAATATTATGAATTTTCAAGGGAAACCAAAATGGATGTCTCGATTTATAGTGGAGCAACTTGGCTCACTGACTTTTCTAGTACTGCTGGAGGATGGGGGTGTATGGAAAAAACATGTGAATCATACTCGTGTGAATATTCCAACTGAACTGGATACATACCCTGAAGACGCTAACCAACCAAGGAGAAGGGACACTTGGCATTGACTACACAGTATTGTGTACCCTACAGAGGTAGACTGAGGGAGGAAAATCAGTAACCTAGAATGCCTGTCAGAACATGTTTTCAGGAATGCAAAGAAGCATTGAGAAGTAAGGCTGAAAGTCAGCTCAAGCAACTGCACAGAGGCATAAGACTAAACACCACAGGAAAGTGATGCAGTGCCCGACTCTTAGCAAGGGAACTTGCTCAAAAGGAATCACCAGATGATAGAATTACTGAGGACTCAAATATGGAAGATGATGATGATGATGATATTGTAACTATGACAGGAAATGAAACAATTCTTGACCCTGGTAATTTGTCTCCTTCTCAGAGTTCTTTTGAAACCCTCATGAACATTCCCACCTAAGCAACAGTTCACAACAATCATATTGTTTAATTAAATTTTGAGTAATTGAGGAGGGATGTTGTAACAGGGAACTAAGGAAACAGAAGCACCATTATTCAGACACGGAAGTACCGTGTCAGCCATTTTGCGTATGTGCAAATAAAAAGCAGGAGTATTGTTTCTGCAGACTGAAGTCCTCAGATTAAACTGTGTTGTTGTTGTTATTACAAACCCCCTTACCAAGTTGTGACACTTCCTATAAAACATTTCAGGACCAAAAGGAAAATGGACATACTCAAGAGATATTTTAACTTTATTTCAATATAATCAACATAAAAGGAATAAATGTTCATAGCAGTAAAACAAGTTTTTTTGTAGGTTTCTTCTATCTTTTTGTTTACATATTGAATATGCTCTTTCACCTAAAAATACACACAAAACCCACAAGCTTGTTAATATCCACAAAGTTTTGGCCATCAGGATCTTGTCTTGATGTAAACAATAAAGACATGTTCCTCTCTCAAATTGAAAATAATGAAAACTAGAACTTAACCTTACATAGTTGAAATGAGAAAGTTATAACCTGTAGAAAGGTTTTATTCAATTAAAAGAAGTTGACAAACTTGTACACTTTATAAGGACTAAATGTATTGTAATGCAACCTTCTAAATTTTTAGTGTTTAATAACATTGTTTATTATGTTTTGGTTACAGCTTTAACATAAGTTTACCATCTGATAGTAAACAATAGTTTTATTCAAAGTTTGATTATTTTCTACATACAATGTGTGAAAGCACATGCAATGCCCTACATTCATCAGCCACCAACCAGGTGAGGTAATACAGTTTCGGTGACTAAGGCAGTACTGCTACCTGTAGCTCCACCAGCAGCACTTTCGCCACCAGACAGAGTATTGATTTTTATGTAGACCTGTCAGTCTCTGATTTTTCTGCAACTGCAAGTCAGATTTTCAACACTATATTAAAAGTGTCTGCTTTTCATTGTTAAACAAAAAATGTGCTAATGGCAACTGTTATTAATGATGTAGAATGGAAGGTAAACAGATGTGTTTCACATTGTAAGTAGCATCATGTTGAGAGCATGGTTTTAATTAACTTATTTTGGATCTTGACCAGATTCAACTCGATGTATGGACAACAGATAAAGAAATATTTTAATTCATCTGTCACTGAAGCTGCCATGTTTATATCATTTCTTGAGTAAATGAAACATTAAGTTCTTGGGCTCAAATAATCAATAAAAAAGATGTAGTATAAGAAATCTTTTACCCCCGTTGTCCCACAAGTAAATAGATGATGTTCGGGATTCAGTTCACAGCAATTAAGTTCTCTGTAATAAAAAAAAATTGATTAATTTCAGATAAGAATTTTGTTTTTTGTAAGTTCACTCAATACAAAGCTGAAGAACTACTCAAGGTAGACAATTACTGTTAAAATGGTTATGATGAATAAGATGTGTGATATGAATGAAAGTGGAGATAGTAAAAAGTGAAGATTACAAGGATAAGGAGAATAGACAACAAATGACTTTTAATTTGAGATAGTAATGTTCAGGGAAGCATAAATGCATGAGTTTGTTCCACAAAGTAGCAGTTTTTTGGTAAAACATGTTTAAGTGAAACTTTTTCGGTGAACTTCATGCCCACAAGAAGAAGGAATGTCAAAAGGACAGTTTTCTATTTACACTGCTATTATTTCAACTACTTTCCATCCACAGTAATATTTGCTGTTTTGAAAAGTGATGATTGTAATAAAACCTAAAAATACAATGAAATTTCTACTTTTTTTTTTGTTCTTGAGAATTTACAACAAAAATATAAAAACACTATTTAATGATTAGATTGTTTATTTACAAGAATAATTTTATATTTACAACATTCTAAAAACTAATACAATTAGAACTAATGCGATGGAATATTTATCATTTACAATTAACACTTTATAAAAAAATAAATGACAACAATTTTTTATTTATAAGCATTTACTAAATTATCAAAATATGTGAAACAACTATAAGGAAATTATTATTTACCATTTTATAAAGTTTGAATCAATTAGCAACCAGCCGGTTTTTTGCCAACTATTCTAATAAATAATATAATAGTGTTTAATATTTTTGTCGTCAATTCTCAAGATCATATATTTAGGTCTTATTAAAATCAACATGTAATTTATGGATGAATATTACAATGATGAAGAAAGTTAAAAAAACATATAGTTTTAAATATCTTTAATTCCTAATCTAAATAGACTTAAATTTATTGTTTTATTAACACTTCTGCTGATGTGCTGTTAATGAATATATATATATATATATATATATATATATATTCAAGACATACATCTTTATAAAACTCACAATGCCTACTGCTAACATATATATATACATTATGGTTATGACTGTTTTGTAACCCTATGTCTCGGTGTCATTAATTGATGAACTAACTTTTGTTCAAAAGTAATGAAAAAGGCATTACTTTGTTTTAGTTCTTGAAAAAGGTCACTCCAAACTGAAAATTCAGTTTTACCATCTATGCAATCAGAGTAAAAAATAAAAATATTTCAAAAGCTTTATTTTTCAATTTGTTAATAATGTAATTGGATAGTACTTATGTAATTTTTAGCGTATTTAACAGTTTATAGCGATAGCATAACATGCAAACTTACAAATAAACAAAAAGAAGCTGTAGATGGCTCCAAAAAGTCATAAAGTTTATGTTGGGGGATGTGTGACATTTTTTTGTAAAAAGTAAACTGAATTAAAAGCCTTCTTCATTATTTTTGAACAAAAGTTCATCAAATTATGATACAGGAAATCAATTATTTTACAAAAAGATATAACCCTAATATTCATTTTTAAGACATACATTTTTACAAAACTCACATTGCTTGCTGTTATCATATATATAAATTTTCAGCACAATATTAAATGTCAGTCCCTAATGTTTATCTTATAAACTAACTAACACTTGGTAGCATTTCTAAACCAATCCAGACATAAAGTTGATGAAATGGAAATAAAAATCTCCAAATGAAGAGGAAAAATTATAAATTAGCAACTTACAAAGCATCAGTTTGAAAAGGAGTCATGAACCTCCCCAGTTCAAGGTTCAGTCGATAAATTTGGGAGCTGGAAAGAAAAATATTATGACTTAAACATTATATGACATTTTATTTTTAATGTACAGTTTATCAATCCATTAGTAGCAAAACAGTAAATGTTAAATATATATGTTATACGAGACAGGAAAGTTTTGTTAGAAACAATGAATAAAGTACTGAACTATTATGTGATATCTGTCGTCCTATATGGCAGTGAATGCTGGACAATCTCCTCAAAGATGAAGAAGAGATGTGAAGCAATATAAATATGGTTCTACAGAAGGATGCTAAGGGTAACATGGGCTGAACATGTGAGCAACAATGAGGTTTTAGAGAAAATGGAAACAAAGAGGAAACATACTTAACATCAGGAAGAGGCAGCCAAAATTTCAGAGACACTTAATGAGGAAGAAGGGCTTGGAAAATCTGATACTCACAGAATGGATAGAGGGACAGGGGAAAACAATGTGTGACATAATGGGCGTGAGTAAGTGGATGGCAGATTAGGGCCTGGGAGAAATAACAAAAAGACAAAACTTATTAAAACCGACAAGGGACGGAAGGAGATGGAGGGACATGATCACCTACATCCTGAAGGGACACAGCACATAAAAGAAGAATAGATACTAAATAAATACTAAATTGATCTGTTAGTCTCAAAACAGTAAATATTGGAAACATGTAAGTCTACTATAAATGAACACCTGATTCAATTAATTTCATTTGTTTCTCTCTTTTTTTTAAATTTATTTTTAAGTTTAATCAATACAATGCTTGAGAGTCACTCAAGGTGGAGGGTTAGGAATACGTCATGTGATATGAATGTAAGAGGAGGTGGTAGGAAGCAAAGATTATGATGTTAAGGAGACTAGAAAATGCTTAACTCTTGATTTGAAGAAGTTAAGATTGTAGTGTTCTGGGAAGCGTCCACACAGGAGTCTGTTTCCCAAAGTCGCAATTCTTGAGAAAAAGCTGAGTGAAACTTTCTCTTTATAATTAGAATACAGCAGAAATGAGGGTGTTTTGACTCCATGGAGGTGGCATGGCATGTACTTAATGTCTTTTAAATTCATATTCCATATCTAACAAGAGTTAAAGAAACTATCTACATGGGCCATTATCCAACATGTGAAAATTAAATAAAGAAAAGGGAAAAGAGTTGGCTTTCCAATTTTAATTTCTGTTATAAAATGATAAATTAATTTTATTTTTACTTAAAGTATTTCAATGGTTAAATAGATTTAGATATTTTTAACTGAATTCTAATGAACCAATATTATTTGAACATCTCAGGTATATATCCTAAAATTTCTTTTTTTTAGGATTTATATTTGAGATGAATTCTGCATTGGAATTTTAAGACTCCTGGATAAATTGATGTCCTCAAAGTTATCAATATTGTTTTAATAAGGATAGATATTTAAACTAAAAATCACAAGATATATTTCTTATATAAATATAATTATATCCTGACAATTTTATCAACATTGGTTGGTTATCACTAATTTTATTGTGAAAATAATACATAATCAAATTAATTACATAATCATAATTCTGACTGTACAGATGGCAGATCAAATCTAATCCTGAAATTTTCTATCCAAACCCCACCCCTAACTGCTTGACACCATATTGTTTTTATGTACTGTGAATTTTTATTTTTCCTGGGGTTTATTAGGTTGGCTAATTTAACCTATTTAATGTCAAATATAAGTTGTGTTTTTTTCTGAAACAATGGGCACCCAGTGAGGATCAAACACACTACTCAGTTGTAATTGATCTATCGAGACAAGCATGCTAACCATTACACCACACCAAAGTGCCCAAATGATTTTCTAAGCATAGCTTAGATGTGGTACAATGACAATAAGGATGAGGACAACAGACCAAATAATGTAAATAGTGTAAATATTTACAATACCTCATCTCAGAAATATAGATATATGTGGCACCCTGCATTATTAGAAAACTGAAAAGAGATATTCATAAACATATGATTTATTTTTTATTCGGTTTGTTAACCAGTTGATAGTTATTTAGAGACGAAAAATAATTGAGTTTTGAGAATAATTCTCTAATTGTATTTAGGTGATCCGAAAGAAAAAAAAAGGAAAAAAAATAATAAAAAGAAAAGAAAAGAAATAGATAGTACAAAACCGGTCATAAAGCAAAACACGTAAAACTAACACAAAAACAGGTGTCAAAAGATATCCAGGTCAAAGTACCTGACCGAAATCCATGGAAAATAGAAATTGTTATAATTGGTTGAAGGGATAGAGTTTAGAAATAATGATCTGAGACGGGTAGTGAGCGAATAGGCACGCGCGATTGATGCATAACAGATGTCGGTCAAGCACCTGACCTACTTTCGTGTCCGTGGAGTATGGGAGTTTATTATCAATTTGGTTGAAGAAATAAGATTTTAAGGACAATGGAAAAAATATTAATAGGTAACGAACGAAAAGGGGTGTCATTGAGATGATAAGTCACCGCTGGGAAATGTATACGAAAACAAAACATTGGTACACGAACCCTGACCGGTTCTGGGGTTGAAGATAAGGACCACCCACGATGATGAGTGAAGAATATTTTCAATTTGGATAATTAAGATTTTGTTAACAGGCCCGAGCGAAAGAAAGAGGTGAAAACAATTGTTTTAGCTCGCGGAAGACGCCGACAGGTCGGAAAAATTCTTCTTTAAGTCGCATCTAATTAGCGGCAGGCTGTTTTGACATATGTCACATGTGAAAGAAACCGGGATCGTCATTTTTCATGCGAAAAGGACAATTTGGATTTTGTTTTTCTAAGCAAGGTATTTCTTTCCCCAGAACAAAGCCACGGATTGTCCCGCCCGATTGGAGACGTCACGAAGGAAGGAGGAAGATACCGACCAGAGTCTCATTAGCTGAGGGCAGTCACATGATACATGAGGGAGGAGGAGAGACACCGACCAGGGTCTCATTGGGCTAAAGCGGTCACGTGATGTGCGAGGGAGGAGGAAAGGCGTTCGACCAGGACCCCATTGGTCGAGAGCGGTCACCTGACATACGAGAGAGACCAGGGGAAGCGGGTATGCACCTCCCCCAGAGGCACTGTAAGGAAGAAGAAGTGAAAGAAAGAGCGATAATGGGAAATCAGAAATAATGCGACTTTTGGAATTATCAAGAAAACCCTGGGCGCCGACAGACCCACCCCAGTTTGTTATTGCAGGCGTCCAATAAAAAGCAGGACCCCAATCGACAGAAATCAGTTGCAGGCCGGACAGGCAGAGAAGTTGCAGTTGGAGTTGGGTTTGCGCCAGAGGCGAAGAAGAAGTTAACTTGCAGTTGTGCCTAGAAGAAGTTGAAATCAAACCAAGCCTAAGAATAGAAATTCGCCCAACTCAAGTCAAAGTGAATAAATTCGTCCACCGAAGCAGAAGAGAATTAATTGCGCGCACTGACGGCGAGGGAAATCAGCCGTGAACGACTGGTAGAGATCAGCGCCCAGTGTCGAAACCAAACCACCCGAAATGCAAATTTCTAGAGAACAAGCAACTCGAAGTCTTAAAGTTGTATGGTAGAAGCTTGGTGCCACAGCCCATAAAACGGGTGGGAGGTAGGAACAATTTTTGTGTAACGAACATTTGGATATAAAAGGTTGTTACCTTTTTTTTCAATAATTTTGACCTTGTGAGTTTTTCTTTTTCTTGTGTGTTACCACCCCCGTTGAACTTAGCTTGCTTACGGCCCCAATCCCTGTTTGATCCTGTCTGTCTAAGATCTAATCACAACATGGGTAGGCAGACCGGAGATCAGTGCAGTTACCCTAGTAACCAGGCGTTGGAGGCGAGTTGGGAACGACGAGGCTGGTATTCATCTAACCAAAGGGTTAGAACGTCACACTTGGAGCAGCGAGGAGCGAACAGCTGACGCCGCGGCAAAGACGTCACAACTGGTGCTGTCCGTGACCAAGATATCAGAGCCTGGAGAGCACGTGACGTCACAATGAAAATTATAAAGATAAATAAGATAGATAACAATTGACTCTTTGACTTGAAGAGGTCAAGATTGAAGTGTTCAAGGAAGTTTGCAGAGTGAGTGGCCATGGTTAAATGTAAAATAAATAATAGAACTGTCCAACAAACAAAATTGACAGAGTTAGCAATAGCAAGAAAAAGAAAAGAACAGGGCAAAAAATAATATAAAGCAAGCAAACAATATATACAAGGCAAATTTATAGTAATAAGACAAAGCAACAGTAATATGCTAAAAAGTTCACAAAATAAGAAATGGGTTTGGTATACAAGAGCAAGTTCAAACAAGCAAATGTAGCGTTCTTACTTCAAGACAAGAGATACTGGGGTTGAGTCAGATGAAACCTAGAATCAGCCTGTTTTATTGGCTAGGAAATAATCTCAGCATGCCTTTGTGGGCTTCTGCCTATAAACTGGGGAGGGGAAAATGTTTTGCAGCCATTCCAGCAGGAATTGAAACCAACAGAGTTTGTTATACAAATTAGCAGTTCTTGGGGGGAAAAAAAACTGTTTGAGTAGAAGTTTCTTCTTACATTTAGAACACAGAGGAAATGAGGGTGATTCAACTCTGTAGAAATGACATGGCATGTCCCAGATGTAAAGATACGAACTGGTGGAACTAAAGAATAGAAGCCATCTGAACATTTGCAATGGAAATAGCTATAGAGTAGCAATGGACTTGCAATGTTGTGTCTGTCAGAAAGAGTTTGCCGAGCAGAAAACAAGTCTTTCCTCAAAAAACTGCACAAATGATTATGAACTCTCTCAAGACTGGAAAGTGAAGATTGAGTAGCTCCAGTCCAGATATGACAGCGATATTCTATTTTTGGTCTAATATGACTCTTGTAAAGATAAAGCATGGCAGGAGTTAACCCTTTAATATTCAACACTCTCAAACCCACCCCGTAAATATTGGCTCTCAAAGTTTCACTATGTGACTTCTTGCATTATTTGCAATGATGTCATCATATATTATGGCATAGTATACATGGGGACGGGTTGAACATTAAGAGCTGATATTTATGTGGCTGATTGAATGCTAAAGGTTTAGATGCTTCCTAGAATGATAGAATAAACCAACAATTTTTTCCAGTAGCTTTAGGAATGGATTGCCTATATGTATTAAATTTGATGCCTGAAATGAACATGAGACCCAGTAGATGTTCAAAATATGGAGTTACATTTAGAGTGGAACTGTTCATCATGACTGGGGGAAAACTCAGTGTCTGAATGGTAATAATGAAATGACACTAGCTTGGTCTTTTAAATTAATTCTTCAAGTGGGGAAGAATCTACATGCCTTGAAAAATCCACATGCAAAATTTTATTTTTTATTTTTTTTTTATATAATTGACCTCAAGCAAGGAGATAATATCACTAAGATGCAAAGAGGTACTGGATTGATTGATTGATTGTTTATTTGTTTTACCAGCATATCAAGCCCTTCAAGTGGTTTGAGGTTTTAAAAGTGTTTCCAAAACATCACAAGTTGTATAGTTCAAGATATTTCAAAATGTCTCATGTTGCATTTTTCAGGAGTATTTCAAAAGTTGTATGGTTCAAAATCCAAGTTCTATTTCCTATAAAAGTTGAGAGTAATTTATTTTCTTCAGATATCCTATTATTTGGGAAGCAGGTACAATTTTGAAGAGTATGCTAAGATTTTGTGTTTGCAACATATTTTTTGTGCTTCTTACATTCTATCAAGATATGTTGGATTATAAGAAATTGATTGCAGTGGATACAACGATGTGTAGTTTCTACCTTGAGCATGTGTGTGTGTGTGTGTGTGTCCAATTCTTATTCTGTTGAGCACTGTCATGTCTGTGATCAGCTAATGGTTCTATATTCTCTTTTCTTATTGCTGGCTGATGTTCATACAATTTATTGATTGGGAATGTGTCTAAAATTGCTTGCCATTTTTTATAATCTATATATGGGAGTTTGATGTTGATTATTTTCATTTTCATGGCCTCTTTTGCCAGTGTGTCAGCTTTATGATTTCCCTTGATGCCTATATGGCTAGGCATCCAGGCTAACATTATTGTTTTGTGCTTTATTAAATGATGACTAGAATCTAGGATTTCTTGAATATAGTGATGATTTATGTTCTTTTCTTTAATTGCTGTTAAACTTGATAGGGAGTCTGAGAATATAAATTTCCGATCTTTTGAATTTTCTATCATTTTAATTGTGATTATTATGGCTTGTGGTTCAGCTGTATTGTTTGGTAGCCTGATTTGTTTATGAATTTGTCTGTTAGTAGCTGCTGCACCTATTCTATCTAGGATTTTTGATTCATTTGTGTAGAATGGTTTATTGTTACGATATATCTCTTAATTCTCTGTATATGCTTTTGTTGATTGTATCTTTTTTTATGTGTCAATATTAGGTCTATGTAAGGTATGGAGATTGTCCATAGAGCTACCTTATTTATTATGACTGGTGTTACGTTATCAAGATCTTTGCTTATTTGTTCTAGTGCTTCTTTGATTTGAAGTTCAAATGAAGGGATGGCTGTTGGTTTATTTCTATAGAACTGGATATATTGAGGTTCATATGTTTTCTGGTATGCTGAGTTATTTGGGTTGGATTTTAGTTTTAGTGCATATTGTAGGGGTAATTTTTCCCCATCTCATAGATATAGGTGGTTTACTGGCTTCTAAAGGGTATTGGAAGTGAAAGATAAGATAATAAAAAAGACTTTAGAAGGAACCAGAAACCCAATTCTAAATAGAAAACAAAGGATAAACCTCAACTCCTGTTCAAAAGACTGGGGAGGAGTGTGAACTGGATGATAGAAGAAAAATAAAAAAAAATAAAAATAGCAAGTTAAATTTCAGAGTTCAGATGGAGACATTAAAAGTATAGAGTTGAAGTAGACTTTAGAAGGAACTAGAAACCCAATCCTAAACAGGAAACAAGGGACATACCTCTATTCCTGTTCAAAAGACTGAGGAGGAGTCTGAACTGGATGATAGGTGAAACTACCTGTGCTTAAAAACTGGAGTAAGGAGGAAATTGTCATCTACCTCAGCTATGATATAGTTGTCAGTCATGTGCATTATATGAACAATGTTCTCGATATGCTTATAAATAAAATATATAACAGTAGATGCAAGCTCACCTGGCACCAACAATATACATATCACAGGAAGGTGTATGGTATGACATATCACGACCAAATTTGGGGATTCTTGTTCTGTAATAAATGCCAGCCTGGTTGTGAAACTCAATGTGACGATCCACTTGAAGGAAGACAACCTGAAACAAAAAAGAAACAAGATGACTAAAAGAAAGAAGACTAAAAAAGAAACTAAAAAGAAACACTTAAAGACCTCATTGTCAAAACTTGATCAAGGAAATTAAAATATTGTGCACAACAACTAAAAAAGCAAAACGAAAGGAAATACACAAATATCAATAATATATTGGCAGGAGTATATCTATAAACAGGTCACATTAAGTCCTAACAACTAATCCTTTTGTTTACATAAGGATGGTTGTTTATTTTCTTGATAGAGTTCTAATGAGAAAGGACTGGTAAGTGATTGTTTGTCCTATAGTATTTTTTTCTCTCTTTTTATTTTTTCCTTTTTGTATTGCTAACTGCTGTAATTGAAGTTTTCTTCTTGTCTCTTTTACTCCTGTCTATTTTTACTGTAATAAAAAAAGAAACATGATCACTAGAAACAAGAATAATAAAATGAAAGAAAGAACAGGAATAAAAAAAAAATATATATATAAATAAACAAGATAAATAAAAACTGCAACAAAAAAGAAACAAGGTGAATAAAAACTTCTTTTGCAAAAGAGTAAAAAAAACTTAAAAAAAAACACCCAAGTTCTCAAGTTTAGATTTCTTATTATGCTTGATCATAATAATACTTAAGTTAATTAGAATATTGCCCAACTTATGACAGTATTTTAGCATTAGAAATACAATTTTAAAATAAAATAAATTTCACATTTTTATATTTTCAATAAATATGTTATCAATAACAATAATATTATTATTTACATGCAGACTATTGTTCTCATCTTTGTTGTTGTTATCACAAGGTTTCAGCCATTGTGCTCTCTAGCCTTCATTAGATGTATGTCAATCATTGTGATTGAAGCAACAAATATTAGAACAATAGTCTGCATGTAATTAATGCAAACTTCTCATCCTAGAAATTCAACCAGAAACATTTTGACATTATTTTTTTATTTTTCTACTTTAAATTGTTTAATCACTTTTAAGATTAAAAACAACATAGGTTGAGATCTCAATGGCAGATCAATCAAAAGAGGTCAAAGACACCCAATGATTGTGAAGTTAGAAAATATTAAACAATTTCTTGCCAGTTTGACATGTCAGGTGTCTTGTGATTGGGATCATAAGTACGAATGTGATGTTTCAGAGGCAAGAACTCTAGCAGGGTTAATACAATACTTCTGAATTCCTCATCTCAAGTTATCCTTGTTTTTATGGAACTGGAGTACAGAAATGTCAAGTCAGCAGGGATTACAGGTTTTTGCTACAATCTTTTCAGGTTAATGAAATTCACATGAACAGGTCAAAAATGTTTTTGTTTTCTACCTGAAGTCTTACAAAAATACTATTTGCTTATGATCTTGAAATGAGTCCCAATATAATGCCATCCGGTCAACTGATGAGCTAAAGAGCTCACTGAATATACAATAATGGCAATCAGATTTCTTCCATCAACCATTGGTTGCAGTGACTTCTAGAGTTTCAAAAAGTTTGGTTGAATGGGCATGTTGTGACTGATCTTAAATGACCAGAAATCTGCTGCAGGAGTTGGTATACCACAGCTCTGATGGTTATATAATGAGGGAGATGACAATTCTTTTCAACTTTAAAAGGTAATATTGAAAAAAATACAAACTGCACCAAAAAAAAAAACAAAAAAAAAACAAACAAACACACCACGAGAGTGATGAATGGTTATACCTTAAAACTTAGGCTCTTAGTTGCTCACTCTGAGCATCTAATTGTTGGTTTTAAGTTAATAGATGATCATGGGTTCAGGAGGTGGCCTAGTCAGTTCTTAGGCACATTCTGATCCAAATCTAAGTGATAACTCTTTTTGGAGTTCTCCTGTAGACTTTGCTGAAATACTCTGGAGTCTGCTTATCTGTTCTGCCCAACTTGTGGTTCTACTCTTCTCAACGAAAGCCTCAAAATGTCCCATTTTTATAATACTTCGCCCAAAACCGGGTGGGGGTCTGACTGGCATAGAAATATCAACCATTCCTTTGTCTCAACTGAGATTTTCCAATTTTGATCAATTTTTTTAAGCTGTTCATTTCTCTTCGTGGTTTAAAATTTTATTAAAGCAAATTCCCCAAGCGCACTGTTGGCCAACACTGAGAAACTTGGGCACTGAGATAGGGTTGGCTGTACACTCACTGGTGTCCATCAGAATGCAAGCAGACAATCACTTTCTGCCATGTGTGAGTATAATTTCGTTCTACCAGAGACGCATCCAAAAGCATCTCTCTTTCTCATATATATATATATATATATATATATATATATATATATATATATATATATATATATATATATATATATTTTCTAATGTATTCATGTATTTATTTTATTTATTTATCTATTTTTCTTTTTTCTCTCTCCTCCACTCTGTTCGACTAATTTAACATTGATACTTGGTCTAACCATTCTAACCTAACTTATAACACTATATGTTTGTGTATTTGGAAATCCCCCCCCTCTTTGAAAGAAGGGAAAAAAATCTCTTCACCAGGCATTAGTATGTTTTAAGTATTCTTATGGTCCAGTGGCAGGAGACTAATAGGATGGTAGTTAGAGGAGTCAGAGGGGTCTCCAGAGTTCTTAAAGACAGGAACAATGGATGAGGACTTCCAGCAGTCAGGAAAACAGCATTCCTTGAGGCAGTAGTTATATAGTTTAGAGAGGGTGGGCACTAGCTCAGGCGTGCATTTCTTCAAGACAATGGTTGGTATGCCATCTCCACCACTAGCCTTGTGGGGGTCTAAATTGGAGATAATGCCCAATACCAATGACAGGGTTATGTGTAACCCGCTCAATAGGGCCTCAGTTCTTAGGGGGAAGTCTGGTATGGGTACACCAGAGGAGTTGAGCATTGAATTAAATGAGAATTTCCGAGAAAAGCATTCAGCCTTGTCGGTAGAGGAGGTCAGGACCTTGAACTGGTTGAACAAAGGAGGTATGGAAGGTTTTCTATTGTTCAGGACGCTCTTGCAGAGCCGCCAATAATCTTTGGAGCCAAATTTGCGAGATGCAATATGCTCCTTCATCTGAGCAGCAAATATTGACTTAGCTTCGTTGAGGACATGCTTGTTACGGGCGGAGGCAAAGAGATGTCTATTGCAGTCTGACATGTCACTACGAAATAGGTGAAAGAAGTGGTTCCTATGGGCAATGGCGGCTGAGCAAGCAGCGGAGAACCAAGGGGAGAAGTGCGACTTGACCTTAAATTTCCTTGAGGGGATGAAAGCGTTGATTCCAGCTTTAACCCAGGATGAAACCTCAGAAGCACATTCTTGGACAGGGAGTGTAAAGACAACATCCCAGGGGACATCGCGGAGGAAGTCACGGAACAAGTCCCAATCCGCTCGTTGATAGTACAATGAGGTTCTAGTAATAGGAGGTTCTTTGCGAGGGGTGGAGTTGAAGGAAATGTTAACAGATACTACAGCATAATCGGAGTTACCAAGAGCTGCATGGCACTACAAGATTCGGGGATGGAGGTAAAACATAGATCGAGAAGAGAGGCCTTACCTTCCAGGTTGAGGGCAAAATGCGTGGGAAGTTAACTATCTGCGTGAGGGATTGAGAAATTGAGAAATTAAGTGTTTGAATGCCTGCCCGGTCAGTAGTAGCATTCTCGAGCCACTTGGTATGATGGCTGTTAAAGTCACCAAACACAAATATGTGAGCAAACAGATGGAGAGAGAGGGCCTTGTCTATGCTGTCAGATAAGCTATTGAGTAACCCACAGTCTTGAGAGGATGGAGAGCGATAGAGGAAGAAGAGATAGCTTACGGCATTGAGGAGAGATAGTTGGAGACACATGTACGAATGGTCTGGCGATTCGAGAGACAACTCTCTGGCCAGAGGGAGATGGTCCTTGACGTAGACACCAAGGCCGTGCATGTGGGTTAGAGAGTCTTTCCTGAGGAGAGGAAGGCAGCCAGGGATCGAGAGATCAGAGGAGGGAATAGACGAGACAAGGTTGGTCTCACACAGAGCCAGTATATCCGGGCATCCCGCTCTCACCCTTTCACTGTAGAAACTTTTAAATGTAGCCGTCTCTTCTACTCCAATAGCTTCATACCTCGCACTCTGCCTGTGGAACACCCTTCCCTATTACTGTTTCCCTGGGAGCTATAATCTCCACTTATTCAAATGTAATGTCAATCAACATCTTCAGTCACCTTGATCTATCCACAATCCTTCTCCTCATTCTTTCTTCTATCACTCCTATCTGCTCTTGCTCCAAATTTCTGCAACCCTAGTGGCTTCCCGCCTTGCTTAAAAAAAAAAAAAAAAAAAAAAAAAAAATTATCCAGCCCCTTAGTCACAGTGAGAGTTAATCCACCCATCCAACTCCAACTTGCCTTCTGCAACATTTCTGACTTCCACTGATAGCTGCTACCTCCTCTCCTTCCTGCAACTACCTTAGAAACAACCTGTTATTACTCTCTTTGGAGTTTCACTTGATCCGGTTGACCAATCCCTTTTTAGGGACTGTAACAAAGGGCAGTCTGAACTGTAACTAAAAGCTAACCATCTCAACTACTTCAAATTTTAGGTGAATTCAATTTATGGAAAAGATCCCCCCTTGAAAAAAAATTTATTTTCATCTGGTTTCTGCTGGACACAGTCAAAAGTATCAAGAAATAGTTGCATGGATTTATTTTATGGAGAAATCAAATCTCCAGAAAACGATAAAAAAAATACTTAATTATCTTTTCTTACAGGCCACATGCAACACTTCCTCTAATCATTATCTTCAAGTGAAAAATTATTATCCAAATCAGCATCCTGTTTTAAGCCTGAATGAAACATGTTTTTTCATCAATCTTGATCAGTGGGTTTAAGTGTGTCCAGCTTGGAACACTACAGTCATGATTTAAATGTTAAACTGAGATAAGTGCTTTCTGGGTCAGTCCATCCACCTGTAGCCAATAATGTCACACCAATAAAAATAAAATATATAAACAAAAATAAAAAAGATTAAAATAAGGCATTTGTGCTTTTCTTTAAAATCCTTATCTCTTTTTCTCTCTCTCTCTGAACTTCTCTTTCTATACTTCTCAACCTATGAGAAGACAACCCTCAAATAAAAAGACTGAACATAGCTCCTGCAAACTTCTGTTTTTTTATAGCTGAGCTTACTTATTTGTAACTGAAAAATACCAAAACTCAGGGAGGCTCCATGCATAACTTCCGTTATGAAAAGAAAGAATGGAATGCCAAAAAATAAAATAATTTGGCTAATCAAAAAAATTGACACAAAGAGACCGTACCTATGAACACGAATGGGTATGTCTCAATCCTCATAAATATGTTGGACACTATTGAAAGTGGGGGCAATATGCTGTTTAAGTAGTTCATCACTAGCAGTGGTTTACCTACTTCATGCCACTGGTGACTATTGTATTTTGTTGATGTTATAAATATTACTATTTCATTTCCAACCTCCATTTTGGTTATTTCTCATTCAGTAATTTTTTCTACGTTACAACAGAGACTTTTGGTGTGCTTTTGGATATCTCGTGGCACAGTGGATAAAAATGTTGGTTGAGTGATCCAAAAATGACTTGACCCAAAGATTTGGGAGTTCAATACCTGGCCACAGTAGAGAAAAAACAAAAAAAAACTCAGAGAGTTGAGTTACCAAGGGGAATTAACTGAAACTGAGATATCCAAAGGCATGGCATATGAAATTAGAACCTAACCCTTACTCGGACTAAATAAAGGGTTCGGTTTGAAATTCCAACTAATATCATGTGAAGAAGGCTGGGGCATACAATGGCCGAAATGTTGTGAATATGGCAATAAAGATACGGACAATAGTCCAAACAATGTAAATAGTGTAGTTACAATACTTCATCTCAGAAATATAGACAGAGACAAGATATTGTTTGAAGTTTTTAGTCCAATAACTGCAATGTCTGATGATTGCTCATCAAATGAAAGGGAGTGACACTGATTTCTTTTTAGTCCTACATCCATGACTAAGCAGCCCTATTTAGGGATAAGCACTACTTACACAGAAGTGGGAATAGGGTTCAAGATTAATGCTGTCCCATTGTACTGGGGATGATAGAATATTAGTTTGGGATGACTGGTTAGTATTTGGGGGGGACAATACTGGGAGGATACAAAATTTTTAATTAAATACTAGTATATTTATTCAAAAAGCAACAAATTCCTTAAAAAGATATTCTTACTTCTCATCAATAAATGAAACATGATAAAAATAAACAAAATTTAAGTGCTTCTTTTTAACTCTCTACGACTAGAAGAACCCACATGTGCCCACAAGACTCACGTGTTTACAGTTTTGGAATGCCTGAATATGCCCTCAAATGAGTAGCACTGTAGACACTATGGAAAGCTACAAGCTTTACAAAGTTGTAGATTTCCAAAACCATATTTCATAACCAGGGGGGGCTAAACTGGTGAATGAAACCCTCCTTAACAACATCTCTTTGCTGTCAGTATATGTTCTTTAACACATGATGTTGGAAAGATAAAACTTTCCTTTCATGAAACGCTCTCCAGAACATTGTTGTCATTTCTTTTTTGTCAAAGACAGACAATTCTCTTCAATGACCAACTGTATCTTATATTTAAAGTACAGTGTATGTGTGTGTCCAAGCAACTCCTCTGTTCACACTGGTCTGATTTCATTCAAAAGACCTAGAAAAGTTAGAGAAATATAACAGCTAATTAAGTAAAGGCTATATTATGGAATCTATATGAATCCTAAATTGGAGTTCAATTCTCCCACAAATTCTGCCTCACCTCTACTTTATGTTATTTAACTCCCCCCCACCAAGTCGCACTGTGACACAAGGTCAGTTTAATATGGGATGTCCAAGTGCATACACCCAGGCTAGGAACAAAAATTCCCCGAGCCCTGCAATCGTTGGTTGCGCTGGCCTTGGTGCAAACACCAATCACTCCCTCTGGTGCAATGAGAGGGTGTGGCCTCAGGCAGCTGTTCACAATCTCTTTTTTGGGAGGTTTAAAAAACTTGTCAGTCATTGAAAAATAAAATGTCCTACATTGTAGGTAATAAGAGGAGAGCACCAAGGCTTTATTCATCTGGGTAAATCTAGTTTAGCACAGGCTAAAAAAGTCTTTTTTGGTTCTGAAAAAAATTTTCACAATTAACAAAGGTAAAAACAATAATTTGTCTGAATTTTTGGGGTCGGAAATTATTATTTATATTCAGACTAATGTCATCATTTTATTGTTCCCTCTAGTCTTCTTCAGGTCTGTGAATAACATATAACATTCAGGGAATTTTAAATTAAACACTTTATTTAATCTATGGGGGTAGATTGTTCTTCAGCTGCCCATGTCAAGGAATATCTTGTTTTGTTCTTTTTTTTAGTACTGTTCACTTATTATTTTCCTTGAGTCCGAGTCTGTACAACCTGACCCAAGGATTGAACTCACAATTAATGTGCCACTAAATTCACAAACCAATGCTTTAATCCACTCAGCTATTTTCTCACTGCACAAGGTAGCACAGACTTAGATTTAGTAAGTTATCTGGAGAAAGACAGAGGGCATAATGGCCAAAACATTGTGATAATAACAACAAAGATGAGGTAATTTGTCTAAATGTAAATAATGTAAATAGAAACAACAGTAGTCAAAATGGTGGGTGGTTGGCCTCACCCTACATTTGACCAACACAGCATCCTTATTCTCTTTCTCACTGAAAAATGTCCTATGAAATATACCAAGCATATACAAATGTGCTAGGTACACTATAAAAAGTAATTTTTCTTTTTATAACATTTTTTGAACATATTTTAAAGTTATATATGCTAAAATATAAAATGTGTATCTGGTCTACACTCTTCAATATAAACAAAAATATTGATTAATATCTTTTTTGTTATAAAGCAAAGAACATTGGTATTCATATAAACAAGAAACTTCTTACTTTAGAATAATCATCTGAAAGAACCTTTGTCTTGACAACTTCCAAGTCCAGCCCTCGTTCAAATTTTAGTGACAAGTTACTTAATTCATAGCATCTCACTCTTGGTTTGTAGGCACCTAGAAATTGAAGACACAAAATTAATTATCCTTTTACTAAGTTGATTCTAATATTGTAGAGCAAATGTAAATGGCAAAACTGTTGAACAAACAGAATTGACAAAGTTTGCAATAAACAACAAAAAAAAGAAAAGAAACAAACAGGGCAAAAATAATATAAAACAAGCAAACAATATATGCAAGGTGTTCACAAACTAAGAATTGCTGTTGACGTACAAGAGCTAATTCAGATTAGCAAACGTAGCCAATAAGTGAAGCACAAGCAAGAGATGCCTACAAATAAATCTTACTAAATTCAGTACATACAAAAACATTTTTTACAAATCTGTACAAACAGAGCTTCAAATTAAATAAGTGGTTTCTGGAACCTGATTGGATAGGACAAGTCATGTGATGGGCTTTCACTGATGCTCGCACGGTTGAACTCCAAATGACCTAGAAAAGAGTTCAAGGCTTAAGTTACTGAGTACATTACGATGCAAAACTCAGATAGGGATTTGGAGCCTAGCCACAGCAATAAAAACAGCTCACCAGAAACAGTCAGTGACTAGATTTGCAACAAACAGTCAGTGAACCAGGCCCCCACCTCAATCAACAGCATAGACACACGTTACCATGACGTGTCAGTCAGCAATGATTTTTCTACATTGAAAAACATACAACACCGTGATCAAAGTAAGTCCTGTCTCCTCTATCTTTGTTCACCGTATTTAAAATTACTGCTACCGCACTCATTAGTCACACGTTTCATTAGCATGTGCTACACACACACACACATTGGTGTACAATATACTGCTTGTTTTCCTCACTTATAAAATCTTTTCAAACAATCAAACTACTGGTCTCTTCATCGCCACAATAAAGAACATTGAATTTTAATATGTAAATACATGTATCTGCCTGTATAAATGTTATTATTATATTTAGCTTGGTCGTCATCTTTTTTTATGAAGATCATTTCTTTGTGTTGTTTATAATTTTATGTTGTATTTGTGGGTATGACATTCAGATTTTATTTTTCCACCTAAAATCCAGGTAGACTGGCCCCACAGATCTACAATACAAGATAATATTTCTTTAACAAAATAAAAAAAGAAAAAAAGAAAAGTTTAAAAGTTCTTTACCTGGAAATAAATGGAACACACAATGAAAATTTTTAATGTATTTGAAGGTAACTTGATTGTGTAGGATTTAATATACAGGGCAGCAAGCACTTTCAAATGGTAGTTTGAATGTGTCTGGCTTACAATACTGTGGTCCAAAGTAACATTCTTTTATTAGGGTAAGAAAGATTGGAATTGTTCAAGATTAGTAAGGAAGTGCAAACAATTACCATATTTCAAGGCCTAGTGAAATCGCCCCAATCTTGATTCTGATTTTTTTTCCCAACAGATCGCACATAGAACACAAATTCTTTTCCAATGTAAGATTTGGTTTTCTTCTTCATCGCCATAAACATACAAAATGGACTGGAAATGATTTTGAATCAAAAGTGACTGGTTTTGTATGACTGCATTGCCAGTAAATCTAGTTCAGCCCAAGTAGCCCAATTTAAGCTAGTTGTTTTTCTCTAGATGGGAGGACTTTCAGTTGCCTGATGAATTCTTCTCAGAGTAATTCAGGAATGAACAGACTTTCCTGCTGCCTGGATAATATCCCAAGAAAAATCTAACATATTGAATATAGGAATCATTTTTTTTTCTTTTCATAACAATATTCCACCTTTCTTTCATTAAATGTACACTGGACATTTTCCAGTCATTTTGCTCACACTGATGCAGAGGGGAATTAAATCATCAGAGAGTGAAGTTGTTCAGTTAGTGAAAAACTGACCAATAGACCTGGTTTTATGTTTATAATAATTCTTTAAAATTTTAAGTGCTTTTGGCTGCTTCCTCTTTCATAATTGTAATTGTGACTTCAAGAAACAAGGTTCATAAAGAGAATATCATTATACTGGGTGTACTTAGGAATGAAAGAAAAACAGTAAAAGATCTAATTTCAATTCTATTCATAGGTTATCATATAAACTTGGGAAAGATTAGGATGTGACTTCATAATACTTACATTCATTCCCACAAACTGAATACTAAGATTTTACAGCAAACTGGGATGTTCGTACCCACAAAAAAATCAGAGTATCAAAAAAACAGTTTTTCCACTGATACTGCTATTATTTTAACTGCCTTCATTCTTTGACAATGCTTATTGTTTCAAAAAGTGATGATTAGAATTGTTAATAAAATCTAAACATGAAAATTGTACATTTTCTTTGTTTTTAAGAAATGACAACAAAATAATAAACACTAATTATTTATCAGATGATTTATTTACATTTTATTTAGATTGTTTATTGGAATGGTTGGCAAAACATTGCCTATGTGAAAATTGATTCAAACTTTATAAAATGTTAAATTTGTTTCACATATTTTAATAATTTAGTAAATGTTTATTAATTTATGAATAAAAAATTGTTTTCATACCTATTTTTGTATAAATTGGTAAATGATAAATATTGCATTGCATTAGTGTTAATTGTATGTTCTTAGAATGTTGTAAATATAAAATTATTCTTATAAATAAACAATCTAATAAATAAATAGTATTTAATATTTTTGTTGTAAATTCTCAGGGACAAAAAATATGTATAAATTCACTTTCATCATATGTTTAGGTTTTATTACAATTCTAAACATCACTTTTTAAAACAGATATTGTCGTGGAGTGAAGGTAGTTAAAATAATAGCAGTGTCAATGGAAAAACTGTCCTTTTGACACTCTGTTGTTTTTTGGCATGAAGGTTCAGGTTTGCTGATTTTCCTATTCTCAAAGTGTAACATTTACCTGTGACATAAATAGCACTGCCATCAGGTGTGGCTTCAATTGTGGAACTGACTGAAGGCATCTCCAAATCCTGGATAAGCTCAATTCGCTGCCGAATGTCTGTAGAAAATAGAAAAAAAGATACTGAGATTATCTAAAATAATAAATGTGATGGAATTTGTTGGATTATTTGTGATCAGCTTCAAAACTAGGGGAATTATCACAAACTGATTGAAATTTATAGTTTTCAGGAATGGGACTAATTTTAATCCTGTCAGCTCTTAAGGGATTTCAATTATTAAATCCCTGAATTGTTTTCTCTTTCAAATGATGTCAAACTTAGCCTCCTTGGTATTACTGGTTATGTTTATTTTGTTTGTTTAATGGCATATCAACTCCTTATGGGTCATTTAATGCCAAAATCTAATTTTCTTGAAAGTATTAGTAATTTCTTTTACAAAAATGTATTGCTGGTATTTTCTTTACTATGAAATTGCATTGCTGGCACTTCTACAAAAATGTATTTTTATACTTTCATAGTGTTTCGTTTTTGTTTGGGGTTAACTATTTGCCCATAGCTGGACACCTAACAGGTGCTACCACCCCAAGTCAGAGTGAACCTGGGAACAATAGCAATTAAGAGGTGGTTCCATGCTCCTCAAAACTACCTGATTAGAGGCCTTGCTGCCAGATGTAGCTTATTGTCATACCCAGGATGGTTACTGGTTATGGAAATCTACAACTTTGTAAAAGTTGTAAGCATGTGAAACTTGCAGGAGCATTTGATCACTTCCAGCCTTAAAGGGTTAAACTTAAGATAACTAAAATAATAACAGGTATTTAAACATTAAGTAGCATTTTTATTTTTGAAATAAAAAATGTTCAATTATTTTAACGTTGAGTTTGGGTATAAGGAAGCTGCTTTAGCACTGTATTTTATGCAAAGCAGATTTGCATTCATTTTGATTTGTTCAAGGGGTGAGGAGTAACTTTTAAAGACCAACACCATGTTGCTTCAAAATAAAAACCTATTTTAATATTACAAATAACCTACAAGATATCAAAATAAAATAAGTTTGAATTGTGGATTAACCCACTTGGCTTTACCAAACACCTGTTAGGTGACACTGTTTAAGTCTGTACCTTGCATTTTTCTTTCTTCTTCTTGCTCCAAGATGTAGCAGGTTGTAGATGAAAGTGTCCCCACTGGGTTGCATTTCTTGCCCCCAGTGGGCTGAAAACTAAACTCACACACACAAACAAGCACATTTTTAATAGTTAAGTTTTTAATATCTTTTCCTTTATTTTTAACTGTGTACACATTAATGTAATTTCTTTTTATTAATACATGCATTAATTATCATTGATTTAAATTTTATGTTTTTGTGTTTCTTATTTTTTACCTGCATTCACATGATTCCGCTTTGTCCAATATTGTTTGCAGGGTAAATGTTCCAGGAGTCATGAAACGTTTACTGAAAAACATCCAAACCTTGCAACAAAAGTGGAGACTCATGCAACAGTGTAAATGTTCATAATTATTCTTACAGATATTAACCAAACTTTAAGGATTAATTACAAATGTCTTCCAAATAAAGTGTGAAAAGGATGCTTGCTGATTATTAATTAATGAATTTATCAGATGAAGCTTTAACTCATTGCATCCAATCATGTGTGGATGGTACAATCAGGGCCTGTGCATACTACCCCCGACTGGGGGGAGGGAGTCTGATTTGGCAGGGGCACTGGCATAGGCAGTGCTTTGTGACCCTTGCTATCTTATCAACATTTCCTTTTTTCCTACCTACATTTATATATGTTACAAATTAAACTAAGCACAATTGACTATTAAAGAATGAAAAATTCCTGTGAATTTGATGTAATTCTGTTTTTTTTTATTTTTGTCCAACTCAGTGAATTTGTTTTACTAATGCTAAGTCTTGAAAAAGACATCATATAAAATTTGCTATCGTTTTTAGCCATAATGTTGAATGCATTAAAATTATTCCACAAGAAAAATCTCAAGTTGATGTTAAAAATTGCCACATACATTGTTGATTTATTTAAGATGGAATGATCTATTATGACAGGTCTCTAATTTGTATTTAGATACATTGTATTTATTTTCAATTTTTCTAATTGACCTATATTGCCTAGTTCACCTATATTGCATATGATCCATTATTGTAAATAATAAAGTTACAATAAATTTTATATTTTATATGAGCACTACCTTTAGAAAATTGAGATAGTGGGGTGAATTGTACATTAAGTGGTTGCCATGAAGCCCTTGCACCAGCTCTAGGTGCAATAGTGGTGCAGAATAAGAAATCAGGAAGCCAACTTTGAACTCCAGTTGAGTTCATTATATTCACTTTTGCACAAATAGCCTTGGGAAAGGTAAGAATATATCTCTCCCTTCAGTTAAAGGTGAAGTACTAGGTCCAACTAGGCTTTTCAGCCTTGGTTGGTAATCAGTCTAGGAGAAGGACAACACTGAGTTCAAAACTAGTTGGGCATTGAACAAGCAACCACATCCTGTAAAAACCTGCTTGTTACAGCAACATCTAGCATCTTGAGAGTTCTGGCTCAATACTCCTTAGTGGAGTCTCATGATTTGAATGGTTGAGTGAGTCCAAGTGTAAAGGACATATTTGATACCATTTTACAGTGTTTACAATACAGAGAAACATATTATATCAATTTAAACTTTATACAATTAGGTATCCCAGACTCAAATTTTTTTCAATATATCTAAAAACCTTTAATATAGGCATAGAAATCTTTACAAACCATAAACAAAGGGTACCAGATTTATCTTGGTAGTTCAATTAGCAACAAAGTTATGACCATTCAAATTTCATAAAAACTGGGCCTTGAAATATGGTAATTGTTCGTCTTCAAAAAAAGTCAATTTAACAGTGTGTAAGAGAAGATGCAGGTTTCAAACAAGTTAAAAATCATTTTAAAAAAAAAAAAAAAAAAAAGAAACTATTTGTCATTGAAATAATGATGTAATTTAAAGAGATGTTGAATATAAACTAATCATTATATGGGAGAAAGCATTTAATCTTTAGAAAGAGAAAAAGTTAAATTTTGTTTCCATACTAATTTTATCAAAATAATCTAAAAAATAAATGAGATATAAGCATGTTATAATATGATGAACAGGTGTTTTTAGATACTAAGCATTTGGTGGCGGAATGAAGAAGAAACAATACAAATTTAAAGCAATAAAGAATTGTATTAACATAAAACTGAATAAATGAACAATTAATAACTACATTGTTTTTTTACAGGTAAACTGATGTCTGACTGTTCAAAGAAGACTGTTCATCCTTTTGGTCAAAAAAGTCATCAACAGCAGATATAACATCATCATCACTGTTCCCAGCCAAGTATTTTTTCATGTTGGTGGACAGATGATAGTCAGATTGGCCAAATCAGGAAAATAGAGAATTATACATGATCACAAGTTTATATGAAGAAACCATTTATGCAACACAACTAGCTAAAATAAAAAAAAAAACATTGTGTATAAAATAAGATAAAATTGGACGTATTTACAGTGTTTTGTTGTAATTACTCCCTAAATAGCCTAATGCAATAATCTCAAATGGTGCACATTAATGCACCCTGAAACGTGTGCCCCAAGTTAACAAAAGAGTAATTTATGAATTATTTTTACATTTAAAAAAATCTTTATTTTTAAAAGTTAGAGACACCAAGCACATGGCTTCCATATGTCTAAGTCAAATCCTTGTCATCTGATATTTTGAACCGTAAGATAAATTCCTTAATCCATAAGGAGTGGATAATACTTTCTCTTTTGCCTTTCTCAAGATATTTAAATCAGTCATTATCAGCCTTTCTAAAGAAAAAAAATAGTAGGTTCTTCATAAATCCCTTTAAATGAAAATTGTACTGTTAATCTTCTTCAGGAATGCTCAATCAAAATTTCAAATTGCATGACTAATTTTCGTTTTTTAAAACTTAAAGTGCGACCCAGAGTTTTAGTTATTCTACAAGTATAAATTAAAAGAGGTTGAGAAACACTGGTGTGAGCTGTTTCTGATATCCTGTGTACCTACATAACTATCAAGAGTAAGAGAGCACTATAAAAAGTTCAAAGCCAAATGATCTTTTCTAATAGATGGATATCTTTATAAACTTACCTAAATCATTTTTCTGGAGTTGACGTTTCTTTCTGTCTGTGAGCCACTAAAAAAAAAAAACAAAAAAACATTTAAATTTTTTTCTTATTTTAGAATTATACTCAAATTATTTTCCAACTTGTAAACTGGCCGATTTAAATAAAATTCTGAAATGATCTAAAACTATTGTTTGTATTGAATCACTTATTTAAAGCACCTTGCAACCGCATGATCAAATTCATGTGAATCCTATTTTTATCTTTTTACATTTATAAGTTTGGCTTGTTCTATGAATGTTGAACTTTTATTTAAGATAGCAGTAGAAGCAAATTGTAGCCATTCTATTGTTCAATTATATTTTGCCTCATTGCAGTATATATCAAACATCATATTTTTCAACTAATAAATGAGGGAAATTGAAACATTTTGAAAAAACTAAAAAGTAAATGATTTGATTTTAAATTTGGTTGCAGTTGCATCTCCAAGTTACTGTCTTGTTTGGACAGAAAGCATTGACAACTTTATCAAAATAGATGTAATATATATGGACTTGCAAAGGTCTTTCAATTGGTCTTACTCCAAAGACTATTCATCAAATTGAAACAGAGTGATGTAAATAGCGAGGTCTGGAACTGGATCAAATTTTTCCTTTCCTCTAGGGTTTATACCCATATCATGTTGAAATACTGGTTCTCATACATTCACTGAAATTAAGCAATGTGTCTGGTCAGCAACTACTTGGAAATGCCAGGTGCTGTAAGCTTGAATGTGTGGGTGGTGTAGTGGATAATGGTTCAGAATTGGAAATTGGAGAGCTGAGTTCCAATTCCAGTCAGGTTTGTTATATTCACTTACATGCAAATACTCTTGGTAAAGAAATGAATCCACCTCTATGGGTTAATTAGTAGGACTTGTATCAGTAAATTATGATCTCCAAAAAATTCTTCCAATCTAAAAATATTTTCTGACTTTAAATAACTTGCAAATGGTTGATAAAACATAAAAAAATAAATCAATCCATCCCTCTAGAAAGCAAAGAGTTGTATTACAAAATGGTGTTTCATTATAGGCTAAGGTTATCAGTGGTGGGCTTCAACGGTTCATACTTGGATCCCCTAACCCTTGTTCCTCATTTATGTTAATGATATTCCCATACTGCATGTATGTGACACCAAGCCGTCGGCCCATGGTCAACTCCCAGTCATGGTGCGAAGCTGTAAGGTTTCTTCTACCGGCGTTTTGGGGTTGATTTTTTTGTTACTGCCACCAGCTTGTGTCCTGGTTGTTCGGTGGTCATCACTACTCGTTGAAATCCCCTGGTCATCGATGTTAACGGCTTCACCAGCTGTACCGGTTCAATACCAGTTCTATTGTTCCCAGCTCACTTGCAACGTCTGGTTGCTGGAGTAACTGTTTCGATCTCAAGTCTAACCTACCCACGTTGTGACTTTGATCTTAGATAGATGAGATCAATCAGGAGTTGGGTCGTAGAGCAAGCTGAGTCCAGATTGAAGGTGGCACCGCACAAGCGCAAAGAAAAGTAAATAAATAAAAGAAAAACCCAAGAGGTTCAAGTATGTTAGGAAATAACAATTCAATTTTATCCTTCTGTTATATACAGGAGCATGTTTTTCTCCCAGCCTGTTTCCTACGAAATGTGACACTTCTATGTTTCAAGCAAGTTGGTCCTCTAAGTCAACAGGTTTAGTTTTTAAGTGCTGGCTTAACTTCGTTCATCAGTATAACTTGCTATGGGTAGGTTAGGCGAAGTCGGAGGTAGTGGAATCTCTCGGTCAGCTTCTGTGAGGCAACACTCTGGTACCCGCTACTCGAACTGTCTCTGACTCTGTCCGGAGCTGAGCTGCAACTCTTCTCAACTCAACTTAACTTCTGAACTCAACTGATTCTCACTCATCGACGATCGTTTATATGGGTACTGAACAAAACCCGGGGGGTGGCCAGACGTGGCCTAGGGTTCTTGGTAAATCTAAATTTCTAACAAGAAATCTCTTTGTTGTCAGGCCAGGAAAATTAATTATTTCCCATTTTTGGAAATTTAACCACTTCCCATTTGGGGGGGGATCTCCGTCGTTTGTGAGGGAAGGTCGGAGGAGAGCTATCCTCCTAGACCCTTTCTCTCTCACGTTGATATCTCATACCAATCCCTTCAGTGGGCATTAACATCTTCTCCACCTTTCTCATCCATTCACCTCCGCCTATCACCATGCTACCATACGACCAATGACCTCTTGGTAGTGTGGGTGCGTCTACACTGGCCTCCTTAAAATTATAATCTAGAATTTTTGTTTACAAAATTCTCCTTTCCCATAGGTCAAAATTTTTACGAAATCCACATTGCCAATTAAATTTTTATCATATGTTCTCTTTTTCCTGGACCACCCAAAAGTCACTTAGCCAGCACTCCTACTGTCTCATTAATCACTGTCAAAGTTTGCCATCTGGTTCTTTATGCTAAGTTAGCTTTATAATGGAATCCTTGACTTGTTAAGAAATTAAATTCTTTTATTGCGCCAAATCTCAATTCTCTACTATTTTTTGAGGATTGCCAAAAGTTTACAATTGCCACATTGCTATTTGACGTCTTAGCGTCTGTTGGCAAAGTAAACGATAACAATCCTCTCACTATATCGAGACAATGCCAAAATTTTATAATTGCCACATTACTTCTCTTTGCCTGTATCCAAGAAAAAAAAAAAAATAAATGATATCTTGGAAAGATAATTAACATTGATTCTCTCTGCCTGTATCGGCATTTGTCTCCAGCCGAAATTTTTATGACCGGCAAGTGTTTTGGCTGATATTTCCATATTTGCCTTTCTTTCTATCTCCCTCGGTGAGACATAAATTAACTTGACAGGACAAGACCTCACACATGACTTCTTCCCGGGTTCACAGTCTTTTGTGAAAAGTAACTTTTTTTTTGTAAATAGAATTAAAATCTTTTTTTTTCATTGATCATTCTGTCTTTCGAGATAGCTCATTTTTTTTTTGCTTTAAGAAGGTTTATTTTCTGTTTTAATTTCTATGATTAATTAGTTAGCCAATTACCATAGCTAAATAGTGTCACATGTATCTAGTTCTAAGATATCTACAGATGATATCAAATTGTATCACAGCATTTGTAAGTTGGATGATGGTAATGCTTTATATGAGGACATCGATACCTTAACTGCATGGAGTCACAAATGGATGTTGAATTTTAATGCTGGAAAATATATAGTATTGAAAATTTGTGGAAAGCTGAACCTGGTGCATTCTTGAATAGAGTTTATTTAAATGGGGCAGAAGAAGAAAAAAGATCTTGAAATTATTATTTCAAATGACTTGTCACCATGGAAATACATAGTTGAGATTGTCAGTAAAGCCACCCAAAGCACTGGAATCATCAAATATTACTTTACATGTTTCACAGCCCAAAAGGTGAAAAATTTATACACACCAATGATGTGGTCAGTGCTGGAGTATGGCATTTCCATTTGGAGTTCAAATTTCAAGAAGAATATTGATAGTCTGTTTGTTTAATGGCATATCAACTCTTTATGGGTCATTTAATGCTGAAAATTAAAATTTGGGGGTAGTTTTGAAGTAATAAAAATAGGTCATTCTGCTTTCACAATTGAATACAAAGTAGATGATACTCAGCTTTTGTACATATGTATGTTTGTTTTGACATAATTACTAAAAGGTGGTGATGTTAAAGTTATATTTTGGAATACAGTTTTTAAGAAATTGTAGGATATTATATGGATTAATGTCATGAAAGTTCTTTCATGTTGATGGATTTTGTTTAGTGGCATATTAACCTCTATGGGTTATTTAATGCTGAAACATAAATATTTTGAATGTAATTGTATGTTTTCAACTACAGATAAAATGTATTGTTGGTCATTTTTATTTTTAGAAAAAATATATTCCTGGTATTTTTACTATAAAAATATATTTTTATACTTTCATTGTTTTGCTTTTGTTTGGGGATTAACTATTTGCCCATAGATGGGACCTTAACAGGTGCTACCACACCAGGTCAGCTTGGACCTGGGAACAAGAGCAATTAAGAGGTGGTTTCATGCTCCTTAAAACCTTCAATCTCTCAATCAGAGGCCTTGTTGCTGGATGTAGTTTTGATAATCTGGTGTATGTTCAGAAATGTTGTTTGCATTTACCAACTAGAAAGATAATGTTGTTTATCAATACAAGTTAGAAGAAAGGGAATGAATTTAGTGGAAGCATTATAAGTATCTGAATGATCACTATCAAATTAGCTCTAAGCAGTGGCAGGATGGCCAAGATGTCAGCTTGCCCGATGACAAATGGGCCCATTATATCAAATAAAAATGCAATAAAGGAACAAACACAGACAACTGTTTTAGTAATAAAAAGGAATAAGAATCTTATGTCATCTGCACATTATTAGTTACTCAAATCCAATGTGAGAAGACATTTTCAAAGCTAAATATCATAAAGACAAGGTTAAGAAATTTGCTGTCTCAAGTGAATTTTGAATCATTCATGTTGCTATCCATAGAAAAGAAATTGTTAGATGAACTGGACACAAGCAATATTGGCAGATTCACACAATCAGCTAGTGAACACAAACAATTTATCTTAGTTTTAAATACAGTGAATTGCATGCAATTTTCTATTGAACTATTGTGTATTGTGCAGTAAACTATTTAAAAATATCAAACAATTACTTAAAATGAACACCTTTATAACATTATGTATTTACATTTGGTATCTACTGCCAGTAATGTACACTAATGTAGTAGTGTGATTACAAAGAAATACACATTTTTCATATATATTTTTTGAAAATTTGATAGCATCGTAGTTGTCTCCTGGCGACCAATATATTTTTTTAGATCCAGTCCGATACAGTACTGATGCCCATTATGTAAGTGTAAGGCTTTCCCAAGAAGTTGGAATGGGTTATCAGAAAACTCAATTCAAACAAGATATTGGAGTCTGTTATCTTTTTGAAGGACTAGGAATCCTGCTCAAACAAGAAGGGTCAGACTAATTTCTAAAACTTTTTTTGTTTGAATCATACAGTGTTCATGAGGGAATGTTATGATATGAAAAAGCGCTGAAAAGCTACTTCCCCAAATCTTGACCAGATGAACAAACGTTAATTTTAAGAGAAAGTCTTCTTGGTTGAGCTGAGAACAATTCAGCACCCAAACTTTTAATCAAATAATGTTTATTGAACAAGTTTGATCTGTTCTCTAATTTATTTGTAAACAGAACGCGATTTAAAATGAATAGTCATACCCCATTTGCCTTGTCACAGATTTGTGAATAGGGTGCTGGAAAAATAAAAAAATTTAAAAACCATAAATCAGAATTTAATTTTTAGATTCTAAAAAATGAAAACTGAAGAAGCAGCGTGTTGTCTCTTAGCACGGATACATATAAATTCACAATTATTGAAAAAAAATATCATCAAAAAATATAAAATTTAAAACTAGACAACAGAAATATTAAATTAATGAAATGAAAAAATCGCATAAATAACCACGTGTTTGTGGTAAATTTATGACAAACAAAGTTAAGCCAGAACATTAAAATATTCTTAATCGAAAATCTCACCTCTGGTAGTGATTTTCCAGCACTCAGATTGTATATTTTCACTTCATTAGCATAAGAAACTTGCATCTTGAGGAATTATTGCTGAGATCAATAGAATTTATTTAATTTCATAAAAAAACGTGCCATAATTCTGAAGGAGGAAGTAACCGGTGACCTCTAAATTTTAGTCCCGCGTGAAATAAAATACACAAGATCACACGTTTGGGCAAACCACAGAGAATCAACTTCATCCCACGGTCAAGGAAACTAGCACGATAACCATTTAAAAAGTGAAGCACTCTACAGTACACTAAGTTTATTTATTTCTGAAATTCCAGAAAATGTGGCACAAGGCCGAAACGGGGAAGTGGGAAGTGGTCGGTCTTAACTTTAAAATTAGCTAGCCACAAACGCTGTTGACCCAATCATAACAATATTCCTTACACTAAAAAGCAACACATTCTTACGTACCTTTCTCAACACATCCACCATAATACCTCAATGTCTCCATGAAAATACTAAATAGTCCCCATCGTCTGTGTGTGTGTGTGTGTGGGGGGAATAAAAACAACAATATTAAAAATTTTTTAAAAACTAGCCCCAATGAGTATTTTTACAATATGCACTCTCCACTAAGTAGCATAAAATACTCCAAGTTTAACAGTATATAATTTTTCCGTTACTAACTCAACATTTTTGTTATAAGAAGCACTAAGCAGTGTGACTTTAGGTCTTCTTAATAAGTAGATTTTCTGTTGTCAACACTAACAGTTAACTAGAGGCATTACTTTATGCCAATAACTAAAAACATGACTTGTATTTCATATAATCTCATTAGTAAGTAGGGGAGATCAGCTTACTATTGTTTTTTATTCCTTTTGTTTCATGTTAAATGTCTTTGCATATATTTGCTTTCCATGAATTAAAATGCTGAGTTCTTTCTTACAAGTGAGAATACTATCATATGTAAAAAGAGAATCCTAGATAACTCAGGTATAAAGTATAACCTACACAATTGCAAAATTATTTAAACTTGGTTGCCATTTTTGATGATACGAGTAAACAAGTAGTTTAAAAATTCCTGGTAATTTATTATTCCTTTTGGTTGTGCATATGTTGCATGTTACTGTCTAGGTGTGTGTGTGTGTATTCGCATTTAAACAACTAAAGAAGAAACATAAAAACATGGGTTTCTACCATGAACTGTTTATTCTCTGTTTGGCAAACATGAACTTTCATGCCTGCGAAAAAAAAAAAAAAAAAAAAAAAACGAGTGTCAGAAGGGTCATTTTATCCATGACACTACCTTTATTTTAACTACCTTCACTTTCGGAGATTGTTTTAAAAAGTGATGATTAGAATTTTAATAAAACTTAAACATATGTTGGAATTTAATTTGAGAACAACATTTTCACAAGTTCACATTCTCGCTATTTTTTTCTATCCTCACTCCAACCTCTTTTTAATTTCAAAACCGGCTCACAAGGCATTGAATGAATATATTTGCTGACTAAGGAGAGAGCTGGAAAATAAAAAGGAATTCTGCCATCATTATTCTTTCCATGGTGCCATAAAGTCTGGGAGAAACCTCACAGCTTCTTCACTTCAACTTGTTTTCAGTACCTTCAAAACCGGCTCCCAGGGCCCTGATTCTTATCAGAGATAAGAATGTGTTTTCTGGCCAATAGAGGGACCAGGAAATATGTACAACGATTTTGGAGGGAAAATTGAACAGAACAGTCTATACCTTACGCTTGCGTACAGAAAACTTCGACCAATAAAAAGCCGTACGAGGCGAATCAAAAAATCTCATTGGTTAACGACACAATAATCTAAAAGTTTTTACGTGCAAAACAAAATTGCGCCAAAACTTCTTTGAGCCGATTTTGGACTTTCAAAAACATATAAAATAAAACACCGACTGACCAAAAGAGTCAGAGACGAACATCCACAGAGAAATTGTCAACATACTCCACGTCACTCGAAATCACGACTTTACCGCGCAAAAGTACATCAACGCTGACTCACTTGCAATTTAAACTCGACTAACTCTGTGGACATCCAATCGCAAACCTAAAACAACTTTGCTTATCCAAAGTGAACTATACTCACTACATTATTAAGTAAAAGTCAACATTCGAACGATTCAGAAATATTACAGTCAACGGCAGACCGCTCTATAAGAACTCATTCCTAAAAACACTTAACATCGACATTTTTTAATATTAATTAACACGACTCCAGAAAGACTGTAACTGAACATACAAATACAAAAAGAGACATACCGAAACCTCAAATGTCACACACACTTGGCCATAGTAACATATATCAAAATATCCTGTATATATATTACTTTTAATCGTATATAAATGTTTTGTTAGTTTCTAAATTGGATATGTCTTGTTTTTGATTGTATTTAAAATTCGTTTATTTATTTGTTTGTGGGTGCAGAAAGTCACGCAACCTACACAAATTCCTTCTGATTCACTCAATTACAATTAATTAATTCTGCACATCCCCGACACCTTGCCTCCTGATGTCGTTACAAATATTCCAGCCCCCGTCTCAGAATCAAGAAATTATATGAAGCTCAAAGAATCAGTTGTGAATGCTTATGAAAGGACCAGGCCAGAACTGTAAGAAAAATTAATGAAGACTATCGCATTAACTGGTCATCTATCATTAAATGTCGGCCATAGCAAGTAGGATTGGGGCAAGTGATGAAATAGTACGCCACAAATCCGTTAGAGCCCTTCCACCATAAATTGCCCTGGTTATAGCAGCGCATACAGCAAAGCCTTTAACAGACATATGTAGGCTATGTGATAACTTGATAATGTAGTGGTGCTGTAAGTATTGTTGGCTAGGGTCACCGTGAATATAATAAAGAAGGAAGGCTGTGTTCTTGTAAAACAACACCCCACATGAATAATGCACAACAAACACGAGAGAAAAATAATGAAGCTCAGTGAACATTAATAAAATATTGTATTAACAATGATATACAAATATCAACAATAGTATAAAGAAAGTTGCTTCTCTTCTTCCGTAATAAAAAGGGTAAGTTTAGCTAATTAATGTTGAGTACAATATTGAATGTTATTTAACTACAAAGTTCAATTGAAGTCTTAGCTAAATAAAGAATAGTTCCACAGTGTTTTATCAGTGTAGAAAAATGTAATGTTCATGAGTGATATCAATAGGAATTAGTATGATTACTCTTTTGAGTGATAATTAAGAATTAAAATGTCAATATAGCGCCGTGCCTTATTTTCCAAGAATTGAACTGCTACTGTCTGTTGGCAAAATTGCGAGAGTCTTTATACAACGATGGATAGGCTCCAGCGAGCTTGGCGCTAAAAATATAGAAAGATACTAAAATACACGATTGGTCAGGAAATGGACCAATCCGTGATTTTAGAGAAAATTTCAAATTACCTGCGATGGCAAAATTGTCATATGATAAGTATCATATATTTACGAACCAATGATATTGAAGGAAATGGAGGTGTGGCACATGTAAGTGATCCCCACAATACCCCGTCAAGATTGAAAAGTCAGGGAAGAAAGAGTTTTCAATATGTAATGAAAGTTCTGAACTTCTTAGGCCAGTGGACAGTACGTCCGCTTGCAGTCCTAGTAGGTGCTGGTGACGAAAGCTGTGGGCTGTCTAGCGAATTGCTCGTAGGTTTATTGGTTGATCCATCGCGTTCAATACATGCAGGTTTTAAGCGATCGATAGAGAAAGTCGATCGGCCGTGGTTAGTCTGTAGTGTAAAGTATATTTATCGGTCCGGGCAAGGACACGAAATGGACCCGCATAATGTGGTGTCAGTGGCTTTCTAACAGAATCCTGTCGTACAAAAACGTACTCGCATTCCAGTAAGGAAGGAGGTACATAAACGTCACGTGAAGTGTAACGGGTTGGAGTAAAAGCAAGGGAAGACATTTTCTTACTGGTGTCGCACGCAATAAGCTTATCAGTAAAGGGCAAGGGATAATGCTCAATATGTAGTGACGAATCTCGAAGTGAGTCGAGCAAAATTATCTCCCGTACTTGTTCATCCGCGATTTTTTCTGTCTCTTGCAGGCTTCCACACAAGGATGCTCTGGAAAGTGTATCGGCAGCAATGTTATCATTTCCTTTAATGTGACGTATATCCGATGTAAACTGAGATATATAATCAAGATATCTGTAGTCTCGAGGATTGTACTTGTCTGATTTAGTTGAAAGGGCAAAAGTGAGGGGCTTGTGATCTGTGTAGATCACAAAGTGTCTACCCTCTAAAAGGTGTTTAAAATACTTAACTGACAAGTATATATCTAATAGTTCCCTTGAAAAGGTACTATACTTCTTCTGTGTGGACGTCAACTTAACGGAGAAGAAAGAAATTGGCAAAGATTCAGCATCAACATGTTGGTGTAAAACTGCGCCTATGGCATCAGAAGATACGTCAGTCGTTAATGATAACTGAGTGGTAACACCGTCAGTGAGGCATGAAAGTTTCGTAAAGTTGACCAATGCTTTACGAGAGTTGTCAAATGCTTGCGTTGTGTCGTTGTTCCAACAAATAGGAGTATTTTTACGGTCTTGTCCGCGAAGGATATTTGTCAGCGGTACAAGAATTTGTGAACAACGTGGGATGAATTGACGATAATAATTGATTTAAGCCAATGTATCTGCGAAGCTGTCGAAGTGTGGAGGGCTTCGGAAATTCCTGGATAGCACGTATCCTTTCAGGTAGGGGAGTAATACCTGTAGCATCAATGACGAAACCGAGAAAGTGGAGTTGCGAAACAGCAAACTCGCACTTCTCTGGGTTGATTTTTAAACCAAAGTTCTGAAGACGATCAAAGACTTGCTGAATATGTTTACGATGCTCCTGTAAATTAGGGCTAACTATTAGAAGATCATCAATGTATGCGAAAGTGAAAGGTAGTTCACAAAGTACCTTATCTATAAGGCGTTGGAATGATTGAGCTGCGTTACGCAGTCCAAAAGGCATACGCAGAAATTCAAATAAACCAAACGGCGTGGTAATCGCAGTTTTGGGAATATCTTTGTCAGCGACTGGGATCTGATGAAAGGCTTTGCGCAGATCCAGTTTGGTGAAGACAGTTGCTCCCTGTAAGGTAACAGCAAAGTCGGTCAAATTGGGAACTGGGTACTTATCGGGTACCGTTTGTGAATTAAGTCGTCTATAGTCGCCACACGGCCTCCAGGCGCCCTGCTGAGCCTTAGTGACCATGTGAAGCGGTGAGGCATATGGACTCGAGGATGGGCGAATAATCCCGAGGTCGAGCATGTGTTGGAACTCGGCCCGGGCAATCTTGTATTTATCCGGCGCAAGACGGCGAGGTTTAGAATAGACAGGCTGTTCGGTAGTTCGAATGCTGTGTACAGTGCTGTGCTTGACAGGCTTTGTATAAGTAAAAGGTTGTATCAACGAGGGAAATTTATCCAACATATCTTGAATCGGATTATCACGCGGCACAGCGATGCGTAATTCTGTGGATGTTAGCTGTGATACAATTCCGCGGTTAGAAAGCTTCGTGGTGGAGTCAGATAACTGACGCTGTGAGAGGTCCACGATGAGTTGATAGTGTGCCAGAAAGTCGGCGCCTAATATGAGGAATTTCACGTCTGCAACAGTGAATATCCATTGATATGTCCTTCTAAGTCCAATATCCAGTGGTAATGATTGCTCACCGAAAGTCTTGATGTTCGTGCCATTAGCGGCGCGTAAAGTGACTGAAGAGTTAGTCTTAGTGAAGTTGAGTGATGGTGGAACAACGCTAAGCTGTGCTCCCGTATCTATTAGGAATGACATGTTAGAATTCCTGTTTTTTATATAGAAGAGACGGTTAGTAATATGTGTCCCAACAGTAGATGCCGCTTTCAAGTGCTGCTGGGATCGGCGTTTCCCGCCTTCCGTAATGCTTTGGGTGAAGGTTGGCACTTGAAGGTACACGGTTTAATGCATCTGTGAACTCTATCACCGAAGTTAAGATGGTACCAGCATAGCGTGGGTCGGCGAGCGCGAGTAGCAGAATGAGAGCGTCGCCGTACCTTGTATGAGTTTTTATCCTCTGGTCTGGTAAGATGCTGCACCTGAGTGGAAAGCCTCTCGAGTTGCTGCTTCAGCTGTTCTATTACATCCATCATAGCAGCGTCAGTGGGTACAGGGGAGTCCACGCTGTTGATGCTGGGTACGTCATTAATTTTATCAGCGATCTCAGCAATTCTCGAAAGATCTAAGTCATCGGGAAGCGTAGCCAGAATCTGTGAAGTAAGTGTATGGCAGTAACTTGTCCAGCCAAAGTTTGCGGAATAGTGATTCCGACATCGAGTTCTTTCCTAACAGACTCTTCATTCGTCTGAGTAACTGCGACGGGCGGCTATCTCCGAACTGTATAGTATTAAATAGATCGTTCAACCTGCGCTCATGCGATTTTCCAGTACGGTAGATGATGGCTTCCTTTAGTACATCAAAGCCAAGGGGTTATGAGCGGGAACGGCTTCTAGAAGGTCTAGCATGTCAGCAGCGATCTCTGGTGGTAGCTTCTCGACTATGTATGCGTAACGCGCAGTCTGAGAGTGAATATGCTTTGCTTGGAATATGGCTTCAGTCTGGCGAACCACACGTTTACATTAGCAATGTCGAAAGTTGGGAGGGTCAGCACAACGGCTGTCTCTTGTGCGGACTGTTCAGCCATTATGATTAAGCACGTGGTGTTTTCGCGCGAAGTAATATCTCTCGATAAACTGGATCGGTAAGTCGTCCAAATGTAATAGTAGGTACGGTCCTACGATGAACGTCAGGTTCATCAATTGTAGTGCAGAATTTAGTTCCAACGTCAGGTTTAACAATCGTAGTTCCTACGTCGAACGTCGGGTTTATCAATCGTAGTAGTAGGTACGTCGGGGTTACCAAATGTAGTGGTGCTGTAAGTATTGTTGGCTAGGGTCACCGTGAATATAATAAAGAAGGAAGACTGCGTTCTTGTAAAACAACACCCCACATGAATAATGCACAACAAACACGAGAGAAAAATAATGAAGCTCAGTGAACATTAATAAAATATTGTATTAACAATGATATACAAATATCAACAATAGTATAAAGAAAGTTGCTTCCCTTCTTCCGTAATAAAACCTTCTTTAACTGTATTTAGTATTTAGTAAGAAAGACAAAGGGAGAGTAAGATGTTATGCAAGCTGGGATATATGCAGTGATAAAAACCAAACCATTCTTTTGCATGTGAATACAGAAAACAACTCTATAACAGACAAAAAATAAAAAATAAATGTACATATGTGGTTTGCATATAAAATGTCTGTACATGATAATTATTTTTCAAACCAAAATGTTTCAACTTTAAATAGACACAATGGGTTGGTAAGCCGTAAAAAACTGTGTAACACTTCAAGTTCGATCCTGGTTCACGGCAAACGGCAACAGATGTAACCTTTCATTGCAGTCAGCCCGGGGTGAATCCTGGTTTGATCAATAGAGTGATCTCTTTGATCCTGACCTGCCTTACCCCACTTGTGATTGATTTGTGTTGTGGATTTCGTGAATGGAATCCTGCACAAATAAATAAACAACGCCAGTAATTGAGATAGAAAAATAAGTGTATTAAACGTAAGAATACAGGCTTGAAGTGAAGATTAGTAGTCCAGGAATGCGGGTTAGTAGAAAGTATATGTACAAGTCTCTGTAAGTAAAGCCGTAATCATCTCTCTCCCTGGACTCTTGTATAACAATCTGAGAACACCCTGTGTCTGTCTCCGTATCTCTCAACCTGTCTCAACGTATCTCCACGTATCTCAACGTATCTCCATGTATCTCAACGTATCTTCATGTATCTCAACGTATCTCGAAATTTAACAGTCCACCCACGAGTTTAACCTGGGTTTCTCCGAGCCCGTAGGCTCGGCAAAAAAAAATTTCCCCTTTGAACCCGCATAAAGAAACCGGACGAAACTTTGCCCTTCGGCAAAGCTTCGTCCGGGTTCCTCTCTGCCAAAGCAGAGAGTTCGACAGACGTCGCACACAGTCGGAGACTGTATTTCAATGTATCTCGGTATTTAATATCCCACCCACGAGGAATATAAGTGGCACAAGGCCGAGTTTAATGTGGGTTTCTCCGAGCCCGTAGGCTCGGCCAAAAATATCCCCTTTGAACCCGCCTAGACGGCTTCAGGGCCTGTCTACCTCCCCGGACGAAACTTTGCCCTTCGGCAAAGCCTCGTCCGGGTTCCTCTCTGGCAAAGCAGAGAGTTCGACAGACGTCGAGACTGTATCTCAACGTATCTCATCAACAGGTATTCTCTGTGTCAGTGTAAGTATACTTTAGATGAGTCCATCTTATGTAAAAAGGGGAGAGCCCCACAACACCCTCCTCCTTAGCTTCTTTTTTGAGGGGAGTTAATATTGTTTTCGCTTATGGTCTATTATTAATGGTTCCGTGAATTTTCTTTTTCGGCTTGTTCTTCTGATCTCAGTGGCTACTTGTGGTTTATGAATTTCGAAGGCTTCGAAAATCGCCTCCATCGCGTCTTCATTTTCGGAAGGTGACGAGTTTGGTTCCTCTACCCGTCTTTTCTGTATCTGATTTATGTTTCTCCTGTGAGAGAATTTTTCACCTTGGATCGTGTATAGAACATTCCCCAGTATGTTTATTATCGTACCTTGTTCCCAGTATGCCATATTATTCTTGAACATTTTGAAATAGACCCGTTCGCCTGGTTTGAAGGATCTTTTAGGCATTATCGGTGTATGCCGTTTTTTTTTTATTTTTGCTGGGTAATAGTTTATCAAAAACAAACCGTATTTTGCGGGCAAACATCACTTCAGCTAGCGAAAGACAAGATGGTGTGTTTTCGTTCGGGGTGATTCTGTAGACTTGTAGGAACTGTTGTATGGCTCTTTCTGTTGGTACGTCCTCTGCTTTTTTCAAAGTTCTCTTAAGCGTGTCCACAAACCTTTCGGCTTTCCCGTTAGATCGTGGATGGTATGGTGCTATTTTAATATGTTTGACTTGATAAGTCGCACAGAATTTTTGAAAGTCGCTCGAGGTGAATTGGGTACCATTATCTGTTACAAGGCAATCTACAACGCCGAATCTTGCGAATAACTCGTGTAAACAATTAATAATGTTTTCCGTCGTAGGGTTTTGTATCTGAAAACTTCTGGCCACTTGCTAAAGCTATCTACCGTTATCAAGTAGTATATCCATCTATGGGTCCGCATGGATTCTAGACCAAGGTCTGTTCACATTAGGCCATGGTTTTTGTATAATAGGTGGTGCCTTTGCTGCCGCAGCATAGCCTCTACATTTTTCTACCATTTTAGTAATGTCGTTATCCATATTAGGCCAATACACGAAACTTCTCATTAACGCTTTCATACGATTTTTCCCTGGGTGTCCTAGATGAAAATCCTTCAGAATTCGTCTTTGTAAATATTTTGGTATGACCACTCTTTCATTATAAAGTAATACGTGATTACAAATTGAAAAACACTCCGCTAGATTTCTTTCTTTTTCTTCTATTTTTCTCTTTGTACTTTGTATGAATTCATCCATTTCAGCTTCTCTTCTGATTTCTAACAAGATTATGGACTCGTCCAATTTTCCTTACCTTCCAACCCTAACAAAAGCAGAGTCCACATCGTACGCCTACGTACCTAAAAAACTTCGACCAATAAAAACGGCAAGAAACGAAGCAAACAACCCCATTGGTCAATCACTTGAAGTTCACGTGCAAAACTGAAATTGCGCCAAATTCAATTGAGCCACCCGGTGGATATATAAACAGAGAACGTTTGAACCTTCGGAGAGAATAGCAGCAGTAATTACCAAGTTTCAAGATGTAACATTTCACCGACTCCCGTCTTAGTCATTGCTGACCAGACGTTAAAGACAATTACCAACTCCACGCCAGTCAGTCTCACGAATTCGCAGAGTAATTTCCAATATACTCAACGCCACTACGAACCACAATTTTGCCGCGCACGAAGACACTTCGCTGACTCACATTCGATCATTCATCAATCAACTCTGTGAACACTTTTCTCAACTTTGCTTATGTACAGTGAATTAAATTCACTACTAAAAGATAAGTAAACATCAAATACGTTTAAGGGTAGACCACTCTAAAAAAAACTCCTTCCAAAAACTCTTATTATTCATAATTACGATATTTGACACAAACAAAAGACAGCGAACCAACGAACAATATCAACAAAGAGACATTCACAAATCTAACAATTACACACACAATTTTGTCCACACGACACACACTGATTACCCATTACCTGTATATTGATAAATTGTATAAATGTTGCATTGTTTTCTAAATTGCATATGTCTCGTTTTTAATTGCTCTCTCCCTCCACTTCCTCCATAGACGCATCGGCCACCCCACCCCACACATCTACCTCTTCCCCTCCCCACCCTTCCAGGGAGAAAAGGAAGAAGAAAAAGATGGTCGCAGGCCCCGAATTCATTTGTAAGGTGGACAGGGAAGACTTCAAAGGGGGCCTGACGAAACAAAGGAAAGCCATATTAGGAGGACTCTACAAAATGGACTCCGTAGAGGGGAAAAGTATTGAGGACCCCGGAAACTTCCCACAGGCCTCGGGCGTAATAACCTGCGTGAGGGACACTGGGGGTTACTTAAAAGTGTGGAACCACATCTTCGAGGCTAAAGAAGCCTTCCCCAACATCAGAGTCGTGGAAACGGAAAACTCCACTTTAAAAAAACTAAGGAACTTTTGTGCTGGGAGGGTCCCCGTGTTACTCCATCCCTCCTTATATAGGGCGGTAAAACTAACATACCCCACGGACGTCGGCGAATTAGGAACGGGGAGCCTAGGGCAGGCCGTCGGAGTCCTTACCAGCGCAGATTTCCGCTCGGTATGTGAGTAGGCTTTTTGCTTCTTTTTCTCCTTTTCTTTTTTCTTTGCAGGCCTAAACCATGTCTATCAAGATAGCGACGTTGAATGTGAATGGCTTGAGGGATCGGGGTAAGGCGGCCCGCCTACTCCGGGATCTCTTGTCGTTCGGCGTGGATGTCGCCGCGATCGAAGAGACCCACTTTGCAGTTCCGATTCGTGTTTGCTGTTTGACGACTTTGTCGTCTATTCAGCATATGGGGACCGAGCTACCAGAGAAGTGTCTTTGCTGGTGAAGTGGACTCTAGATGCGAAGGTGGACCTTGTGCATACCGATGCCGAGGGACGGTTGATCGTGGCCGATATTGCCGTGAAAAGTGGTTCGTTTCGGCTCGTTGCGGTTTATGCGCCCAACGACCAGGAGGAGCGGGTTTCGTTTTTTCGGCGGTTGGAGCCTTTCCTGGTGGATTCGACGCGCTTAGTTCTAATGGGAGACTGGAATGCCATCCTGGACCCCAAGCTAGATCGGGGGCGGGATGCTAGCGGGAGAAGAGGCGATCGTAGCCTGGTCAATCTGATCAAAGATTTCGGTCTCGTTGATAGATACCGGGCCGATCACCCCGGGAGAAACATGTGGACGTGGGCTCGTAGCTGGCCTTGTGACAAGGTGGTTAGCTACCTTGACAGAATGTTAGTCAGAGGGGCCGACACAGATCTGTTAGATTGTCCCACGTTCCACTGGGTAGGCTATACGGACCACAAACTCGTTTGTGCCCGTGTGGCGTTAGAACATAGGCCTAGAATGGCTGGTTACTGGAAGTTCAATCTGTCTTTACTGGACAGGCGGGACTTCCGGGAGCAGCTGACTAGCTTAGTGCAGCGGGAGCGAGTGGGGGTGGTTATCGGGAATAGGTGGTGGGACAGACAAATGTAGAATTAGGTCCTTCACCACTTATTTCAGCAAACGGCTCGCCCTAGATAGAGCTGATAAGGTGAGGACGCTTAAAGCTAGTTATTCCCGGGCGGTGGCTGGGGGGATCCCCTATCGTAGCCTGGTCGATCTGATCAAAGCCTCCCTAGCTACGACTATCTCTAGAGATAGCTGTAGCTAAGGAGGCCCTGGAGCGTTTGAATAGCGAGCGCTACATGGGCCAGGTAATTAGACATAGGTTAAGCAAGATGTCTTCCGAAGCCGTGAATATGGGCGCAGATCTGCGCAGGGAAGAGGTTCGTCGAGGTGGCGATCGTTACATTCGTGAAGTCGAAACCCCGGAGGGGCGTACCCTTCGGGTCACTGACGACATGTGCGAGGCGTTTCGGCAGCATTTCGAGAGCCACTTTACCAAGGAGCCTGGTCTTCGTGAGGACGAGTTTCGCAGCTATTTGGCTGACTTTCCTCGACTTTCGCCGACCGAAGCGGCTAGCTGCGAGGGAGAGATTACCGAGGGAGAGATCTACGCGGCTTTGAAGAAGGTCAGCAGAGGCAAGTCGCCAGGTCTGGATGGTCTGCCCTATGAATTGTACTTGAGGCTGTCGCATATCTTTGTCCCGATTTTGACGGTCGTCTTCAACAACTGGTTCCGGCAGGGGTCCCTCCCCGATCGGTTCTCCAGGGGTGTGATCACGCTGTTGAAAAGGGGCAGAGATGTCGGGGGGAAACTAGACGACTACAGGCCCATAACTCTGCTAAACACAGAGTTAAAGATTCTGGCCAAGATCCTGCAGGAGCGCTTGCAGTCAGTTGCTGAGTCTCTGTTGGGTCCCGAGCAGACCTGTGCTGTGAGGGGTCGAACAATTCAGAGCAACCTGCATTTGAACCGCACGATCATAGAGGGAGTAAAAGACGACGAGAGAGCCGCGCTGATCAATTTGGATCAGTCCAAGGCATTTGATAGGGTTGACCATCGCTACCTTGCTACTGTCCTGCAGGCCACCGGATTCGCATCCGACTTCTGCCGTTGGATTAGCCTCCTGTATCGCTCCTATAGTGCTGTGGTACAGGTGAACGGGAAGCCGTCAGGGTTGCCCGCTGTCGCCCCTACTTTACGCTTTGGCGTTTGAGCCTCTCCTTCGCCGGCTGAGCGGCAGGCCGACCCTACGCGGAATCGCCGTTCCTGACGGGGCTCGAGCCAGGCTTTCCGCGTACGCCGATGAAGTCTCTGCTTTCGTGTCGTCCCGCAGAGACATTAAGGCGGTACTGAAGGCACTTGATCGGTACGAAAAGGTGACAGGGGCCAAGATTAACCGCGACAAGTCGTCCGGCTTGCGGCTAGGTGCCTGGAAGTGGGTCGATCTTTCGGGGCCCTTCGGTTGGACGGACGGTCCTGTCCGCATTCTCGGAGTGTGGTTTGGACCCGACCTCCAGTTGGAGAAGAATTGGTCTGAAGTACGAGCAAAGGTCGACGCCGCCGGTCAGCCTTGGCGTCGCCGGAGGTTGTCCGTGAAGGGCAGGGCGAAGGTGTGTGCTACATACATTTTCCCTCTTGTCCTTTATCGATTGTAGAGTGGATGTGGTATTATGGTGCATGGAGGATTAATTGGTCACGGACGAGTTCTTATTGTGAATGAGTAAATTGTAATGTCTGAATGGGTCGTGAATCAGATTAGCTAGGTATAAGATAGTTAGTAAAGACCAGCCTTTTACCCCCTCCCCCTTTTCGGCCTTGTGCCAAAATTTTGTATTTATACGAAATAAATCCAAACAGCTCACCCTTTATCGATTGCCCGTACTTCCTCTCTGTGACGACCACAGGAAGCCGCTCGAGCGCTCGCTATCCTCCATTCTACGGAGGGGATGCGGGAATCGGGTCGACAGAGAAGTCTGTGCACAGCGTCCGTGTCATGGGGGGAGGGGCTGGGAATGCCACACTTGCTGAGCCACAAACGTGCCTCGAGGTTGGCTTTCCTACGCGCGCATTGACAGGAGATTCGGTCATGGCGGGGATTTTTAGGGACGCGTTCCCTTCCCTTACTATCAATAACCCCATCTCGCGGGTTGAGCGCCATCGTAAACCCCGGGAGGAATCGGATTTTCTTCGCGAGTGTCGGTTGGCCTTGCTGGCCGTCCCTCGGTCCAGTGACCTTTCTCGGCCTAGGAAGGTCTTCTATCGTTTGCTAGTGGAGGAGGTCACGAAGGATCCCCTACGCGAGGATCTCGACATGTCGGACGATGAGTTTCGCTCTCACTGGTCTTGGGCGCCAGCGGCGGATTACCTCAGTAACCCTGAGTTTTCGCTTATCTGGCGACTGGCTCGGAATCGGCTGCCTCTCAATGACAAGGTCTTCATATGGAGCTTGGCGGATTTTCCAGACTGCAAACGGTGTGGCCTTGGTCCAGAGGAAACGGCTTCGCACGCTTACTACCATTGCCCCCGGGTGCGCCCCTTATGGGACCATGTCGGCGAGCTGACGGCTCGTCTCGCTCCCGAAAAGCTTGTGCCCATTGATCGCGCATACGTGTGTGTCAATGTGTCGCCCCCGTATTCAGCGGTGAAACAGATGGTGTTTCTCACGCTGCTAGCCACGGCCCAAATGGTGATATGGACGACGCGACAGGAGGAAGTCTTGCGGGGTGTCCGTCTTTCTCATGAGGATCTGAACCGATTCTTTGAGCATCAGCTCAAGACGAAGATTAGAACTGATAGAAAACGCTTGCATTCGACAGTCTTCAGCGAAAGGTGGGTGATTGAGGCGAGCTTGGTTCGTGTGAACGGGGCTAGCCCTGATTTTCTCTTTTAGGTCAAGCCTAGGTTACATCGGGGTGGCTTCCTGTGGTGCCCTCCCCTTGGTTAGGTTAGACAAGCATTTGTGTACCTAGTTAATATGAGTAAGTGTGGTTCCCGGCCTGCCCCCCCGGCCACATCTTTAGTTATGATGCAGCCTGAGATTCCCAACATACCCAGTTTGTTTTTTGCCCCCCCCCCTTTCTATCTCGACTGGGTCAGCTTTATACTTTCCCATGCCCGTATGATTTTTTATCACCTTTTCCCACTCCCTTAGCGATAGAGCTGCTTGATTTTGTCCATTGGGCAGAATACAGTGGCCTCCCTGCCTTTTGAGGGTTGGACGGGCCCTACTAACATCAGTTACGTTTAATTTCATTTGTGTTAATATTTTGGTTCGTTATTGGGTTCATCTCCCTCCCCCTCTCATTTTTTCATCATAGAATTTTGTACATATGTGTTAGGATCATTAAATTATTAAGACACGGGGCGCGTTTTGTAGGTCTCCCTAGATTGGATGTGGTATTATGGTGCATGGAGGATTAATTTGTGACGGACGAGTTCTTATGGTGAATGAGTAAATTGTAATGTCTGAATTGGTCGTGAATCAGATTAGCTAGGTATAAGATAGTTAGTGAAGACCAGCATTTACCCACCCCCTTTTCGGCTTTGAGACACAATTTTGTATTTATACGAAATAAAACTAAACAGCTCATCCGACGATTTTCGTTGGGGTTTTTGACAAATATTGGATCGTTTCTCGGCCTATGGCTGAGATTCGATCAAGGCTTCGACTAGCTTGGACTGGCTCCGGCCTGGACCAGCAAGGACAAGCCATGACCAGCTTTGACTAAGCTCTGACCAGCTTGGACATGCTATGACCAGTTTTGGTCCAGTGGCCCTTGAGTGGAAACGCACGGGTCACCCACGTTAAACGACATTGTGTCACATCCTGAGCCTGTGGGAGTCAAGTAAATATCACAGCTCACCCGACGATTTTTCTTTGGGGTTTTTGACAAATATTGGATCGTTTCTCGGTCTTTGGCTGAGAGTCGATCACGGCTACGACTAGTTATGACTGGCTCCGGCCTGGACTAGCTAAGACAAGCCATGACCGGATTTGACTAAGCTCTGACCAGATTGGGCATGCGATGACCAGTTTTGGACCAGTGGCCCATGAGTGGAAACGCTCGGGTCTCCCACGTTAAACGACCTTGTGTGACATCTTGACACTGTGGGAGTCAAGTAAATATCACAACACTCCCGGCGTATTTCGTTGGGGGTTTTGACAAATATTGGATCTTTCTCGACCTTTGGCTGAGATTCGATCAAGTCTTCAACTAGTTTGGACTGGCTCCGGCCTGGACGTGCTAGGACAAGTCATGATCAGCTTTGACTAAGATCTGACCAGCTTGGACATGCTATGACCAGTTTTGGACCAGTGGCCCTTGAGTGGAAACGCTCGGGTCTCCCACGTTAAACGACCTTGTGTCACATCTTGACATCACAACATTCACGGCGGATTTTTGATTTCG